TCTCACCGAAAGTCGAAGACAAATGGCCGCAAGCTCTCTGCCCCCTCTACGCCACCTATACGGGTGCAGAGCGATACGGATCCGAGCCACGATTCGGTCCGATCCGAGAAGACCGCGGATATTTTGAGCTTCAACAACCGCATGGACCTGAAGGCAGAGGTAGAAGAGCTGCAGAACCAATTGCAACTGTCGCAGATGCAGAACAGGCACCTTCAGAGCCAGCTCGACCGGTCTACTCCTGCGCCTCCCGAGTACTCTGAACAAAGCTCGTCACTGCAACGGGTGAAAAAGCTCGAATTGGCAAACAGTCGCCTCCACGACATGCTCGACGATTCTGCCAAGAAAGTATCGACGTTGGAGAAGGCTCTCCGGAGCGGCGAACTCTCTCTGCGTGACGTTCAGACCAGGTCACACGAAGAACTTTTCGATCTTCTCAACAGCACCGAGGAGTCCCGACGCTCGCTGCTGCACAGCCATAGAGATGCTGTTGCGGATCTGGCCGACGTCAAGGAACACTTTGAGAAACTGCGGTACGATCGCGCGAACCTTGAGGTTGATCTGCGCGATGCCAGAGGTGACCTTCAAGAAATGACACTGGCGAGGGAGCAAGAGGCCGCAAGTCGCAACCAGCTGCTTCAGGAGTTTTCTGACCTCCAGATAACATTGGACGCAGAGTCATCCAAGCTCGCTGATGTGACCGCAAGCCTGAACTTGTACAAGAGCCGCGCAGATGAGTATTTCAGCAGGCTAGAGCAAGCTGAGATTTCTGTTCTCAAGGCCAACCGGGCCGAGCAGTTCGCCAGGACACAAGCCAAGGAGGCTGAGGAGACGTACGCCGAGGTCATGGCGGAGCGCAAGAAGATGGACCAGACTGTGGAGGATCTGCAGCGTTCGAATCAGCGTCTGGAGGAGAAGCTCGAGGACCTGTCCACCGATCTTGAGGCCGCTACACAGGCGAAGAAGAGGCTGCAACACGAGCTGGAAGACTACCGCAACCAACGCGCTAATGACATCGAGGACACCGAGTCAAGCCTGGAGCAGACCCGCAAGAAATACCAAACGGAATTTGCCACGCTTACCAAGGAGCTCGACCTGGCTCGGGAGGAGAAACTGTTCAAGCAAGCCGAGATCGCACGCCTGCGGGAGGAGCTGGACGACCTCAGGTCCAAATGGGACGACGAGGTCCTGAACAGCTCTACATGGTCCAAGGAGAAGGCTCGTCTCGAGTCTTCCCTTGCCGACGTGTCTGCCTCCCACGAGGAGGCGGTCAATGCACACAACGAAGCCCAGGGCAAGATCGTCAACCTGCTGTCACAGGTGCGGGCCCTCCGCTCGTCTGTCGATGATGTGACGGCAGAGCGAGATGCTCTTTTCCGCGAGAAGCGCAGCGTCGAGGCGCGTCTTGAAGAGGCCAAGGCTGGACTGGAAGACCTGGCCAGGAGCGAGAGCCCATCGCTCCGCAACGCCGCCAGCATTGACAAGGAGATCCTCGACCTCAAGTCCAACCTGGCGCAGCAGGAGGATATCGCTACGGCTGCCGTGGAGAAGATGCGTCGGGCTGAAGCTCTCGCATCAGAGGTACAAAAGGACATCACGGTGGAGCGTGAGATGAGCGTGCAGCTGCAGAAGGACAAGGCGGCCCTGGAGAAGACGCTCAATGAAGTGCAGGTCAGGCTAGTTGACCTCGAAACCAAGGGATATTCGAGCGCTAGTCAGGACATCAAGTTCTTGCACAAGCGTATCCACGAGGCAAGTCTCTAACTATTTTTTTTGTTTTTTTGTTATACCCCGTCCCACCATCGTCAAAGAAAGCCAAGAGACCCACATTCTAACAGACAGTAGTTGGAATCGCAACTCGAGGAGCAGGAGAACACACGAGCCAAGTCCCAGCGGTCTGTGCGCAATGTGGACCGCATTGTCAAGGACTTGCAGGGCCAGATCGAGCGCAAGGACAAGCAGAATGCGCAGACAGAGGAGGACCTCAACCGTATGCGCGACAGGGCGGACAAGCTCCTCAAGACGATTGATGAGCTACAGGCCTCCGAATCTACAAATCAGCTCCAGGCTCGACGGGCGGAGCGGGAGCTTCGCGAGGAGAAGGAGAAGGTGGTACGCCTGGAGCGCGAGCTCGACAGCTGGAAGAACCTAAGATCCGAGAAGGGATCGGTCTTGGGCTCCATTGCGGGCAGCGTGATAGGCTCGGCAAGAGGAGTCAGCAGGTCGGGTACGATGGCGACGATGAGGAGCTCTGCCCTGGCCAGCGTGGTAGACGAAGAGACTGATGCCGAGGGCCACGTGGCGATCCCTCAGAGGAAGAGCAGTATTAGTCGTGTGCCCAGCCTCACAAAGGGTTTCCTGTAGGGTCAGGATCGCGTTTCTTCTTTGCGTTCGGGGTGATTCAAGGATGAGGAGGGAAGGGGGGAAAACGGCAAGCAACAATTGAATTGGTTGAGATACCCGCCGTGATGGAAAGGGCATTGATACGGAGTTGTATCGTAATTTTATTGGGACATCCATTGGGGAGCGAGCTCAGGATGAGGGTATTATCGAGTAGACGACGTCTTGTTTTCTTCATGTGCCATTGGTCTCAATCACGGCCGCGATAACGATGATTGATGAGTGTGTATGGATGGAGGCGGCTGAAGTAAGGAGCACACTGGTTGAGCTATATATAATGACAAGGAGCAGCATGTCGTCTCCACTGCTTCAGTATCAGAGACAAGTGCCGGCTTTGAGAAGCCTCAAAGCTCATGCTCATGCTCGCCACCTGTTATGTACGATAATGTTTATTACTACTATTTTGCAGCATAGAATTCTATCTTGGCTTGGGCAGACACGGCACAGAAATCGAGAGTTCAAAAGGATATAAAGTTAATTTTTGAGTTTGATTATGGTTTACCTGGGCGAGTGGATCACGGTTCACGGGCCTCGAGAAAGTTCCCCCCCCCTCCCCCCCAAGTTATTTACCCCCAAGTCTTTCCCGTTCTCCCTCCAAGTGCATAGTACTATAGTAGACCGCTTGGCGTTTGTATGCATGCACACAGCAGATCGCTGCAGTAGTCGCATGCGCATGGGGTCACTTCCCGCGCCATTCCTGGGGTTAGTCCCCGCACTACTTGCGTGGCGCGTGGTACCACTTTTACGGTTCTGGTACTACCTGCCATGTCCTCAAAGATGCAGGAATCAATACCTCAGTGCAATGACACCTTTCCCTGCTAGGTCGCATTCATAGTACGGTCGAGATCCTAGCTCCTCCTTTACCCCTGGAAGGTGTGACCCCGGTCTCTGCGAATCATCGCGAGTGGTGGCGCTGCAGGCGACGAGACTTCCCGGTCCTCAGGCTTTTTCTACAGCCGGTCCGTCCGTCCTTAGGGAAAGGAAAGAAGGCAAGGTTTGTTGAGAGAAGGAGGAGGGTACGATAGGAGAGACCAAGATGGTACCGGTATAAGTCATGGGCCGCCCGCCTTCCCGCCTCTCTACGCCCACCTCTGTAAATAAACATTGGAGTTCACCACGCATCACACCACACATACTTACCTTTTGTGATTGTTGATGTGAAGTTGCTTGGACAATTAACTGATTTGGTTTGTTGACTTACACACACATTGCATTCTATCGAGTAACATCATCATCACTACTACCACCACCCTCAGCATCCACACTCCAGCAACGGTCAACGTCCAATTGCTTCACACAGGGGCAGGTCAGGTCTCTCTCTTTTCAATCCGATTCAAGATGCAGTCAATCATCCTTCTTTCTATTGCCGGCCTTGTCGCTGCGCAGAATCTCTCTGGGGAGCCGTCGTGTGCTGTAAGTCCTCGTCTGCTTTCTCTGATATTCCAACCATAAAGCGCATACATTTGCCTCGAGATGAATACATAGCTTACCCTATCCTTTCTCTCCCCTCACAACAGGTCCCCTGCCTCTCCACCGCAATCGCCTCGGTCTGCACACCCGCCTCAGACCAGGCCTGCGCCTGCGCCTCCCAGTCCGCCATCGGTGACGCCGCTGTGAGCTGCCTGCTCGCGAACTGCGACAGCAACGACCTCTTGTCGGCCCAGAGCGTCGGCTCCGCGCTGTGTGTGTCCTACAGTGCTACCGCCGGGGGCGCCACGTCCACCGCCGCGCCATCCACCACGGGCACGGGTAGCGGCTCGGCCTCGGCCACTGCCACTGGGGCCAGCGCTTCGGGCACCGGAGCGACCAGCAGCAACTCGACCATCACCTCTGCGGCGTCTGTCACGAGCAGCGGCAGCAGCAGCACTGCCACGGAAGCCTCGTCTGGAAGCGGTAGCTCCACTGCGTCAGGCTCCGGGTCTGCGGCGAGCTCCTCTTCAACTGCGGGCGCAGGCGTTGTTCAGGGGTCTGCGGCCATGGGCGCAGGACTTTTTGGGCTGTTCTTGGCTGGTGTGGCGGCCCTCTGAGAGAACAAGACAGTCTTCAGGGTGGGATACATGACTAGGGAAAAGAAAGAGAGGATGGTAATAGTGGTGATAGCCGACGAGAGACTGTATAACTTTCTCAAAGTATAATGAGTGGATTCAAGTCACGGAGTATGCTCCCGGTAGTAAATGGATGTTGTGGACCTCTCTTTTTCAGGATGGAAGCAGCACTTGAGACATGATATTCTTGGGGCTGAAGCCTTAATGAGAGACGCTCGACATTGCGCCAGAGCCTACGTCTGGCAAAGGTTGGCGTTGAATATTAAATTTAATCTTGGTATACACTCTGGGTTTTCCCTCTCTTCTCTGCTGTGTGACTGGCTCCAGAACCATTTGAACAGATGCCCTTTGTCGGCTTTGCAGGTCTCGTGAGTAGCTTAAGTTGCCTTGAAGTCTGTGGATTTAGAGTACAGCATCGAAATACTACGGCGATAGGCGATGCCAACGTCTTCGATGAGGCAAGCTCAAGCGTGCATTGTCTCCTTTGAGCAACTAATTCTTGTAGTGAGAAGACGCTGATTGCTGAGCAACACCGGGACCCTACCTCAAAGTACAGGAATGGATTATGTAAGCATCTCCTGTACTTGCGCCAACCCACAAGAGCCGAAGCGGACCTTGCCAGCTACAACACCAGCAGTGACAATCACCTCTCCACTCACATCCCAACAGAACGAACCACTTTCCCTTTTCGCCCAAAAGAATAGAACAGAGCACCTGCGATGGCCACCTCTCAGGCACCCCCTGCTGCTCCCAACAGCAATGGCGAGCCCAAATACGGCGGCTTCACACGCTTCGAGATCGAGCTCGATTTCGTCCAGTCCCTCGCGAACCCGCACTACCTCAACCACCTCGCCGCGCAGAAGCTCCTCCAGCAGCCCGCCTTTATCGCGTACCTGAAATACCTGCAGTATTGGAGAAAACCACCGTACCTCAGGTACCTAGCTTACCCTGGTCCGACGCTGCGCAATCTCGAGCTGCTGCAGCAGGAGCAATTCCGGAAAGACATCATCTCGCCGGCTGTTGTGCAGGAACTGGTGGGCCAGGGTTTGAAGGCTGCGGTGGACTGGCACCAGGAGGAAAAGGAGGCTTGAGGGGGAAAGAACCAAGAACTGGGCCAAACATGACCCGGATGGTTTTTTTCTGCTTGAATTCGATATCGAATACTGAGAAAAAAAGAAGAAACATTCAGAAGAACGCCGTGACGCCATGCCATGCCAACTATACCGACCAGACCAACCCCAATCCTTCGTCGCGAGACGCCGTTCGCGTCGCATGGGCCCATCTCTTTACCTTGAACCTATTCTCATTACAAGGTTTCTTCCGTCGGCCTGTATCAACTACTTTAATTCTCCCGCCACCGATGGCCACAAGTCATGCACTACACGCAAGAGAATCAGTGTCAGCCTGTACACCAAACGAGGCACAATCGGGTGCCAGGGTCGAACAATTTCTGAAGATAGGAAGAAGAAAAAAAAATACCTTGAAGAAGCTCGTCATGGGCTCATCAGCACTGCGAATTTGCACCTGGAAAAAGGCCGCTTCCTCGCCGTCGCAGCCTTCGGCGGGACACTGGACCTTGCCCTTCTGTGCATTGTCCCAGGCACCCGGTCCGCCAAAGACATCCTCCCTCTCCTTCCGGTGGAATACGCGCCGCGAGTACAGGGGCTCGTTGATGGCATACTCGTAAGGGCAGGTGCGGCATTCGAGGCGGTTGAGACCGTTGTCCATGGCGGACACGGTGAGAATGTTGGCGCAGTGAGGGCAGACTGGACGAAGGATTCGGGTCAGTCAGAGTCTCGGGCTTTGGCGCCTTGGAGGAGGGGATGAGTCTTGCATAGTAGCATCTTTGCTAGATTTTTTTTTTTTTGGTTTACAACATCAAGAGTGTGTTTGATGGTGATACTTGCTATGTGCCCACGTCTTCTTGCGTATCGTTGTCACCGTGGTCGCATCGTTGAAGCTATGCTCAGTCAAATGGAAATTTTGAGAGAGGCGCTGTTTGGAAAATCGAGCCCGGCCCATTTTGATGGGCCATTCTCTAAACCCACCCAACCAACCCCAGACATTTAGGTACCGGCAGGCAAAGACAGGGAAATGGACAGACACTAAACAGCCCGCTGAGACGACCCCGCGGTGGGCCCCCCTTTGCGGTGTGACAAGGGTGTTTTGCTTGGCTGGCTGGAGTGTTCTGTAGGTACCATAGTTACATGCCATGGTAGGTTCCTCGTGTGTTGTGCACTACGCGGCTGTCACTGCCACCCACCACCTCCTTTGGGCCCAACGCACGCTCTCTCCTTTGGGCTCTGTTTGAACTCAAGGTTGCCCAAGCAGCAAGCTAAACCCAATGCCGCGCGGCTTACATGCTCACCACGACCTATTGACGAAGTGAACTCCTAACCGAACTGACGATCATTGTCGATTATTGCCCCTTCCTTTTCTCTTGGTGAAGCAATTCTTTCTTTTTTCTTGTGTCGATCGTCTGAAACTCTTGGGTTCAGTTAAGGTTTCTTCTGGTGTCATCTAGCTGTCGGTTTTTTTGCGAACCAGACGAGTCGGTAGACAAGACGAACGAGAGCTCCAGAGCCCCTTTAAAGCACGAAGCCCAACGCCAAACCTTTCGCTCTCTCTCTCTCTCTCTCCCTCTCTCTGTGCCTGTCTCTCTGGAAGCCCAACAGTCTCGCCATCCACTGCCCAGGCTCCCAAGTTGCTTCCCTCATCATGTCTCACGAAGAGGAGCACGAGGTACGGATCCCCCCCTTGGCCGCCCCATCCTATCCACGTGCCAAGTAGACAGGATAGAAACGAAAGGGAAGGAGGGTCGAACTAAACCTGTGGAACAGGGCGCCTCTGTGGGGGAGATCCTCATCGAGGCCTGTCGGCGCGACAATATCGACCTGATGAAGGAGACACTCGAGGGAAAGAGTGAGGCGGAGATAGCGGACTTGCTGAACAACACGACCACCGTGATGGGTAACCATCTGTATCATGAGGCTGCTGCCAGGGGCAACTGTATGTTTATGTCTTCCCTACATGCCACCACTTTTCCTATTCCCCTGACCTTCTATCTCTCTCTTCCTCGAACACCAATACACACACAAGATTCTTGTTTCTTCTTGGTCTTCTTCCTCCTACCTCCCCCTTTTCCCCTTCCGTGTTCCCCAGTGGCATGCTAACTCTCTCTCTCTCTCTCCTCTTCTTCTTCCCCTTCCTGATAGACGACATCATCGACTACCTCCTCGACCAAGAAAACTTCGAGTGCGACCCCGTCAACCGCGTAGAGGGCGACACCCCGCTCCACACCGCCATCCGCTGGATCAACAACGAGCCCGAGGCCCAGCGCGAGTTCGGCGACGCCCTCGTCGACATGATGCTCGAGGCCGGCTCCAACCCGCGCGTCAAGAACAAGGGCGGCCTGACCGCGTACCAGCTCGTCGACCCGCGCAACACAGGCCTCCGCGCCCTGATACAGAAACATGAGTACGCCATCCTCAACAGGGGGGATTTTGTGGATCATGCTGCCGACAGTGGCGCTGCGAACGGTGAGGGTGCACCGCTTGGCAGGAAGGATGCCATCCTGGATGTGGAGAGCGATGAGGATGCCGAGTTCAGCGGGAGTGATGATGAGGAGAGGGCTGAGTGGGAGCGGAGGCGGAAGGAGAGGGCTGCCAGGAAAGGCTAGACAGCGGTTCCATACACAACGGCGGTGGGTTGTTGAGTGCTGTGAGGATGGGGGGGGAGGGGGGGGAAGGGCGTACATATCCGTGAAAAGAAACAGGGAGACGGGGGAGAAACGGGGGCTGAGTGCATCTAGAGAGCGCATGTGTTGGTCAAGAAGGCGCAGCAGGACATTTTGATTAGAAGGTCCTCCCGATTTTTATTATTATTTTGAGATCGGAGGGGGGAGATCACCGCTTAGAAAAAGCATTCATGCGGATCATTTGCATAGTTTTTCTTGAGATTACCTTTCCTGTCAAACTTGTGTATGTCGTGGCGTGCTGTTGTAGGGAAGTGCGCTTCTCCTGGCATTGGAAATTAGTCGAGTTCTAGCTCTGTTCAAGGCGAACAACCTGTGTGCTGCGCCGTACAATTATGTAAAATCTTTCTGATATTGAATCTTAAATGCGAAACAGGAACCCTTCAGTCCCGGGTATATATCTCAAAAGAGAAACGAAAATGCTATGCAAAGCAGCGCTCTAGTCTAATCTTTCAGTCTTTGCGTAGTGGATGACAACAAACACCAGGCCAGCCTGGGCGTTCTCACCACCGATATATCCCAACATCATTCATATCTCCAAACAAAGAAAGACAACCATGATCAAACGTCTCACTCGTACCTCATTCTCACACTTATACAACGCCTGCGTGAGCTTTCTTTCCCTCTAGGACGGACCACACACAGCTTCACCATGAGGAGCTCATCATCGCCAGCGATACCGCCAGCGCAGCCACCAGCACCTTGCCGACGCCAGGGCGACCCCTGCTACCAACCGCCCCGCCGTGCGTCTCGATGTACGTCACATTACTCGCCGCGGCCAAGATATCCTCGCTCATGACGCCCGACGCTGCCCACTCGCTGATGAGCGTGCCGAATGTGGCGAGGATGTCAGTGCTTCTTCCCTCCGGGCAAAACGTGACGCTCCAGCCGCCTCCCCCGGGAATCACAAACGTCGAGGTGCCGTCGTCGTACGGGTAGCTGTACGCATCCGGGCACACGGCCTTGGCGCTGCGGCTGTACAGACTCCGGGGGCACTTTGAAGACGAGTCGTACGAGCCCGTGCAGCAGTCCTTGGCATCGCCCGTCTTCTGACACGCGGAGAGGCACGGATCGAAGACGGGGCGGACGATGTTGTCGTCTGGGTACGGATAGACGCCTGCGCCAGGCTTGGCCGGGGGGTCGACCTGTAAGGGCCAGGGACACCAGTGGCCGACATGACTGTCTGTCTGGGACTTCTCGTAGGGCATGGGGTATGTGCTGTTGGTGTAGTCGGTGCCGGTGCGGTTGGGCGCAGACAGGTAGCCCTTGGTGGCGATGCAGGCTGGGGAGACGAGATTTGGGGGTGGGGCGGTGGTGTTGCTGGTCGGGTCGGCGATATACTCAAGACCCAGAGGGATATTGTATCCATCGACGAGGGAGATGTCGATGAAATTCTGCGAGCTGGACACGCCGCCGGAGAGGGTGAACTCTGCCAAGGTTGCGGGAGGTGAGCCCTGTCGCGTTTACACATTAGAACTTTACTACGTCTTGAATCTCACATGAATCTCGAACGACGAAAGGAAGGAAAGAAAGACAACAAAAACGTACAGATAGGTAGGTGCAGTTCATCTGGCCCTGACAGCTCCCCGTCTGGCAGTCCAGCAGCCCATCGCCAGATGACGTGCAGTTTGTCCTCGCCCATACCCTTCCGTCCCAGTTCGAGGACACTTCCAGCGACTGGTTTGAGCCGGCCGTGAGCTCAAAGCCTCCTGTATCTGGTCCTGTGCCGCTAGCAGTATATATTGCCGGCCATAACGTATCTGGGCACTTGTTGTATATTTGCAGCGGCACCTTGCCGTTCCATAAAGACATCGTTGTGGTTGAGAAGGTCAAAAGATGAGGAAGGGAGAGTTGGAATATATCTGGCGCCCAAAATGATTGCCTTGTTGAGTCTATAAGCAATACGGGACTTGTATCAGTGGAGCAGACAACAATGCTGTAAATATGTATGTGTGATCAAGGGATAGACTTTTTGAGGAAATCGTCGTGAACGCTCCCCCTGCGCGAGGGGGCTCTGGCCTACCATTATAAGCTATTCCTACACCATTCCATCATCACCGAGATATGAGAGAAGAGGTACACAGCGGTTCGCATGCGAGGCCCAGGTTCCAGGCTCCCCAGCCATGCTACGACAAGTACTGGGGGATCCTCTCTTCTGCCTTGGTTTCGTTTCAAGCGATACCAACCTCCGACTCCTACTGGTCCAGCTCACCAAAGGTCCAGGCCCAGCAGGGCATTGCCATGGCGGGCGGCGGGTAGAAGAGTTATGACGCATGAATCGATTGGGTTTCCCGGATTCCCAGGGTTCTGGGGCAAAGCAGGCCCTATGGAAAGTGCGTCAAGGGTGGCTGATTGGAACAAATGACCAGGGCAGCGGGTGAGTGCGTGGTGGTTTCAGTGGGCTGAGCAGCTTGCAGTGCAACCGCTGCAGGGGCAGGCTGCAATTGTCAATGGTAGCAGAGACGGGCGTGCCCTGAACGAGGAGTAGAGCCGCCGATCAAGCGCCACAACAGGTCACAGAGGGAGAGGAGAGATGCTTACTGCAAAAAGGTGAGAATGAAAAAGGCAAGGGATCCACACTCACGGCCCCTTGGGTAGCAAGGAAGGAAGGAGGACCGGACCCTTGGAATTGGGCAGTGATGTCACAGGGTTTCCTTTGGCTTTCATCAACAAACAACTGACTACCTGCTTTATCCAATCAAGGAAGAATCTCTTTTCTCAAGCCATAGCTATCCAAGGCAGTGGATGAGTAATGCAAATTCTTACAGATGGCAATAAATTTCTTGCTTTTGAAGTATCAGGGGGGAGACACGGTTAACTGATTAAAGAGTATTTAGAAGTATAAAGCAGCGGTGGTGATGGTGACGGGTTCAGGTGGATAGACGGTCAAGATCACTCTGCAGTGGAGGCAATGAGGGATCTACGGCCAAGTAGTCTCTTTTCTTAGGCTCTAGGTAACCTTGAAATGTGGTCCCTGATTGACATACATTCTTGCCTTTTTCTTCTTTTTTCTTCTTCCGTACGAGACAAAGCAGTCGCAGCAAATGATATCCACATTATTCCTGGAGAGACCACTATATCAAGTTTCTTAGCAAAGCAGCTTGGACTCTTGTCATGAGCGCTTGAACTTTTAGTGGGGCTTTTTTTTTTTTCTTTTCCTTTCTTTGTTTTCAATTATATAAATATTTCCTAGTGTTCTTGCAAAACAGCTTGATCCTTTGGTGGAAAGCCAGGTTTTAGGCAGGTTTTGAGGTAAAAACAAGTCTTGTGGTGACAGCACAGGCTTTCGTGGTATCAAACACAGCGGGGTTTTCCAAGTGCCTGAAAGGCTAAGGGAAGCTAGGAAGGGGACTTAGTCTTCGAGAAGAGAGCTGTGTGGCACCCAGTGCCCATGAGAATGTGAGCTGTGCTGTGTCCCTTGGTGAGGGCGCTTGGTCTGAGCTTGATCTTCTAGAAAGGAGCTGTGTAGCGCTCTGCACTCACATGTAGTAGACCAGGCTTTGTCTTCTAGGACAGACGCTTCACCACCTGCACCATAGTACAAGAACTTACACAAATGCATCAAAGAGGTCATGCATACTAATGACCGAATGCCAGGAGTCAATAGATGTTGTAAAATAGACAGAGAGATAGGTAGTAATAATCAGCACAAGTTTTTTAATGACCAAGAGAAAGCCCGATTATGTGAAGGCATGTAGGCTACTTGAAGCAGTGCTTAGTAAATCATTAATCTACTAACATCATCTATCGCTCTCATCTCTTCACAATAATGTAGCGTGCTATATTCGTGGTAGTATTCACCATGATAGTCATGAGAATTCGCAGTCGTGGTATCAGCTGTAGCAACCCCCTCTGCTACAAGAGGAAAGAGAGAAATCAACAATATAAAACAAAATATAAAATGTCTTTCTTTCGGAAGTGAAGAAAAGGGGGAAGCTCCTGATTTTTTCCAGTATTTGTGCATCTGACAGCATGCTCCCACCCTCGCCGCTTCCTGTATATCTTTTTTTGTCCTTTCTCTCGCCCTTCCCAAACCAACAGTCAGACATCCCCCCGCTCTCCCTGTCTCTCTCCCTCTCCCTCTCTCTCTTTGGCAACTCATCAGAATTGGCTACCTGAATCTTGCCCTGCACCGACCCATGACCTCTCCCTGGCACACCAGCTCAGCGCTGAACTCAGAACCGTCCAGTGTCAGGTAAATGTCAAAGTACACGCGGTAGAACGTGCCCTGTGGCGTATCCATGCGCTCGAAATCCTTTTCGAGGTTCTTGCGCGAGAGGTCGGACGTAAGGGTGACGACCTCCTTGATGCCTATCGAGGATGCTCAAGTTAGCTCTGTGGTGGGTTTCCCGTCTAGCTCACTCATTGGGGTGTAAGGTAAAGGGAAGGGGGGGGGGGGGGGGGTAAAAACTCACGAGGATCCTTGGTGTACTCCGGGCATACATCGTCGTCACAAGCAAACAGTATGTCCTCGTACATGAGCGTGGCGCCTGGCGCGACCTGCCGGAAGAACGACACCTTGACGGGCTCGCCAATCTTGACCTTCTGGCCCTTTTGCACGAAAATCTGGCGTGTGAACTTACACCGGTCCTTGCCGTCGAGCGAGGGCACACGGTACGCTTCGGGGTGATAGCCCTCCTTAAAAGGCTGCAGTGTCGCCATGAGGTAGTGCCGCCGTGCCACACGGTGGGTGATGACCCGCTCCGTGATACCAGCCGTGACGGCACCCTTGACGATGGCCGCCACCGAGTCCATAGGCCGCACTACCTTGGCCTGGAACTGCGGTGGGACGTGCAGCTTGATCTGCTGGAAGAGGTACTCGGAGGCACCAAAACCACCAACGACGAGAATATTCTGCAGCGTCCGGTTCTGTGCCTGGATGGCGATGATCTGGTTGCGCACGAGCTCCAGGATGCGATTCACTACAGGTTCGAAGCATTGCAGGATCTCCTCGTTCGTAAAAGTCATGTAACCCTCCTCAATGCCGGCCTCTGGAAACTCAGCCTCGATACCGACATCGACGGCCCATTTCTGTCCGTTGTTACGGAAGTCGGCCTTGATCCGGTTCTCGAAGTCCATGATACATTTCGCATAGACACGGCCGGCGGTCTTGGATCCGTCAGGCAGTTTCATCTTGCGGATCTTTGTCCGCAGGATGTTGCTGAAATTTCTGTTCAGCGCAGTCGAACCGCACGAGTCTCCCGATCCAGCTGTGCACTCGGCTACCGTGAAGGGATTCTCGTCCTCCACCTCGTATGCAATCAGATCGACGGTACCACCGCCGCAGTCCACGATGAGCAGGGCATCGTGTACCTTCAGGTTGAGCAAGCCAGTCTTGGCGCAGAAAAGTGCTGCCGCCTCAGGCTCGGACACAAGCGTCAAGCGGTTGTCATTCTCGTCGCGTAGGAAACCTGCCTGGATGGCAGCTGCTCTTGTGGCAGCCTTGCCAGCGTCGTTCCAGATGGCAGGGACCGTCAGGTAGTATCGGATATTGCGCTCTTCTCTGTTGAACACCTCTCCGAGGGTCTTCTGAAGCGCCGCGCGCATAGCCTGGCGGAGCTTGAAGAGATAATCGGCGGCGACATCGATCTCGGACTTTCCTGGCGGCAGAGGGGGCAGGTTGATGGGGTCGATGTATGTGTTGCCCGAGAGCATGAGCTGAAGCTTGAACCATTCCACCTTCTGCACTCCAGGCTTCGGATATCCTGTCGGGGCGAGGGCATCGGCGATATCGGGGCCCCATCCGACGACTTTCTGATATTGGTCGTAGTAGAGCACGGTAGGGATCTGTGAAGAAGGGCATCAGTCTATAGTCTCTCTCTCTCTCTCTCTCTCTCTCTCAATGCCTGAGTGCTTTCAAACATTTCCAACGCTGCCGTATGGTATCAAAAACAGTTTCCTCGTACCTTCTGCTTCGTGTATGAACCAGCGCCTGGCCACTCCGTAATGATATCCTCCTTTGCCTCGTTATTCGTTGCGAAGGCGAATGCGACACCAGAGAAGGTTGTGCCCTGGACGACTGGTTATTAGCATGAACCACTCTCACTTGTCTGATCTCAGGGCTTTCTGTAATCGTCTTCTCGAAGAGTGGTTGCTCACAAAATCAATTCCAACAATCAACTGCGCCTTACTCCTGCTATTCCCCTCTACCTCGGCAGCAGGTCTCGTGTACGCCCCTGTCGGGAGGCTCTGGCCTGGCGGAGGGCCGCCATAACCTCCTGCGCCGGTGTAGCCCGGAGGGCCTCCGGCAACTGGCGGGCCGCTTTGCATTGGGGGAATCTGGGGGGGATAACCAGCAACAGGAGCTCCAGTATTAATTGGTGGGGGGCCGCCAACCATCTGCGAAGGAGGCGTGCGTGCTTGACCTATCGTAACACGGACGATTCGCGTCAGTTGAGAAAGTTTCTTGTTTGAGACTTGAGACTGTTCTGAAGCAAAGTGGTGGAAGAAACATCCCAGGAGGGAAGAAAGGGCGTCAAGGTAAGATTTATAAGAGGGGTGCCGGGTGATAGAAGTAGGAGGAGCAGGAGGGGTGAGGTTCAGCGCCCAGGGCTCGGAGCAGGAAAAGAGGGGCTCGACCCACCAGGATAACCAGCAGTGTAGCTCGGTGGGCGTGGGCCCTGGCCAGGATGGTTCATCTGGGGCAGCGACTGTTGCGAGGAGTTCGAGGCGACCGAGATGGCCTGTCCTGCCGGATACTGCTGCTGTTGTTGTTGTTGCTGCTGCTGCTGCTGTGGTGGTTGTTGTTGTTGTTGTTGTTGTAGCTGTCCGATTGGTGGTATAGAGATGGAGGACTGGGACACGGAGCCCAGCAGCGGCGGAGGGGTCCTGCTCTGGGTGTGGGCGAGATCTGGCGACTGTATGCTCGCACTTGAATTGCGTTTCGCAAGGCCCAACTTATTCTTAAAACGAGCGTTGAAGGAGCTCATAAGTAAGAGAGCCTAAGGCTGGAGGGGAGAGAGGTTTTGTATAAAGAAAGGAGAAGGAAGAGAAAGAAAGAAGAATCAAAAGAAGAGAGCGGAAAAGGTAAGAAAGATGGTGGCACTACTACCTCAGCCCAAGAGAAAGAGGGGGGGGGGGGGGGCGAAGGACGCAGGACGCAGGACCCGAGACCGACAAGGCAGGTTGAATGTGGATGTGGTGCCCGTATCGTTGTCCACAGGTGTGTGTTTGTGTGTGTGTAGGACGGGTGTCAGAAATTAGGTTAATCCAGGTCTCTGTTGCGACTGTAACTGTCCGTCGGGCTAGGCTGAGCTCTGGTCTTGCTCAATTCTTCCTCAGTTCCGTCAGTCAGCCAGTCCTCCGTGCTGGGTCCTCGGCTGAAGTGGGCCAGGTCAAGCTGGCTTGGCTGGCTTTGAAGTGTAGGACGAGAAGAGAAGATGGGACGGGACGGGGGACTGCAGGCTGAAGGCTGCAGTAGAGTGACAGTGCAGGTTTAGTGACGGTGATGGTCACGGTGACAAGGACAAGGCGTTATGGAGGGTCGAAAGACTGGGCAGGGAGGAGGAAAGGGTTGCTTTGTTGTCGGGTTGCTCAGCAGGCATCTGCAGCAGAAGAAAGAAGAAAAAACACTCCTGGCCTGCCGATCAATGGTAAATGCTCACCTACTCATTACCTTCAGAAAGGGCGAGGTTTGAGATGAACAAGGGCTAAAGAAGGGAACTGTAACGGGAGGCGTAAATCGGCGGCAGACGGCGGGGCAGGGGCAGGTTGGGTTAGGTTAGGTCAGATCCGACAGGGGTTTTGGGGGGGACCGTTGACAATCAGGCAGCAAGTTCTTGTGAATGTGTGCTTAGCACCATAGCTGGGCTCGTCAGGCTGGATGGTTGAAGGATTGTTTACTCATTCAAAATTCTTCATTCATCCACTGTTCTGCTGCATGTGGCGCTAGGGTAGATGCAGGACAGGACAGCAAGTACCAGCTTCGGTGAAGGGAAGGGGAGAGATGGAGGGGGCGAAGACATTGGCAGTCAGAACAAGTGGAGTGGGACGAGGTTGTGGTTGCAGGCCGCAGGGAGGGGTTCGAGATCTAGGACTTCTTTCTGTCTAGGCCACCAACCAATCAACAGTCGTTGGAACAGCGCAGCTGAGCCTTTGAGTCCTACACCAACACTACCAACAACGGACAGGCCAGATTGGGATCCATTTACCTCCCCAGCCCCAGCCACTGCTGCACGTCTCCTGTCATCTTCTTTTTTCTTTCTTTTCCTCGTCCTCAGTCTTTCTCGATCCCAACTGACCGTGGTGGATGAAGTTTGTAGTTAATCAAGAGACAGAAAACTAAGCACAAAACAACCTTGTGCCATGTTCTCGAATCCACCAATATCCGACCATCCCAAGGGAATTCCATAGTAACAGTTCCGTACGTGCTATATGGCCGTTTTACCGTAATACATAGTAAATCCTCCCAGCACCTGCGATGGCCCGCTCGCCGGAAGGATTGTCTGACTGATAATCCTGCAACCGCATTTTGCTTGCATAAGGAGAAACAAAACCATACAGGGCTTGTCTAGCAGTATCAAGCCACTGAGGTCTCCCAGAATAATGCAAGATCTGAATCAGTGGCGGTGAAAAATGATCTGGGTGGCTGATGCGTCTTGAAAAAGCGAGGTACCATCTTGTGGGTGGTGAGGTGTCGCAACAAAATATTGTAGCCCCCTCCCTGCGCTTAGCTAAAGCAAGTAAGCAACCAGTAGTACGTAGCGTGAGTACCAGCTTATAACACGATCGAGCCCTGCTACCCTACCACTCTGCAACCCTAACGACCACGCCATCAATGGCTGCTACAGATTGATAACTCTCTCCCCCACCTCTTGGGGGCATGCATCTCAAAAGGGCTTTCGACACCACGACCAACTACGGCGTGACCGATCGCTCTATGCATACTATGGCTAACCCTCATGTATTATCTCTCCTCCCTCCCTCAGAAAGCCCGTCGACATCTAATTCTCCAGCTGCTAGAGCTGAACAGGCCAGGTGCACCTTCACCGTAGCCACATCCTTTGTTCTCTCCCTCACGCCCGTTCCAGACACATGCCTTCCCCCTCTGAAAAGAAACAAATTCTATTTATCGATCTCAGAGATCCACACGGTTCTCAATGTCGTAGCCAGAAAGAAAAAAAATCCCACGCGATTCAGCCCAAGCTTGCAGAGGCGGTGATCTCAAAAAGAACCATATCCCGGCACGGTGGTGGAGGGGATGGATGGACAGGGCGGGACGCGGCTGAGTCTTTCCAGGGGTGCTCCCCCCAAGAAAGTGGCTCGGTCTGGCTGCGCCCTCAACCCCATCCATCATCCCGCCTACCACCCCTCTCCCCAACTGTAAGATGCGAAGCTGTTATTGATTTGGAATTTTTCTTCTTTATTTTTATTCCCTCACCGACTTCCTTCTGTCTAAGTTGTTTATGATGCCAACAAGTACCCGTAAGCCATCAAGGTGCATGATGGCCAATTCCGCTGGACCGAGCAAGCCTATCCACCAGAAGCAGGAGGGTTAGTTGCAATGAGGTTGACCCCGCGCAGAGTCGAAAGAAACCCCTGCACCGCCACATGCAACCTTCTGCACCTCTCCACGGCGGCTATTGCGAAGATATCAAATCCTTAGAGATCGCATCGTCCACATCGATCCGAGCAGGTAAGGAGGTCTGCATACCCACCTGCTCCAGCAGCTACACAGTACTATATCCGTCCCCACGCTTGCCCTCAACCACAGCCCTGATTGGATCTGATAGCCGCGAGCCGCCTCGTTAGGTTTCTGTAGCGGGCGTCCATTGAGACCCGCAGCACCATGCAACCACAAGTGTTTTGGCTGATAAGCTTTTTTTGGGGGGGGGGGGGGAGGTTGTTGGCCGTCATGGCTGCGTTCCCAGCCCGGATGCACTCACCAAGCACTCGGAGCTGGGAATGGTCGTGTCGTGCTTGCACTGCCGTTCTGCTGCAAGTCACCTTGCTTGATAGCCGGCTATGGATTCGGTGCCGGTATCTTATGGATCCGAATGCTAGCCCCCATGCCCGTGCTCTCGATTCATGCTGTAGGTGACGCTCTGTGTGGCCCCCAAATGGAGGCTCATATCAAAAGCACAACTTTCAAATATGTATCAACCTCAAAGGCGGATAGGTATCTGGGCCCTTCAGAATGTAATGTTTTTTCCATGACAGTCATTGCTAGATCGAGATCCCATCCTGTATCTTTGGAGCAGCTTTTAATGTCACCAACGTGCTCATCCCTCTGCATTCAGAGGTATCTTCGGTCTTTTGTCTTTATTCCCCCTTCCCTGGCTACTAGATATGGATCACATTTCATGGGCTAGAATTTCTGCTTCATAACTCTCAATGGAAATAATGTATGAACTACCTCGCCAGGCTAATATACTCTACACTCATTGGAGCTATTTCAACAACAGTGAATTGAACATTGCATCGAGGTAACACAGAACTTTCAGACTGAGATATCGTCAGAGCATGGAGCTAATAAGCTAAGAAGAAGAGAGAAAATAAGCAGCAATTTCAAAGAGCAAGGTAGATACTTTTGCACACAATTACAAGCATCTCTCCCCAGGCACGGGCTCCAGAGCAGTGTGCTCCCATCCCATGCCAAGTGTCTAAATTTTGCGTCCCAAACCCCTACTACTCCACAAATGCATATGTGGATTGCTCTATATGGAATTGTAGGAGACACATAAGATACAGCTAGCATCAAGTTTGGCTCACAGGACTGCCCAGGTGTACATGCTGCCAGCGTTTCCTGAGTTACATCCGGCAACCGCTTGACCATCCCCACAAAGACCGCAAAAGTCACAACCACGATGGTTATTTTGGGCACTGGGTCCTTGTGTGGAGTCTTACATGTCCAGTCAAGGGTTGATGAAGCCCACTTGAGAGACCTGGGACTCAACTGTAGACGTTATTGGGGCATGTGCTAGGTTCAACTCAGATCTCGGGCTAAGTCCATTGTGTGGAACGATGACACTTAGATAGCCTGTTGCGATTCTTTGAGTCAACCTAATCTGCCTCCTCTATTGGCCTTGCTTTCTTATTTTTGTACATTGTGGACCTACCTATCTTACCCCATGCAAATGTACGAGGTCCCGGAGCCTCCCTGGAGACATAATCTGCTTCAATATTAAGAAGTCTCATTATGCACTTGTAGTCTTCCGTTAGAATGAACTAGTCTCATATACGCTCTAGCTGGGAGATGCTCTAATATGATTGGACTCATGAGTAAGTGTGATCTGCTAGGTTTACCATAATGGGCTTACAGTACGATATAGTACTTGTGGTAACTATGGCTTATCACAAATTGAGGCATGTCTATGCCAGGTCTGCAATTTAGAACATGAGACCCAAGATTTCCTACAGCTGTGATTCACACAAATAGGGACAGACCAGCCCGAGTCCTTGGTCCTTTGGTATAAGACTGCTCCGAGGAGAGTTTTCATAGCATTCCTGCCACAGCCATATCAACGAGACTCAGTGGCTTAAGACTTCAACACCAGGGCTCAGGCTTAGTACATACACACATACACACAGGACAGTTCTGCAATTACGAATTCTGAGTGGTCATGCCAACGAGCACATGAGATAAGATGGATGGCCGAGAGTAAGAAGTCTCGAGATTGTGCTTTCTACACAACACTCGACTCACTTCTCCGCCATAATCACTTGGCATCGAATCCAGCAGGTTCTACCTACCTAGTACCATTCAGACCTACCATCAGTACTGCAACAGTGGCATCTACCTCATCCTTGATATCCTGTCACCCATGATTCAAGTCGCTCTCGAGCGTTTGGCGGGCACGCTGGGACAGTCCGCCTCAACTGAACACCTCCCACGACGCATCTATCCGTTGAAGAGCCTCAAGAGCGGAGTGACAGAAGCAGCCTTACGATGATATGGTAGGATATTAGTACGTGCACACCATTGAGCATGAGCGGGGCCTCCACTTCTTCCAGTTTCGGCGTCGGGCTCGCGACCAATGGGCCAACTATGGCTTCAGTTATTGCATGGCTGTCGGTGTGCACAGCAGGGCCACCCACTACGAGCCTGTGGATGACTACTCTCTATCGCCCGCTTGGAGAATTACGACCAGTGGAATGCTCCAATTGTGTTCCTGGTGCCAGGTCACGTTGGGGTCTGAGATGAACATTTCCAACAGACCGAAGGGATTTTCAGAGATCGCTCAATGCACACGGCTGTGCATTGAGACTGCCGGTAGCGCCTCCGATATGTTTCATGCTGGATCTCCAGGAGGCAGGCTAGGGAGGTCAGGAGGTGAGGGTGTGTGTCTGGGGAAATCTCGTTTCACGCCAAATCTAGCCACGTTGCAACTTTACGCGGTGAGTTTTGCCGGGAATGGCTTCAGAAATGGGAAACTCAAGCTAGCGGGTCACCTTCCTCCCTGAATTGGCACGGACCCCACCCCTCCATTTTCTATGAGACGGGTCCCAGCCAATGCGGAGAATTGAATGTGCTGGGCTCGGGTCAGGTGGCACGACAAATAAGACGAAAAAGGTGAAAAGAAGCCTCGGCCTTTGCTCGAGAAATTGAATACTTTCTGTTCCTTACCTTGAACACCTGATCTGCATTGTTCTCTCCCCCGGGCACCCCGTGAAGATTTTGAAAAGTTGGGAGGTCGAAAGTCTGGAGTCGAGCTGGACCCGAACGTGGAGTCTCCAACCCGCTGTAGAGAGAAGGTCCGGCAGGGAATCGCATGCCGGCGCCCCTTCCTCGTGTGAGATTGCGAGTCCGGTGACGACAAGAGCCTTCTTCATTGCTCGCGACTCCTCGACTTCTCGAAAGGTTTCGTGACCGCCTCGGCCAAACTCCGTCGACCGCCGACAGACTCATTCGTGATCGTGAGCCCATCAATTCGGTCCTTTCGCACCTGGCTCCCCCCTTCCCCGGGTCCACCCTCTCCGGTCGTTCCCCAGACTCGTTTGATCTCTCCGCAAACCTGTCTTGTCGCGAGACTGGACAGACACCAGCGTCAAGCAGAACACACGTGACCCAAATTATCACCATCGATCGAGTGGCCGAGCGAGCGAGGGAAGAAGAGAGCGAACTCCAGGAGGAGGAGAGCCTCATTCCCAAACAGGGAGGGATCGCAGGACCCCGGGAGACCAAGACAACGCACATCAGACACTGCACGCAGACAGGACAGGCACCACTAGGCATTGGCAGCCCCACGACAAAGTCTCAAGCAACCCGCGAATTTCCTGTTTCTCTCTCCACGATAATTTCCCCGTCACAACAGCATTGCCCCACGGGAAACCCGCTGATTCTTGAACTTTTCTGCTCGTGCCGGGTGGATACTCTTCTCCGTCCGGCCCAAAATTTGCGTCATCCCACCGGGACTGTGAGTGTCCACTTGTGCATTGAGGCTCCAAGGACCTTGGAACTTCAATTGACCTTGGCGACTCGAAGCAGGTGGAGTTCATTCAGGTACTGTGTACAGGACCACACCATCCCACCCTTGTCTATCTGTCGATCAGTATAGCTCTGGGGGAAGGGAACGAGAACACCCACAGAGGTGAGAAAAATAAATTAGAAAAGGGACAGGGGGAGAAAAAGGTTAAGGCAATAAGAAGAAAAGAAAGGAAAAAAGAGGAGACCCCATCTTGTGCCTGTCCCCCTACTGGTTACTGACTACTGGCTGCTCGTTGTGTGTGTGTGTGTGTGTGTGACAACGGCACTCACTAACGCATGGCCTGCAGTTGGTCTATCCTGTTCCTGTTGCGGGCGGTGGTATTCTCGCCCAAGTATAACCTATGACATAGGATCTGGCTGGCCTGCATTCATTGCATGCACCTGGCTAGACTAGCAAGGGATCTTACATATGGATCGCGATAGGCACGATACTGACAGATAAAAAACCTTTTTATCTATCCGGCGCGCAGGCTTGCAGGACAGAAGAAAAACAAAAAGGCAACCGGGTCTACAAAACCTAGAGAGGGCCAGGGCCAGAACTAGAGCCCAGGCGCTTCTCAACTGACCGCCCAGCGCCCAACGCCCCAGCGCCAGAAGGGCCACTCCACTACCCATCACACCAAGGCTCCTCTAATCCACGAACCCGTGCGCGACCGCCCTCAACGACCACCCTTTTGATCTTCCCTTGATACGCTGCAGCACACCACCGCACCTCTCTCTCACTCTTGACGGATCTAGATCTCTCAATTGTCACGCCGTGTTGCAGCGCATTCGACTGATACGACCCCAAGACCTCACTACTTATCGGCAGGTCCACGCAGGGGGGTCCGGTCGCACGCATTTGTTGGGTACCTGGGGCCTCGCCCATGATCTCATTGCCAAACCTCGACCTGCATGGTATCCGGCCCTTTTCCAATCCTCGCTCCACTGAAACCGTTTCCGAAATCTCCGCCAGCCACCACCGCTGCACAGCTCGATCTTGGCCAGTAGCAGAGAGGTCACTTTTTTTTCTTCTTCTCACCCTCTCCCCCGGATCGTTTCCTCGCCAGCATATCTCTTCGAGGAGGTACGCACCGACGGCACGTCATTGCTGGGTCCGGTCAGTGAGGTGGCCGCCTGCAGGACTGACAGGCATTTTTTTTTTTTAATCGCGTCTGGTCTTGTATTCCCTCTCTGATTCTTCCCCTAAACGGTACATCGGTCCGGGATAAGGGCATATAGGAGGCTCTTCGAAAATACGATTCAGCGACGGATCCAGCAATCCCAGCAGGCGGGCCAGACAGTACGTCACGGGGAGGGGAGGGGAAAAAGGGCTTGGACTCGTTTTCCATTCCGCCCTGCCGTGCTGAACTGCCTCGATCCCTGGTCTGAACCGTCGCCAAACTGGAGCCGCCTTCGTTATTCGGCAGCGCCTCATGGCGTGCCATTGACGACGATTCCGTACCACCAGTGGATGGCCCAGACCTCAAGGCCAAGGAAGAAAAGTTGAGCAGCACCAACGGGACGGAAAGCAGCGGTAATACTGACACCAACAACATCAAAAAGAGCCGTCGGTCTCGCGCAGCAAAACGTTTATCATCCTCCTCCTCATCTTCTTCGTTTCTAGATCTCTCATTCGCGAATAGGGTACCTATCCTCTGGGTCTCTATCGTATTAATCTTAGTAAGTCACTGATTGGCCCCATCCAACACACCTTTCATCCCATCCATCCCTCCCACCCCCATGGGTCGCGACCTCGGCCGCGGGCTTTCCAGCGGCCCAAATCCGGCCAATTCTCTGCATCTTAGCTCCCCTCCAGATTTCTTGCCCCGCACAATCTCACCACTGCACCCACCACAAAAGCTTTCCACTACTATTTTATCGCGTGCCTTGCGTGCCTTGCGCCTTGTCGTGGGGAGAGGATACGGAGGTACCCCGGTACCTGGACTACTTTCCTACGTACTGTACATGGTACTTGGTTCCCATAGCTGACCCTGTCTCTCTTCTCTTAGCTCGTACAGCTTGTCCTCCATGACGCCAGGCTACTCCATTTCTCTCATTTAATACCGCTTCACCCTCTCCTCCGTCCCATCTACTCCCCTCTCGCCCAAGCTTCACCAGAGCCTGTGTGTGAAAATCCTCAAGTCTTTCCTACCTCAGCTCCCGTCTCAAGGCCGCTCACAATGGGGCTCACCTCGGAAACAAACCGCATCGTTCGCGAGTTCGAATACAACGATGCCGAACTCAACAAGGGCGTGCTGGAATTCATCAGTCAGATGGGTAAGTTTTCCCTCTCCCCCCACCTTGGATCTTTCTTTTTCGTTTTCTTCCTTGTTGTCGCATCAATCTTGGATTCACGAGCTCACACGTTGCAGAACTCGGACTGGAGAAGGATGGCACCAGCATGAGCCAGATTCCCACCTACGTCACCGGCGTTCCCAATGGCACCGAAAAGGTAAGCACCGTCTTGAGCCTCCCCCTCTCACGCGCGCGTGCGCAACTCACAGATACTGCACGCGACGACAAGTTCCGACTGACACCAATGCGCAAAGGGCCTGTACCTCGCTGTCGACCTCGGAGGCACCAATTTCCGGGTCTGCTCGATTCAATTGAACGGTGACACCACCTTCAACCTCACCTACTCCAAGGTCGCGATCCCCAAAGACCTCATGACCGCCAAGACCGCCAAGGAGCTTTTCGGTTTCCTCGCAAAGCAGATCGAGATCTTCCTCCGAACACACCACAACGAGCACTTCGAGCACCGCACGAGGAGGCGTTTCACCTTCAGCAACCCGGAGGGCTTCAAGGACGAGGAGATCTTCCGTCTGGGTTTTACCTTCAGCTTCCCCGTCCAGCAGATTGGCATCAACAAGGGCATCCTGATGCGATGGACCAAGGGCTTCGACATCCCCGATGCCGTCGGCAAGGACGTCTGCGAGCTGCTTCAGAGCGAGATCGACAAGCTCGGCCTGCCCGTCAAGGTGGCTGCTCTCGTCAACGATACCGTGGGAACCCTCATGGCGCGCTCCTATACCTCGCCTGGCAAGCAGGGCACCATCCTGGGCGCCATCTTTGGCACCGGCACCAACGGCGCCTACATCGAGAAGCTGTCCAACGTCAAGAAGGAGGTTCAGGGCCAATTTGACAAGTCAACTGGAGATATGGTCATAAATACCGAGTGGGGCTCCTTTGACAACCAGCTCAACGTCCTGCCCGACACCACCTGGGACCACCAGCTGGACAAGGACAGCATCAACCCCGGCATCCAGATGTTCGAGAAGCGTGTGTCTGGTATGTTTCTCGGCGAGATCCTGCGTCTCACGATCCTGGACCTGCTGAAGCAGGAGGATGTTCAGCTCTTCCATGATGTCAACTCGAGCTCGAATGACTGGCGGTCGACTACAACGATCGCCAAGGAGTCGGGCATCTTCAGACAGTGGGGTGTCGACACGGCGATCATGTCGGTTGCTGCGGCAGACAACACACCGGACCTCGGGACCCTGCGCCAGGCGCTCGAGGACCAGCTGCTGGTGTACAGCCCATCTCTGGAGGACGCACAGGCCTTCAAGGCTGTTGCCGAGTCCATCGGACGACGTGCGGCACGCCTGTCGGCTGTCGCAGTCGCAGCCATTGTGCTGAAGACGGGCAAGCTGACCGACCCCGCCTGGGATGGCGAGCCGGTCGATGTGGGTGTGGACGGTAGTCTCGTCGAGCACTACCCATACTTCCGCGACATGATGGACGAAGCGTTCAAGTCCATCGAGGGCATCGGTGAGGAGGGTGCCAAGAGGATCCGCATTGGTATAGCGAAGGATGGATCTGGCGTCGGTGCAGCGCTGATTGCGCTCGTCGCAACAGCCATGGAGAAGCACCAACCGACGCCGGAGGTGATGAATCAGGTAAGACCCATCTTGCGTAGCGGAGCTGCTGCCGGTTTGATTCCTGAGCTCGCGGAGACTGTCCCCGTCGACTCCCAGGCCGTCGTGTGCTAATCACCCCCTCGATCGTACAGCAACGGACTTCCGTGCTGTCTCTCGGCAGGATAAGATGGCAGCTCCGCAAGGTGCAATGGTGGCAGTGGGCAGGCGTTGGCCTACTGGCCGCATTTGCGGTGAACAGGAGGCGAGACTACCTCCTGGGACTGTGGAGGAGGTACGTGGCATGATCAACGACGTGGAGGGGTTCTGAAGAATGAAAGGGAGGGGACAAACAATGTGCATGCATCCCGTTTCTGGCGCATCGTGTGGGGTTCACATTGATTTCATTGGCCTGGATGCGAAAAAGAGGAAAACTTAAAAGGTCGCATCGTTCTGCACCTGCATGCAACCTGTGTTTAATCCTGTTTACTTCTCTTGTACACATGGTATACTTGGAGTCGGCTTTGGGCGCGGCTTTGGGCGGGTGGTTGTGTATCTGGGGCTAATGACTTTTATTATTTTTTTATCATTATTTTCTTCTAAGCTTTTTTTCCTTCCGTTTTGTTATTTTCCTCTTTTTCTCCCACCCTCTCTGGCTGGCCGCAGATTGGACTGGATTACACACTGCAATGCTTCCGGTTGCCTAGCCGGCTAAATGACCCTGCAACATCATCGTAACGGATGCTATTCCTTGTGGCTGTAACATTCTGGTCCAACGATACGACCCGTCTCTGCACTTTGGTGTTGACACCCCCCCTCGGAGGAAGATTCCCTGCCCTTAATATGAGCAATAGTCTTTTCTTTATTGTCGCCCCCGAGGACTGCCAATCATGGGTGCCCGTCTCTCCCTCACACGGACGAGCCATGACGGGTGAATAGCCAGGAAGAGAACGCTTGGAAGGGGTTGCATGTAGCCTTGCCCATCCATTGAGGCCCCCATCGCAAGCAGTGAAATGTAACCCCCCCCCCCCGACCCCCCGAGAGAGAGACAAACAGACCACCCTATCCGATGGAGCTGTGAAGTGATGAAGAAACATTCTGAGAGATATGGCCACTCAGGCAGTATTGGTGATGTTTTGACGATTAGTGATCAATCTTGAGGGAGAAATCCACGTGTGGGACACCCTGGTGAATGGCGCTGGTTGAGATAATATCGATGTCTGGACATCACCAGTCAGTCAGCGCACGGCGTGTGGGATTAGAGTGGAAGCAAGGTCGGATCAAGAGACTTACCATTACTGACGTACTGCTCGGCATTGTCCAGGGTCACGCCGCCTGAGACCTCGACGAGGAACTGCTTCTTGCCGGCCCACCTCTCCTTCAGGCTCCTGGCAGCGACCTTGACACCGTCGCCGGTGAAGTTGTCGAGCATGACGACATCGGCTCCAGCACCGATGGCCTCGTCGGCCTCGGCCTCGCTCTGTACCTCCACCTCAACCTTGAGGCTGAATCCCGCCACAGCCTTGGCGGCGGCCACGGCGTCGGCGATGCTCCCGCGGCTCCAGACGTGGTTGTCCTTGAGCATGACCATGGAGCTTAGATCCATGCGGTGGCCATCGGCGCCGCCCACCAGCATGCCGTACTTCTCCACCAGGCGGAACCCGGGCGTCGTTTTGCGCGTTCCGGCCAGCCTGCCGCGGAACCCGGCGCTGCGCAGGTTCACCAGAAACCCACGGCTCATGCTGGCCACGCCCGAGCACCGCGCCAGGATGTTGAGCGCCACTCGCTCTCCCAGCAGGATCCCGCGGGCCGGGCCCGTCACGGTGGCCAGTCTGGTCTTGAACCCCTTGCCGCTGCCCTTTCCCTCGCCGCTGTCATCGCTCCTGCGGTCAATGTGCTGGCCCTCGTGGGTGGCGCCGTGCCACTCGACGGTGCAGCCGCACTGGTGAAAGACCTCGTTAAAGAAGGGGATGCCGGCGAGGATGCCACCGGACTTGGCGTACAGGGTGGCGGTCCGAGGAACGTCACCGACGACGAAGCCGCCGTAGTCGAAGGAGGGGGTGTCTTCGGCTAGCCAGGTGGTGATCTGGGTCTTCCAATGGGATGGGAGGAGCGCCTCGAGAGAGCCGTGGTCAAGAGCCATGGGGATCATCTTGAGGGGAAGCTTTGTTTGTTGCTTCTCTTGTGGTGGGTGGGTGGGGTTGATTGTGGCTTGGAAGTGGTGAGATACTGGCTGCACAATCTGGATCTGCGTATTGAGACGAATAAGGAAAAAGGTTAGAGAAGAAGCTTTGGTCTGGACGGGAAATGCTCGTGTGAGGAAGTGAGTGGGCCTCCGTCAGTTTGAAGCGGTACTGCTCTGTGTAAGTGAGGAGGGACTATTGATCGGCTGTATTCAAGGTGACCCGAGTTGAGTGATGAAGGTATCTGAAGAACTTCAGGAATCGAGCACGGAGTCGTCGAGAAGGTTTCATAGAACTGCCAATTAAGAGGCCGTGTATGTCTCGTTACGCAGTTTACAAACAACGTGACAAACATTCAAACTTGGAGACGACCAACCTGGTGATTCATTCATCACGCTGCAACAGCGCCTGAACCGGAGCGCCTAGAACACGGCAAGACCGGCCCCCATGGAGGGGTAGAGGGGTAGCAGCTGCCTGGGTACTACCGGAAGGGCGAAAACTTCTCGGCTATGGAAGCCTTGCGGGGCAGCTGCTGCCCAGCTGCATACAGCTGCCAAAGACTTGATGACTTATTGAGTAGTAATCAATCGCCAGCTTTCAGCTCCGTCTCGACCCGGATCAACAACTATATTTACCAACATTGATCACTACTTATGCTAGTTGATAATCTCCCGTTCCTCACATGTCAGAATTGAGGTGGATCGACAAGAATCAACAGCAGACTATTCAAACTATAATGTACAGAGATAGAGTGCGCACAGCTGTTCAGCGCAGTTCAAAGTCGACCTGGGAGGCTTAGCAACGGCCAGTCTGGAATAGACAAGCACCGATCAACACGAACCATCACTCAACGCGAGTGTGACTACTACCACAGTAAAGGCACAAGTGATGTGAAGGAAGGGTTACAATTCAAATAGCTTGCTTGCCGCTGCTCATCTCCCGTTGCCTTATACATGAATTATGTGGGTACACACTATGCACGGACGGCATGGGCCATGACAGACAGCGGCTATGACTTCACTTTTACACCCCTCGATCTTGACTTTCGACCTTCTCATAGGACAAGTTGCGAGGGTCTGATTGAATCGAGACCCTCAAGGTTCGGAAATTGACTTCTCTGCGGCTATTGTTGCCGGCGTGCGATGTGTGCGTCTACCAGCGATTCTCTTTCTTAATTCGGCTTAGAGCTCAGCTTAGACCTTGCCCTCAGCCAGCCAGATCGAGCGTCAGCAGGTCGAGAATCCCGGTCGCTGCCTCATTGGGACAAATCGTGCCGCATGTATCGTAAACCCTCTAAACATGTTGATTAGACTCTCCTTAAAGGTGAGTCGCACAACAGCTCAGCTATTCGTTGTAGAGTCGAGGGCGGGGGAGCTGAAATGCAACGCGCGTTGTGATGAAGGGGGAAAATTTGCCCACCGGGAGCAGCGCAGACCGATCGTGGCGCATTTTACAATGTGAGGTGCTGCTTTGTGTCTTCGTACAGACATGGAGAAGGAAAATTATAAGAGACGAGGTGCTCGCTGTTGCATGGCAGAGGGACGATAGAGTATTTACAAATCAAGAGGGCATCAGAGATAATTGACTTCTCTCGAAAAGCTCCTGATGTTTACATGCTCCTAGTGTTCAGTCGTCTAGACCCCAAGATTGAGCCGTCGTGCAATTGCTGCCCTTGCTGCTTCTCCTGCATTGGCGTCATGCTTGGTCTACTCAAGTCCTCGCCTGCTCCGGGTGAGTAATTGGAAGGAAGGAATCGATCTTGATCACCATTGAAACGATGCTGACTTTGGAACTACTAGGCACGCAAAGCCCTATGCAGCAGGCCCTGAGTATAACCTCGCAACCACCCACAGGCGAGAACATGACTACCAATGGTGCTTCTCAACAGAACCTCGACAGTCCTACCAATGCTAGCACCACAAAGGCTGCGCCAGCCAACGCTGCTGCTGTGCGCCGAAGCTCCAGCAACTATCAGGCTTTGCTCTCCCCTCAGCTTCAGACGTCTCCCTCTTTTGTGCAGACGCCTCGCTCCTCTACCGGGAGATGGGGCACGCGAAGAGGTCCTGGCATATCCAGTCCAAACTATTCGTTCAATGGTAAAAGTCCTATGAGCGTTTCCAGGCGAAACTCATACTTTGCCTCTGGGGACGTGGTCAAGGAGCACTATAATTCTATCCGCGAGCGGTGCCAGCACGAGATTGGCGTGGGCTTGGAGCTTCAAGACCGGTCTTATTCGGACCTCTTGGATTGGATCGAGGAAGAGCGTCTGATCAGGCTACCGCAGAGAGGCGGATGCTGGGACCGCGTTTTGATCTATGCACAACACTTTGCGGATCAGGTATGCGGGCTTGGTGAAGCCATCGAGTCGTTTGTTCCGGGCAGCAGCGCTGCTTCGGACTTTGTGTTTGGACAGTGCTTGTTTCTTCTTTACGAGGTATGGCACAATGCTCAACTCTCCTTATCCTTCGATATGCTATCCTTTGCTGACTGAGATAACAACTATCAGCTTGGCTATGAGAACGCAGTAGCATTGGACAAGGCGTTCACCCTGTTCTACAACATCGGTCTCGTGTTCAGACCCCTCCTGAGAAAAGATGGTACCCTTTTGGAGTCTCCAGAAGTCATGCATGACGTTTCTCGGGCATTCTCGGAAATGCTCAGCGTCGTTGCGGACGTCGCCATGGCCTATTACGGTCCCATACGCAGTCTCCGTCACGGACGGCAGACTTCCATCACAATCGACATTTACGCCCGGTTCGGTCATCGCCTGGAGAGCTTCCGCACCAGAGTCCACCACTGCGCCGATGCCATTTGGCAAAACGCCCTGGAGCGATCCATGGATGAACCCGACCAGGTTCACAAGCTGCAATCATGGCTTGCGCCCCAGGACACCATTCTCAAGCTCTTGACGTCGGAGCATGTCAACCTGGTGAGCCGTGCCGAGGAGTATACCTGCACCTGGCTGCAGCCTCATCTCAACTCCTTCTTCGAAGGTGATGACAAGTGCCTGCTGGTGCAAGGAAATGCTGGGTTTGGCAAGACCACTCTTGCGAACTGGGTGGTGGATCGCCTTCAGAGACCCGTCGCCCGGAAGGATATCTCGACGTTGAGTTTCTTCTTCAGTAAGCCGGCCCTTATCATCTTTGCTAAATCCCGTTCAAATCCACTGATGCGCATCTGTACAGACTCTAGCGTAATGGCCCTGGAGACGCCCCTTGCCATGCTGAAGACGCTCCTCCTCCAGCTCCTGACACAGCGTGTCGGTGACGTGGATATCTTCCGTGTTGTCATGGAAGCTTATACGGACTCAAGTTCCGAATCCGCGCAAAAGCAAGAGGAGATTTTGTGGAATGCCTTGGAGGCAGCCTTGGAGAATGCTCACAATGATGAGACGGAGACACTTTTAGCCATCATCGTCGACCTGGACGAGCTGGAAGCACAGAAGGCGCGCGGCAAGCAAGTGGCCGAGAGACTCCAGAAGCTGGCGCACAAGACCACTGGCATCCGCCTACTTCTCTTCTCGTCGCCCTTCGAGATGAAGTACGCGACTGCGACAACAAAGGTCAACATGACGCTCGAGAATACGTCTGATGACGTCCAGACCATCATCCGCCACGGCCTCACCAGAGTGCCACACTTCTCCGACAATCGGGACGAGGCGGCACAGGAGCAGCTTGTGGACCAGCTCATGTCCGCCTCTGACGGCTCGATCCTCTACGCATTCTTGGTTGTGCGCTTCCTCAAGCTGCAGAAGTCTCTCGCTGCCTTCGGCCAGGCCGTCGAGGCTCTTGCGAAGTCTCCGCATAAGACCGTGACAGATGTTGTCCAGAAGCTGTTGCCGGTCTTGCAGCTGAATGACGACAGCAAGGCTCTGTTGTCTTTGCTCGTTGCTGCGGAGCGCCCGCTGTCCCGCAAAGAAATCGAGCTCCTCCTGCAGGTCCAAATCCACCCCGGCCACAAATCGGAGGGACAAGTCAATATCGATTCCGTGATCCGTTCTGTGGCTCCCTTCGCCATGACCGGCGAGGGCCTGGTCACGCTTCGTCACCGGGCCATCAAGCATGCACTTGTCTCTATTCCTGACTCGTCTCCTCAGTCGCTCAGGCTGAAGGAGAGGCACAGAGATTTCCTGCTGCGGTTGTTTGCCTGCGCAAAGAATCGAATTGCTTCTGGGGATGGGTATGAGCCCACACTAGCATTCCTGAGCCAGGAATATGTTGACAGCAGACTTGCCTCGGACCGCATCCTTGAGTATACAGTGTATGTTTTCTCCCACAGTCCGGAGCCTCTAAAGAGACACCAATTGTTGCTAATATGTTACCTAGACGCTACTGGCCAGTCCACTTCCGGAAGTCTCCTTCGCTCTACAAGCAGCAGGGTGACTTGCAACTGCCCAAGGACTTCTCATCCAGCTTTCCAAGCTCTGTGGGCCTCGCGCTTCTCGAGGCAGGATGCTGGCGCGTGCAGTCGTCGCTGGACACGCAGATCATGGATATGGTGACTCTGGCTTATCGTGTTCGTCGTGCCATCTTTGGCCAAGACCATCCATCTGTGTTGCAGTCAGCCATCATCTGCGCTATATTCTGCGAGCACACCTTGTCTCGCCCGGCCGATGCGATCGAATGGTACTTCAAAGCCAGCACGATTGGGCGTGTGATCCTCGGTGTGCAATCCGAACTGGTCATCGCCTGCTGCACGGCTACCATCCGCCTGTCTGAGTCGTTCCTATCCAAGACTCGAACCGAAATCATGACATATCGCGAGCAGACCTTGATTCTTCTTGTCTCGGCTTACAAACAACGTTATGGCGAGGCTTCGGAAGAAGTGCTGGAGGTCTACAACACTCTGGTCGAGCTATACATATCGATCAGTGAGGAGCAGAAGGCGGCAGAGATCCGCGTCAAGATCGAAGAGATTATGACTCTTGCCGCTCACACACACGGAGAACATCATCACTCGTCGAGAGGCTCAAAGCTCCTCGTCACTATAAAGAGGAAGGATCAAGCGGTGGTTGAAAGCTACGAGGACTTCCTCTTTGGCTGGAGCGAGGAGGAGCACGAAGAATCCCTGGACGATCGCACGAGTTGAAAAGATGATCTCCATCGCGGTGACTCTGCTGGCTGAGAAGAAGTACGCCAGGTATGAGGAGCTGCTGTTGGAGCTCTGGCTCAAGCTTGATGAGTACTGCCGTGGGTCTCAGAACCACGAGTGGCACCAGAAGAAGATCGAGGTGACGCTCAAGTATGTCGAGGTTCTTCATATCCAGAAGCGGAGGGAAGAGGCGTCAGCTCTGCTCCTCTCGTGTTGGAACGAGTATTCCTGCCACACGGTGACTACTTTTGAGTCGATCATTCTCTGCCTTAAGGAGGTGGGCCATTGGATGCAGCGGGTCCAAATGACGTCTGTTGCACTTGCAGTCTTCCAGAAGTGCTGGTCCTGGTACAAATCGTCGCACAAGGAGACGACGACAACCTTCAAACAGATCGAGGAGCAGATTGCCATCACCTCCAAGGAGATTGTCAAGGTATCTTCCACAACGTCTACAACATCCGTTACCGAATCGTCTGAGACGGTCTTGCGGGAGGTCTTCGAGTCCTCTCTATCAAGCAAAGAGGTCACAGAAGTGTACTCGAGCACCATCGAGCTCTGCGAGTCCCTGTCCTCGCTCTACTTTAAGGAGGAGAGATGGTCTGAAGCGTCTTCGATCTTGAAGCAGACTCTGATGAGGTCTTCTTTCTCCTCCTTGTTCTCCCAGTCGCTGGAGCGCATCGATGTCAAGAGCTCGACGACTACCAAGAACATCAGCCTTGTGATGAAGCTGGCCGAGTGTTATATCCATCAGAGTCGGTTTGAGAAAGCAGAACACCTTTATCTTTCTCTGTACCGCCTTCACCGCAAGAGCTGTGATCGCCTTGACGACGCTCTTATCATCAAGTACACTGAGGTCTACATTGAGTTCTTGAAGAAACACGCCATGGTCAACCAGCTCATTTCTTTTTACCAGGACCTTCTGGTGGAGTACCGTGGTTTCTATGGTCGCAACCATGCAAGGACCATTTCCGTGCTCTATGCACTCGGGGATCTGTGCCATGCGCACCCTGTAACCCATGGCTACTTTGTGGACTATTATCTCGAGATTGTCACCAACCTTAACCAAGGTGCGCTTGTATGTCACGAAGATGCATTGCGCGCTCTGGTGATTGTTTCCGACCACTATTACCAAAGCCAGAGGTTCTCCGAATCGCTCCGGTTCTTCAGGTCTATCATTGCGACTTTCTGCAAACTCGGCACGTCGTGTGCGTTTTTCAAGGAGGCCACTGTTGTTCAGCAGATCTTGGAGAAGTACTACAAGGCAATCGAAGAGACCGAGGTCGAGATCAGCGAGCACCTGGAGATCCTCAAGGAGATTCGGCAGGCATGCCTCCAGTACTTTGGCGAGTCGTCCTCCATCTCCGTCTTTGTGACGTTGCACCTGGCCGAGGTGTACCAGAGGAGTGAGAAGTACCAGTACGAGGCCATCTCGTACTACGAGCACATCCTGAAGCACTCCAAGACAGTCTCCAAGACGGTTGTTGAGCGCAGCCAGAGCACCCTCAGGTCGCTCTACGTGAAACAGGTCACCTCCTCGACTGAGTCCAAGACCGTCACCAAGGAGACTCTGGAAAAGGCCACCGAGATGTCCTATTCGCAGTATCTGGAGATCAAGAAAGTGCACTCGGTCACACATCACGCAACGCTCACGCAGCTCAAGGAGCTCGTCATGCTCTACAAGAGACAGTCCAAGACAACAACCGCCCTGACCGAGATGAGGAGCCTGGTCGTCGAATGCCTCAGCAAGACGACCTCGTCACAAGAGCTGATCGAAACGGCCAAGTACGTGGCAGAGATGTACGTCTCGTGTGGCTATGCGTCGCATGCGCACGTCCTGGTCCATGAGCTCAAGCTCCAGCTCATCTACAAGATCGCCTCCAAGAGCTGCGGCTTCGACATCACGCGGGTGGACATCCACGGCTGCTTTGCCTTTGTCGCGACGCTCGAGTGGTCGCTGCGGTCCGACCTGACCCTGACGATCGCCAGCTTCATGACGGAGCTCCTGGCCGAGTCGCTGTTCTACGAGCGCTTCAGTGCCAGCATCAAGGCGAAGGATCAGATGCACGTCGTGCTCATGCGTGCGGCTCGCCTGCAAAACATGCTGTCCCGGTTGCACCGCCACAAGGACTTTGATTTGATCGAGACAAGCCTGGTCGACTACTTTGTCTCTGTGGAGACTCGCATTGCCAAGTCATGCTCCAAGAACGCAGTGAGAGCGTTTTTGGTTGTTCTGCTGGCGCGCTTCTCGGCTCATCCTGGGGAGCTGACCCAAGACACCATGACCAGCCGTGCAGGCCGCGCAGCTGTCGATGAACTGAGGTCGCTGCTGCAGAAGGACAAGTTCAGGGAGGCGATCGAGCTCGCCCGCGCCACCTACCTGTTCCTCATGGCGCACGAGGGTCTGGATGATCCCACCGAGATCTCGCTCGGCTTCCAGATCTGTCAACTGATGGCTGGCCACGACGTGTTTGAGAAGGACCAACAAACCACCACCAACGGACCCGAGCACGGGGACAGACATGATCGCCACCTGCCCAAGGACCAAGGCCTGCAAAAGGAGATGCTGAGCCTAGCAGCACAAACCCTAGGCGAGGTGCTCGAGATCTGCAAGACGCACGGCATCGACCTCGTCCGCTGCCAGTGGACCGAGATCAACAACCTCATCTCGCTGCTCGGCGAACTCAACGATCTCCCCCGTCTCCAGTGGCTGCTGAACACGCTCTGGCAGTCCCGCGACGGGCAGTACGAGTGGGGCCACGACGTGATGCTCGCCCTCGGCCTGCGCCTCGTCCAGGTCTCCTTCACCAGCGCAAAGACCGACGCCGACAGGAAGAACGCGATCCGCCTCGCCGAGGACCTGGCCTACAACGTCCGCCGTGTCCACGGCGCCCGGCACCAGCGCACCCTGGAGATCATGTCCCTGCTCGCCAGCCTGTACACCAGCACAGCACAGCACTACCACCACCAGGCCGCACCGCCGTCCTCGTCTGGCGCCGAGCCGAGCGGCAGCGCAGGGGCGGGGGCGGACAGCAGGAAGCGTGCTGCCGACATGGCGAAGCTCTACTTCAAGAAGGCGGCCGTCGTCCACGAGGACCTGCTCAAGCTGCTCGTCGACAGCGAGGCGGGCGCCCATGAGGACGCCAGCGACTCGGACTCGGTGACGTCCAGCTCGACGACGACGGCGGTCCGGCGCCGGGTCTCGTCTCGCCGCGCCAGCCGCGTGTCCTCGCCTGTGCTCCTGCGCAAGGCCTCTTCCCACGCGGCTCTGCGCCACAGCCACAGGCCCTCCCCTGCCTCCATCACGCGCGAGCAGGAGGTCCAGGCTGTGAAGACGCACCTGCGGCTGCTCAAGATGGCGCTGCAGAGGTTCGGTTCCTGGGCAGGGCCGGCGGGCGAGTATGAGAGGCTGACGACGAGAGTCTGGCGGGCCTACTCGGCAGAGCTCTCGGCGGTGGGTGTGAAGGAGGAGCAGGTGCTGAGCACGAGGTGGAAGCTGGATGGGTTTGGGCAGGGCAAGGCGGAGGGGAGGGTTGAGGAGGGGGCTTTTGCTGAGCCTCGAGACTGGCGAGTGTGTGTTTAGATGTGTGTGCGTGTGTGTTGGGAGTCCCAGGTATGATTTTTATGTGTTCTAACTCTTTGTTTTTTGGGATGTATGGACGATGGTTGGCTTTGCTTTGGACAGTGACACGAAGGCTCATGTAATATATAACGGATATGTTTTGAAATTTTGAATCTCAAACGCTCTTTATTATTATGATCTCCATTCAGGGCAGCATCAGGCAATCTCAAGTGATATCACATCATGCTTAAGGTACAACTGTCATGAGAGGAAGAAGATGAAAACTAGAATGGTGTGACACATCAATAAATATACACTCAAGTAAGTTACGAAGTATAGCACTAATTAACGTTCCTTATTCGTTTCTGAGCGACCACATTGCCAAACTCTCCGTCCATCCTCTTCGCTGTTCTCTTGTTTGTTTAAGAGAAAACGGCAATGGCACTGGCAAACGCAGCATCAATGGCAGCCACAAGCGTCTCGGCCTCAGCCTCGGTGTCGGACGAGGCAATGGCGACCAGGGCCGCACCGAGGTCGTCAGTGTCGCTCTGGAGAGTCTGGAGGTCGCTGAGGACCAGCGAGTCCAGGCTGAGGGCGGCAAAGTCGGCCTCGCGGGCGGTGAGGGCGTTCAGGGAGGCAATGATATCGGGGTTGAGGGTGTTGCTGACGTCTATTGTTGGGTCACAGTGTCAGTAGTTGCACATAGCAGATTGCTTGTTTGAGTAGCGTGTAATGGAGAGAGAGAGAGGGGGGGGGGGGAAAGGGGTGCCCTGTATAACAGGTGAGGATTATACGTACAGTCCAGGATGGTCGTAGAGTCGGCAGAGTCAGCCTGAGCCTCAGTCTGGGCCTCCGAGGTGGCATCGGTAACCGCAGTCTGTCATAGTCCATTATCAGCTTTAAATTCTAGGGATACATAGTCAATGGGTGCCATCAAGTTTTCACTCACCTCGAGGGTGGTCACGTCGCTTTGGACACCAAGGGCTCCCAGGAGAGAGGCGTCCCAGGCCTCGATTGCGGCGGTGAGGGTATTCGTGTCCGAGTCAATGGTCTCGAGGTTGTCCAGCACGGTCGTCACATCACGCTTCTGGATGGACGGGAGGGCCGAGACGGCGACGGCAAGGGTGGCGACAGCGTAGAGGCTCATCATTTTGAATGAATGTGTGTGTGCAGTTGGTTTGTTAGAGAAGGAGACAAAGATTGTGAGTGATTGTATACAAGCGAGCTGGAGTCTTGTTCTTGTGGTGCTGCAGATTCTTCAGTCGAGGGAAAGTTGGAAGAGGAAGGTCTCTTGTATTTATATTCTCACGATCCTCATAAAGAATTCGAGGAATGGCTTCTATCATAGTACAGTGTCGTGGCGAAGGAGCCAGACTCGCGTAGCCCATCGCGTACATGGAACCACGACCTCGGTTCCAAGCCCAATTCCTACAAACTCGTGATAATTGTGCAAATGGGGGGGTTGATGACCATCGTGAGTAATTGATACTACCACATGTAGCCTCCGACGAAAGAGCTTTGGTCTGATAGAGCTGGTATTATGATCTAGGGGCGAACTCCGGATAAGGAAGGCCAGAGCCGTTGCTGCGTCCGTGGTGTCTTATTATTGCAGCGGGAAGAAGACAAGGGGGGCAAGGCGGCGGGGCCTGCATTACCCCAGATCTCGGCTGAGAATGGGGAATGCGGGGGAACTTCCCTGGGCTATAGCGAAAAAAAGAACCAAACGGAAAAAAGAGCCACGAATAATATCATTTCCTCGGTAGGGGCGCGCCATGTGACGGCGTTGGGTGGTCCTGATGCTACCACCAACACAGACAGCCGCCGAGCCTAGAGACAACCTTGACAATAAACGGCTCCGCGGAGGCCTTTGGGGGAGCTGGGCTTATAGCAGGAAGAGCCTCCGACATAGCTTTGTTTACTGCACTGACCCCATGAAACGTCAAGAACCTTGGCCATGGCGAAAGTGGGCTGACTAGTCCAAGTAAGCGAGTTGACGCCGGTCGACATGTTGGGTCTCGTCCGAGCCTCCTTCTCGAATCTCCTCCTTCTCCTCCTCCTTGACCCTGCCCACCACCCCGGCCTCCCTCCTCTACCTCCTCTCCTTGATGCTAGAAGTAGTAGCTGGGCACAGGGCTCCTCTTGCCTCCCCTTGGGGTTGTGTATGCGCCACACACTTCTTCTCTCCTCCCAGCCGGCTGTTACCTCCGGGTTGACCAGCCCTTTCTGCAGAATACGAGCATCGATTCCTCTCTTGGGACATGTGGTCCGACTATGTATCATGGCCAGAACGTCTCTTTGCCTCCGTCCTGGATTTCCTGCCCGCATTGACCTCTCTTGCCCCGCGCCGCCCTGCGCATCGCCCCGTTCCAAGATCAAGCGGCGAGAAGAGCAGGTTGTCATCAACGTGGGGCGGCGGCGGCATCTCCGCCCCGAGAAAAGGCCTGATGCAGACGTCAAGTCCGGCCGGTGTGCCAGGCCCTCCGGGTTGAGTATCATGGTACTCCTGAAGCTTGTCCGGCGCGAGCTTGAAATTCTCGGCCGGGCACCGCTTGAAGTCCATCAGGGAGTTCACTTCGTTGTCCTTCCAATGTAACCTGTACTCCAGCTGGCCTAGGCGGAGGCGCGCCTCGACAATTTCATCGACCTCCCCTAGATTTCCGTCTTGTAAATTGTTGTCTGCATCGGGTATCTTGGGCCTCTCCTCATCCTCCTTCTATTCGTCCTCCATCTCATTTTGTCCCATCGACTGCAGCTTGTCCGACGTCCTCTTCGGCCATGTCCTCATCATTGTTGCCAGTGCCTGTGGTGGGAGGCTGGGAAGGACTGTAGTCAGGAAACCCTCGCCAGAGGGCCAAGGTCTGCTTGTCCATCTCCAATCCAAGAGAATGCATGGCACCCGCAAAGATGCCAAGGCCGTCATCCCTCTCCGCCTGGCTGAACAGCGTCAGACACGACTTGAACTTGTCGGCGTCAACCTGGCTCCCAAACAGACTGACGAGATCCGTCTCACCACTGTCCTCGACGGCATGCATGGCTTCTATAAGGCGGCGGCCTAAGACGTTGTGGGAAAGATAGCCCCGAGCCTCGGCGATGCTGTGGATGGCGTAATGCTGCCCAATGTTACTTGTGCTCAGGCCAGCTGCCTGCGGGAAGATGAACCACATCCAGTGGCTGGTCTTTCTGCCTTGCTGGAGTTCACTCAGCGCGACTTCGTACTGTGTGTTGACAGCAGGAATTCCTCTCTCAGGTCTTCTTTGGAGCCTCAGTACAACGCGCTCCTGGGCTCGGACGAAGCGCTCAAGGTCGAAGACAGGAGGGGTTGGAGGGGACTCGAGGTCAACATAGGGGGCTTGGGAAGTTAAATCCATGGTGGAAGGATTATTTGCTGGAAATCAGACGCTGTCGTTAGATCGAGAGGAGAGGTGATGAATGATGTTTGGGGGGGTGGGGGTTTGGCTTTTGAGTGTTGGGTTTCGTCTGACTAAGAAGTTTATGTGTGCGACGGGGTAGCGTGTATTGTGCAACGCGTAGTAGTACAGATTGATTGGATCTTTGAGTGGGTACATATGTACGCCACTCTGCTTGAGGCGGCAGTTGAAAGCTGTAGTGAAGCGAAGTGCAATCTGGTGAGTATCTTGATACTGATTCGTTGTTTGACAATGACCATGCAGTCAACAGCCCCTCCCTGCTTCTTAAAAATGTAAATGGTTGGAGCCGAAAGACGTCAGAAAAAGACAAAGGGAGAAATCATTACAGCTTGTAGTCAGAATTTCGAGATCTGGCATCCTTGTCGCTGATCTTCCAAACTGAGAAGTGACAACCAATGCCCAGTTTCTGTTCTTGACTAATTCAGTATGCCTTGCATCCCTTGTTGATCTCATCCAGTGCTTCTTTCCTCGGATGGTCTCATTATTCCTTTCTGCGTCTATTTGCCCATTAATCGCACTTGAGAAATTACTTTGGACTTGTAGCTACTTTGAACAGAACCTCCTACACCGAACTTCACAATGAGGTAAATGTTGAGAGACTTTAGTTCCGAAAAAAAATAAAAATAAAATGGATTTGTAGATTAGAGACAGTCTGTTGGTATACATAAACAACCGAAGCAAGTGGACCCCGTTCAGTGGGTCGAATTTTTAGGCTACAGGAATGCTGTAGCCGCTGCAAGATGCTGATCTGAATCTCGACTTTACCATTTCTCAAGGCAGGCCCTTTCCTGAAACAAATCCTTTTATTTCACTGACGAACTGCAGCAACATATCCCAAAATGCATGTCGACTGGTTAAGACGATACGCCACAGGCTATCATCGATGGAGACAGACTCGAGATGAGAACGAGGTCCTTTTCTACCGGCCACTTGGGATCGTCGAGAGCTCGTTCGACGCCGACGGAGTCTACCATGAGGGAAGGGCTGATATAAATATGGCTCTCGAATTCGAGATCAGTACAAACATGTCCACGACCTCTCTGAGACGGCACATCCTGCTCGTCTGGACGGCTCTGCGTCTCAGACACGTCCTCTTGTGCTCTGCTGCCTCCTCGACAATGGATTTTATGGACGAGAAGGCGGCCAAAGACAGCGCTCGATGGTTTATCGTTCGGAAGCCTACGAGCAGCGAGGACGCCATTCACGCAGCAGACAACCAGATAGCTTTTCTCCACGATCATTACCCTGCTGTGGACGCCGATCAGCTTTACTATCATGCCCAAAATACAGCCAGGGCCTTCAATCCGGCCAAGACACTCGCGAGGCTGCTTGTGCTTCCACTAGAAGAGACAAGCAGCGGCACATACAATCTGCGCTTCTTGTTCATCATGTCTCATCAGATCTCAGACGGTCTGACCAACAGCAATTGGGCCACCAGTTTCATGCGGCTGCTGAACACCAAGTCCCACGACCTCGAGGACTCCATCGGCACTCTGGTTACGACGCTGCCTGAGCGCCTGCCACCTGCGCAAGAGGATCTGTACCAGCCCATATCTGGCTCCTTGGCACGACAACGATGGTTTTGGGCTATAACTCTCGTGCTTCGTCACGTCCAGAAGCCCATGCCGCCCGCATTCCAGAACCCGCTCCGCTTCACCCAGGGCCCTCAAACGGCATCCGTACCCGAACAAAAGCTCTTTGACAAGGTCCTAGACTACAGCAGACCCCCAACCCTCAACGCAGGAACCATCTTCGCCCACGTCAGTCGAGAGGGCACGCGCAGGCTGCACCGACTGTGCGGACAGGCCGGGTGCAGCGTCGGGGCTGGCTGCTTCGTCCTGGTCGCCATCGTGATGATGGAGCTGTACGAGCGCCGGTCTCCAGACGTCGCGCCGCATGACCGTCTACCCTTCATCGGCTCGTTCCCGATCAACCCGCGGCCCTTCTTCAACCACAGCGCCGACCCGGACGGTATCATGCTGGCGTTCTCGGACGGGGTTATACTGCCTTTCCTGCCTCGTAGTCTCGACCTCGACGGGAGGATCAAGCTGCTCATCCGGTCTGCGCAGAGGCAGCTGTCGAGGTACCAGAAGCGACCTCCTCGGAAGAATGACTCTGGCGTCGGAAACATGATCCAGTACATGGGCCCCCGCGGCGCCGGCAGGGTCGTGCCCATGACCTACCTCGAAACCCTCGAGCGCATGAGCGGGAGGATCCCCGAGGACATGAGGACCCATCTGGCGTATCAAGGGTTCGTGCCGAAACAGGCGAACCCCACTCTGGCGACGTGCGGCGTGAGCTCCGTTGGAAGGTCGCCTCCGCTCCTGCAGCCGGGCCAGTATGATCTCCAACAGCCGCTGGCGGGGGACGAGAACGGCGAACTTGTGGCTGATCCCAGGAGGATACGACAGAATGTGAGACCTCGGGACGGGGAGTTCCTGGTGGGTGTCTGGGGAGGGGATGATTCGATTGCTTTGGGTGTCAATATTGATGCGTGTGCGATTGACATGAGCTGGGCAGGAATATTCAAGAGAGAGATTGAGACGATATTGGACCGCCGCACGACGACTGTACAGTCAAGACTATGAGACTGATTTCCGAGAGGAGAAAGAGTCACCTTCACTGGCGGTGCCAAGAGTATTCAAAGTGACTGAAACTTGCATATATGAAAACATAACATCAAAACTTACTAGACTAAGGAAAGACACACAAAAATCAGATCCTTTTCAACCCCAGATCCCCATCCAGCAAATGATTACCCGTTTCCAAATGACCAAATCGTAACTTACAGTCATAATACACCCCTAATCACGTCGATCCTTTTGACCCAGCAAACCACCACCAAAACCGATACGGCACCCCACCACATCATCGCCACGAAGATGTCATCTTGTCCATTATCCTCGCCTTGACCAAGCAAGAGCTCCAGAACTTCCCTGCGCCCATCCCTTTTCGCGTCAATCTTTTTCTCTTCTTTGCTCATGACGACAGGAAGAGGCATGAAAATCCCCTTTCCCCTCTCCTGACCATCGAGCCGACCCCACATCCATCTCCTGATACTCTTAGTGAAGAACGGGCGTGGCAAGAAAAGTACTGCTGGCACTGCCGATCTTGGAATCACTCGCATCGCCCAGTCTCTTCCTGGCCTCGGACAGGTCACCGTAGCTTCGCTGCCGGCTCAGCTGCAGGCTGCGCAGCATGTGGCTGGGCCTCTTCTTGAGCGCGGGCTGGCCAGGCTTGGTCTCATCCGAGAGCGAGAACTCCCAGACCTGAGGCGCGATGAACGTGCCCGTCGTGTCGTTGGCCGGTGGCGCCGTCTTGCTCCACTTGGTCGAGTCGCCATCACCAAAGGCCGCGTATGTGTCAGCAGCCATGGGTGCAAACTCGGCGACAACATCGCCAATGAGCTCGTGCATGTCGAGGTCCTCAGACTCGGGCCATCCAGCATTGCGCGCGTACACGCGGCGGACAAGCTCAAGCTGCTGAAGGGCCAGGGCGGCGGCGTTCTCCTCGTCAAAGTCCAGGAGCTCGCTTGCGGCGTCGTCGTCGTCGTTGTTGTTGTCGCCCGACATGTTCAGGTCGAGCAGGGCACGCAGGATCTCCTCGTGGACGTCAAGGGCATCAGAGTAGCGCTGATCGGCGACGCACAGAGCAGACAGGAGGTTGTTCATGTCCACAGTGGCGGCGTCCAGCAGACCCCAGGTGCGGCGCAGGTTGTACGCAATCGACTCGGCCAGGGAGATGGCATTGTCACGCTTGCCACGGATGAAGAGAACCTCGATGAGGCGGCGGCCGAGCGCAATGACGGTGACGGGCGACCAGGAAGACTGGATGATACGGGAGTGCCAGAGCTGGGTAAGGAGCCACTCGAGATCCTCGTAGTTCTTCTGCTGGCCCATGAGGCGCACCAGACTGTTGAGCTCGGATGCCTGGAGCTGCACAAGATCAATGTTCATCGACTTGCAGGCAGTAAGAGTCTCGCGGAGGATGGTCTTGGAAAGCTCCAGCATGCGACCCTGCATGACGGCATCGGCGGCCTTGTTAGACTTGACACCGAGGCCGGCAAGGTACAGCGACAGCTTGAAGGCGAAGGGAATGGTCTGGGGGTTCTTGAAGCCGTTCTGGTGGACCATGAACTGGTACCACGCGGTGGCCAGATCGACAGCCTGAGCATAGCCATCTGCCAGGAGAAGAGCGTAAACCCTCGAGGTAATGGCGGTGCAGGAAATGTAAACGAGGTTGTCCTCGTGCATGTTCTGCTGGCCGAGTTCCTTGATGATAGCAATCAGGAACGCGCGCGTAACAAGTGTCTCCGTCTTGATCGCGGCACCAAACTTCTCCATGAAGAGCTTGTACAGCGATTCCTCCACAGAAATGAGCTGCTCCATGTGGCGCTCCTCATCGCTCTTGAGGAAGACGTACAGACGGGCGCCATCGAACAGCTTCTGCTCGACCGACAGCTCCTTGCTGGCCATGCTCAAGCTGTAGCGGTCGTACAGGATGCCCTCGGTGAGCAGGTCGGTCATGATGTCGGAGAAGGTGATCTTGACGACCTTCTTGTCGGTGCTCAGCTTGGCAGTCTCGGCCTGAGAAGTACGGAGGGTCTCCTCGAACGCGGCAATAAAGACCATCGAGCGACGGTCAATGTTGTCGGTCAGCTTGATCCCAGGCGTCTTCTCAAGCTCAGCCGCGCCAGCAATCTTGCCACGCGCAACGATGTGGAAGCGCAGCTGCTTCAGCAAAGCCCAAGCCTGGGCAGAGTAGCCACAAGACAGGTAGGTCTTGGCGAGAGTGACACCACTCTCGTGCAGCTTGGTCGAGTCGACATTGGGCGTGCCAGCGACGCAGGACTCGGAGAGGACCTCGACGACAGATGTGTCAAGCTTCTCCTGGGCCTGCTTGCGGACCTCGGCCTTATCGGAGTGGGCCCAGACGCCGACAAGGGAAGCCAAGCTGGCCAGAGTCGCCTTGTGGGCAACGCCATGCTCCTTCTTGTTGATCTCGAGCTGTTCCTTCCAGAGGGCCTCGGCCTTCTGGGCTGACTCAGCGCTGATGACACCTCTGGCAGCGCCGCCAGCTCCAGCTCTAGCACCAGCTCCAGCACCACCTGCAGCAGCACCCGCAGCACCCACAGCAGCACCAGGAGCAACAGCGGCTGAGACGCCGACTGTGGTCTGCTTGCTGTACAGGCCAGCCAGATGACGCTTGGCGGAGGCAAGGAGGGAAGACTGGAAGCCGGACACCTTGACATCGACGGCCTTGCCGCCTTCAGCCGCAGCAGCAGCCTTCTGCTTCTCTGACGTAACAATGATCTCCTCGCAGATCTTGACGGCCTCCTGCTGGTGCTGGACGTCGGGGCACTTGCGAGAGATGGCGACCAGGGCCATGGATGCCGACATGGTGATGTCGGCCTGAGGGCCGTAGACCTTGGTGCACGTCTCGCGGTACTGAAGGGCAACCTGGCGGACCTCCTCGATAGGCACCTTGAGGTGCGTCTGGAGGACCGTAATGTATCGCTTGTAAATGGCCTGCACCAGCTCCTGGGACATGTTGTACTCCTTGGCTCGCTTGGTGAAGGTGAGCCAGAGCGAGGCGTAGATGGGACGAAGTTCCGTCCAGCGCTTCTGCTCATAGTAGATCTTGCTCAGGGCAAGAGCTGCGGGGAGGGTGTCCTTGCTGATGACGCCGTCCACGGTCTTATCCGCCTTGACCAGCTCAAGGTAGTACGCGTCGGCGCCCTTCAGGCGGTACTGAACGCACAGGTCGCCCATAATGTAGAGCGTCCTGATGGTGAGCGCATTGCGAGATCCCAGGGACGTCCTGTACCCCTCAAGGAGCTGCTGGTACACGGCGAGGACCTTGTTCCACTGCTGCGTCTTCTTGTGGTATTCAATGACCTGGCCGGCAGACTCAGTTACGAACTCGTCCTGGATCTTCAGACCAGAGCGCAGCGATGCCTCAAAGATAGCAGCATACATCTTCTCAGCCTGCTCGGTCTGGTTGGACTCGGCGTAGGCCAGCGCAAGGCGGCGGGTGAACTTGATGGCCTCGACGCGGTAAGCCTTGGGGAAACCATACTTGGCGTTGCTGCCGAGTTCGGGCCAGATCTGCTTGAGCAGTTGAGAGCAGACCTCGATGCACTCGGTCCACTTCTTCTTGCTGACGTAGAAGCTGGACAAGGTCTCGCAAGTCTGAATCTGGCTCTCAATCGTGACAACCTGGACCTCCTTAGCCTTGACTGTGCCCTTGGCATCTGAGGCGGCAGCAGGTGCAGCGACAGCAGCCTTGACGACCTCATCCAGAATGGCATCGGCCTCATCGTCGTCGACGTCAAGATCATCCTCTTCAACATCGAGATCTGTCTCGTGAGAGACATCAATGACGACGCCACCCTTGGCAGCGGCGGCCTCCTTAGCCTTGACAGCCTCAGCCTGCTTCTTCTCCGTCTTCTCCTGGACAGCGCCCATGAGGGCAACAGCAGTGCCGACAGCGGCGGCGGAGTTCTGCTGACCAGAGCCCTTGAAGTAGCCCCAGACAGACTTGAAGACGGCGATGGCAGTGTCGAGGATGCCCATAGACTTCAGCTCCTCGCCGACCTCGTTCAGCTGCTTGACAACAGCCTCAGACTTGTGCTCGGTCATCTGCTGGTAGTCGAGCCAGACGCCATGAAGGATGTTCTGAGCCTCAGCAACGCGGCCCTGGCGGCGCAGGAAGCGGGCGTAGGCGATGCTGATCTGGATCTTGCGCTCATGAGCCTCGGCAATCGTGGCAGCAGTAGCCGTGGTGGTAGCAGAGCTGCGGCAGTACTCGGTCAGACCCCGCCACAGAGTGATGTACAGCTCCTCGGCGTGGGAGAAGTCCTTCTTCTTCTCGTAGGTATCTGCCATGCGCAGAGTAATCTCCACGCGACGAATATCAAAGATCTCCATGGTCCTCTGCGCGGTCTCAAAGACGGGCTTCTGGTACACGACAATCTCCTCGTGCTTGGCCTCCTTGTACAGGACAGTCTGGAGCTTCTCAGCAGCCTTAGTAGCCTCGGCAGAAAATTGACCGCTCTGCGCAATGGATGTCTTGTAGACCTCACGATAGACATTCTCAGCCTTATCGTTCTCCTTGATGCTGGTGTACAGCTCCGCCAGCTCGTTGGTGTACTTGGACGCGACAGCGCTGTTGGCCCCACCAGCGCGCTGCTTCTCGGTATCAATGACATACTTGAGAAGCTCCTCGCGCTGGGTAACAGCCTCATTACGAGCGGTGGCCTTCTCCTTGACGGAGGCGGACGTGTCGAGGGCAGCCACAGCCAGGGACACAGCCAGGTCATTCTTGCGACCGAGGACGTTCTGTCCGATCTTGGATGCCCTGTAGAAGTACTTGCTAGCCTCAGCAGGCGCGGAGATCTTCTTCAGTGACTGAGCGACATTGATGCAGCCCTGCAGCACGGACTGGGCATTCTCGCCCAGAGCCGACTCGCGAACATTCAAGGCCAGGATGTGGGAAGAGCTGGTATCAGTTGCCAGGGTCTGCTTGTCCCAGCACCTCTGCTCGAGGCGGGCGAGCAGAGTGGAGTTGGGGAAAACACCCTTCAGCTCACCAGTGACAAGCGCCGGCTGGATCTGGCCGTTGACGTAGAAGCTGGACTTCTTGAAGTGCGACAGCCAGTTGCGAGTGGTGTACTCCAGAAGAGGGTGGGTCTTGAACAGGGAGTCCACCTCGCGGGTGTGCACCTTGTCCAGGCTGCTGTCGACGTTGCGAGTAACGCAAGTCTTGACGTACAGAAGCAGACGGGCGGTCAAATCCTTGTTAGCCTCAGCTGGGGAGAGGATGACATTCTCAGCATCCTTGGTCTCCTTCTTGCTGAGCTCAAGCAGGTGGAGGCGGATGGCCTCATTGCGGAACCGCACGGTCTTATCCTCAATGATAACAAGAGATCCACAGGACTTCTTGATATCGTCGACGATGTCCGTCGAGCGAGGCTTGTGTGCGGCATTCTGCGTGTCGAGCTCGAGAAGAGTCTGAATCTCAACGGTGGACAGAGGCCGCTTGGCAGTAAGCAGCCAGCTGATAATCAGACGGGCATCGCCCTCGAGGGGGATGCTTTTGACGTGCTTGGCGATCAGCTCGTTGGTGGTGCTGGGCAGCTCCTTGATGTTAGCCGTGACCTCGGTCACGCTCTTGGCCTTGGTCAACAGCTGCAGGGCCATATCGGTCCAGGTGAGGGAACCCCTGCTGCGCTGCACAATCTGCTCAGAGACCTCGTCGATCTCCTGCTTGTTGCCTAGATTGCGGCGGATCAACCAGGCGCGGGCCATGTGCCTCACATCAGCAGCGGTGCGCTGAGAAGTCATGGCAACCTGGCGCGTAGGCTTAGGCCATGGCTTGGAGAAAGGCCGGGTCAGGATGATGACCCGAATGTTGTGCTTGTTCTTGTTGGCGATGTCGTACAGACGCTCAAAGGCGTGGAGCTTGGCGGCGTCATCCCCCTCGAGAGAGTCGAGGCCGTCGATGACCAGAACGACATTCTCGAGTCCCTGGAGCGCAGTGTCCAGGCTGTACCAGAGGGCATCCTCAGCATCCTCGGTACTGTTGGTGTTGGAGCCAAGCTCGGTCACGTTGGCCAGGCAGCGGAACAGCGTGGTGTTGCCCACATTCTGCTCAAGCAGCTGCAGAAGCAGCGACTTGACGAGGGCAATCTGGGTAGCCTGGGCGGGCACCTGGCTGTCCACAGAGGCCTGGATGGCCTGGTAGTCGTAGTGTCCGACACGACGCTGGAGCCTCTCGAGGATCCAGCCAAAGAGATAACTCTTGCCAGCACCAGCCTCGGCTGTAATGGTCAGAACCTTGTCCTTGCTGCGAGCAAAGTCGACAAGAGGACGCTCAAGCCACTCGCAGGTGAACTCGGCACGGGGGGTGCGAGTGGTGCGGCGGCCCGTGACCAGAGCCTGGAGCATACGGTCCTGAGGAAGAAGCCATTGTCTGATGCTCTCGATGGAGACACGCACATCTGTTCGTGGTGGGTGAGAATTGTGGGTCAGCAAGTCTGATCTTCGCAAAGGTCAAAGGATGGGCCCTGAATTTGAGGGACGGGAAGGACGGACGGGAAGCCTGGGGGAAGGAGGTGTGGGAGGGTGAGAGCGGGTGGTAAGCACGCTATAGTGCAGGGGTGGTGCATGAAGGAGGGTGTCATGGTGACAGCTGGCTGACTAAGCGTCTCGCCAAGCAGGTAGACGTCACGTCACTCCCTACCGAGATTCCACTTTAAAAAAAAAAAAAAAAAAAAAAACCACCAAAAAAGAGAACTTGTCCACTCACCACTAATCTCGGAGGAGTTCTCGAGCTGCCATGTCCACATCAACTCAGCAATACGGTCCTTGTGGGCGACAAAGGACTCCATGCGACCACCAAAGGTCAGGTTGAAATCGACAGTGACGCTTGTGGTCGACATTGCGTACGAGGACTTTCGGTAAACAAGTGCAAGTTCGACCGAGAGTCCAAGCATATCGGCCAGCGACAGGCTGAGATACCTTCTCGCCTCTGGGATGGAGACGAGAAGGCTGATATTCCGCTTATAAAAGTCGAAGACGAGGCCATACTCGTGGAAGAGGCCGAAAGCCCGTTCTAGAGCCTCACCATTCTGGGGTCCGAGCTGTAGGAAGAAGGAGGCGAGACGCGTTAGCTGGGCTTCGTTGTTCATGCATACGCCCTATGCAGGGTCTTGTTACGGGCGGAGCCCATCGTTCGATGTGGCCAGGATTGTAGGAAGGGAGTGGGAAAGAAGAAGAAAGAAAGAAAGAAAAGACCGGTCTGTCTTGTCTGTAACTCACAAGGAGGAGAAGTTGGAGGGAGGCGAGGATCAGCTCGACGGCCTCCTTGGACGAGGGGATAAAGCCGTCATCAGTGACCTCGAAGAGAGACAGCTTCTTGGCAAAGTCCTCTGCCTGCTTCAGAATCTTATCCCAGCGGCTGCCCCTCGCGGGCATGCGCTTGAGGCGCTCGGCGGCAATGAAGCTCAGCAGGTCCTCGCTTGAGACACCGGCCGCCAGCCCTTGCTCTTTGCCTCCCTTGAGCTCAGCCTGGAGCTTGGCCCGGTATGTGGCCACGGCGTCGGTCACAATGTGGTTGCCCCGGGGGGCGAATGACCTGCGGTTCGGGCTGTCGCGCGGGGTGGCTGGGCTGGGGGATGTGGCCCGGCTCATGATGGCAGTCTTGGCCCTGTCGAGAACGCTGGGCCTGTTGTTTTGGTGGCTGTCCTCTGCGGCAATGGTAGAGTCTGAGCCTGTCGAAGAGGCGGAGACGCTGCGCTCCTGGTGGATCTGTCGAGACATTTGGGGCTTGACGATGTCCCTGGAGACGATGGAGGGAGCGTCGGTGGTGGTGATTATGCGAGGGATATTATTATGATGAGGCTCGACAGAGGCGGATCGTGAGGAGGGCGCGGAGGACTTGTCCGTCTTGGTCCTCTTGAGGTGGTTGAATAAGGACATGTCAAGAGACTTGAGGGAATCGCGTGAGGAGAGGTGCTTGAGAGTGCCTGGAGCCGACGAATTACTAGATAGACTGCCAACTGTTTCACGAGAAGCGCGAGCTTGTATTGGATGTCAGCCCACGAACCGGAGGAGAAAAAAACGTGAAGTGCATGCAGACATATATGGGGACTTTGTAAACGTGTCCCCAATGGGCTGTCACCACAACCGCACTTACCGTCGTCGTCTTCAGGCCTTAGTCCGATAGCTCCCAAGGCCTCGCCGAGACCCTTTTTTACCTTGCTCTCCTTCCTTTTGCCCCGAAGCGAGAAGAAATGGTGGTGAGAAGACGCCTCTTTCGAATCTTTTCGCGCCATCCTGTTGATCAAAGCTCCCGGTGTGGATCTCAAACCCTCACCGCTTCTGTCCGGAATAGGCAATGGAGAACTTAGAGAGTGGATGCAGGCCAGGGGCGCTGTGTGTGGTACGAGTCGCAATACGAAAGAACAGAAATAAGAAAGATGAGACGATGAGACAAGGTCAACAAAAATTCAAACAAGTGGGATCACACATTGTGTGTTAGTGTCCTCTCTCTCCGAGGTCCAGGAACCCATCATGATATTTATCTTCAGCTCACGATGGGGCTGGCTTCGTATATCCACCACCCTCGAGCCACCAACCTCTTCCCCCGGTTGTCCATTCTATAATTTCCCCCTGACCTAAATCCCACAACTTGTCCTGAGCTTCGTTCATTCATTGAATCGTACACGAGGTTACGGGTCATGGGACAGAGGAGAGCAATCGCACACCGCATAAATGAAGATCTCAATCGAGAGTGAAGCAGACACGCACAAACACACCTAACAAACACATATGTGCTTTCTAATCTGTCAGTGATGGCTCACCGAATAGTGAGCCCATCTAAAGTGCCGGGATCCCCTCAATCGCGGGTGGTCTACAGCTCTTCCGTAGAGGCCGTCGAGGCCCACTCAAGGGTCTGAGTTGTGGAGATTCTAGAACGTGTTCCCGAATGCTCTGTGGGGATAGAAGGCCAGGCGCTCGTCTCAATCAGGGGATGACCTTGAAGTAGTAGGACCCTTGTTTCTTCTGTCTCAGGGGCCAGTCCTTTCTCCAGATTTCACTCGCATCAACCACAAATTCTCCTACCGCGAACTCGACCGCAAGCAAAAGCGCACGTCCTTTCATCAAAGGGGTCGACCGAGGAGACAGCCCACAATCTCATCCATTTCTGAGTGTGTGAGAGAAAAACAAAGAGGTGTGCATTCCGACATTCCGATATTTCGACATTTCGTTACAGATTGATGTTATCATCTGCACTCCATACACACCTTCAAGTGTGCAAACTTTTTTTTTTTTTTTCATTTGGCTTCTTTAAATGAAGTCCACTGTTGTAGACGTGGCACTCTGATGTTGAGATCTACTTTACTAAGGTTTTGTGGCTGATGGAGACGAAGTTGATGAGCCCACCTGCCAGCCTATCGTTTGTGGATTTCCTTATTGCTGCGCCGCCACATGGCATGCGCAAGCGTACGTGCGTTTCATAGGCTCCACTCTACCAATTTATCTCGTGATAGCGAACTTTCAGCTCTCCTCAGAGACCTCGGCGACAAGTAGATACCAACGAAATGTTCGGCTTCTATCCTTAAATCGCCAAGTTTATGTGTTGTTTTCATGTCTTTGTCGTTCAGGGGGAACTACTGCAGACCGCAGAGCTTGTGTTTAATTTCATACCAGACATGTTGCAGCGGCGAGGCCGTGGCCCGGCAGTGGCGGCCGGTGTGGAAATTATTCTTCGTAACGCGTCCACACACACATACACGGTATGCACAAAGTGAAAGAGAAAGACGCCAGTTTGCTCGCCTAATTACCTTCGTATGGTCGGAACAGCCGCGACGTCCGCCTCTTGGTCCATGCGGATGGATGAGGAGGCGGAGTATCGGAATTGGCGAGCTCAGCTCAAAGATGATCGATAAGCTTCGTCGATCCACGACCCCTCCCATTTGAGTGTGGTGCACCGTGTGTCCTATGTGGGACTTGCGATCCAGTGCGCTGGGTGTGTGTGTATGTGTGCGCGTGAACATTGAACTCTGTCATATTCTCAGAGATGTGCAATTCATGCTTTTTATCCATGATCTGTCAATTCGCTGCTCTTTGTCACATATATTTGGAAAGTGAGCAAATGCAATGCAGCAATGGATCGGAGGTCATACACTCAGAGATTGGATGGTTTGCAGTTAGTACAAAAGAAGGATCGACATAGTCGTTAATCCTATTTACATGGACTAGGTTGCCTTTCATGCGCTTCTCACGAAGCTTCCACTGCCTTCGAAAACCTAGGTTCTGTCGGGGCCACTTCCGATGAGAGAACTTCATTGTCCTCACCGCATCCTTGCGTTACGTCTCGAGTCTGCCGCAACCCAAACTTGGACGACAAGTGTTGCACTGTGATAGGCTGTGCATTCACGTCCCCAAGACTTTTGACATTCGCCGCTTTTTCACAACACTTGTGCTAAGGCATTTGGGAACAGCACCAGCGTGGCCATCTTCATTAGGTTCAATATGTGATTTTAAGATTATATGGAATTGATGTTCTACGTGCTCCACGACAAGGCCTTGATCATGGACCATACGTCTCTCCAGCAAAAGCTCACCGACTCCAGCAGTGGTCCTTGCATGCATTGTGTTACTATAGGACCATACATAATTAATCCTGAGGCTGCGGTATGACATGACAACTGACAAGGTCAAACAGCATAGACCAGCTTATAGCCCGAAGAAGTCTGAGCACGCACCAAGTCAATGCCTCGTATCACCCCTGCCCATCCGCCATCCATGGACTTCACAGGATGTGTCGAGAACAATCCATCATCCATAAGCTTTTGGACTTGAGGAAACATATCGTTGGCCATCTGTCTGTCTTGAGGCTGAGCCTCCCTGCCATAGATCCCATCGAGGGCCACCTTCTTTCCGAACAAGGTCATGGCCATGCAGAATGATGGCTCAATGGTCAAAGCCCGCGTCGCAGTCACAGTCTCACGGTACGGCTCCAGAGAGACATAGCGGCCACCAGCCCGTCCAATAGCTGCATAGCATAATTGGGTTGTGTCTGCCTGCGAGACGCAATCTATGGCATAGGCCAAAGCGTTACCCGTATAGGAACGGATATCGACGGCGCAGGTGGGACTGTGGTAGTCAAAGACCTTTTCAGCGCCGAACTTCAGTGCCAGGTCATAGTTGGGCGGAGAACAAGTAGTTAGGACGCGCAGCCCCATCCTGTGAGACACCTGCTATTAGCTGATTACCAGGGGGGAAATAAAAGGAGTCAGCAGCGACTTACAGCTTCAGCAATTGGATCGTACGAGTGCCGGTAGCCGTGCTTCCACCCGCAATCAAGATGAAATCCTCAGCCCTGGAGGGATCGCGTGGATACAGAGGACCCGGCAGCTCCAGCTCGCGGAAGATGCACAAGAGCGCCGTGCCCAAGCCAATGCCGATAGTTGCCGCCTCCTCAAAGCTCATACTATCAGGAATCTTGAGCAGAAGACCCCCATCTGACGCAACATACTCGGAAAAGGCTCCAACCCCGGGCTCCATGGCGTTATTCCCGTGCACTGTGCTGGCCACGCGGTCTCCCACGGCCAGGTAACTCGGCGCATTGGGGCCCACAGCGACGATGGTGCCTGCGAAGTCGTGTCCATGAACTGCACCTATTGCGGGACTGAAGTCGAGGATTTTGGCGTCTACTGGGTTAATGGCCACAGCAGCGACTTTGATGATGGCTCCGTCGTCTCTCAAGGCTGGGACCGAGACATCATGTTGAACGGCGAGCTTTCCGGGTCCCTGGACAACGAGGGCTGTTTGCTGACTGGGGAGCGTGCTGGCGCCCATGACGGGTGTTGTATTATGACTGTTATGTCGGAGATGATGCTGTTGTGGCCTGAGTAGAGATGAGTGCTGAAACACTTTGGTTCGTTAAATGACCACCACTTCATCTCTATATTATAGATTTCTTCTGGTAATGTCGCTGCTGTATTTGCTGATCATAGCCAAGGCTTGTCGATCTATTAAACGTCGTCCGTCACCCGATCAGCCACAAAAGTTACATCCGGATGCAAGTAGAATCTTCAAGTGATTACTTGCGCTGGCGATGAAAATGGATTATCGGCGCGCCGAATAGACAGACGCCTCTGCGCGAAATACATAAAGGCACCGAAAATGTCGCGTCTGTGATCCAAGCCTTATCTCATGAGAATTCTGGCCAAGTCGCCGAATGTTCCTGGCTCACAAGCATCATTACTGAATTCCTTGGCCTTGGTTGAGACCATGGCGGACCCGTCTGAACATGGCTATTACTATCTCAAGAGGTTTCAAGGAACGTGAATACACTATAACTAGCACTCATTTGGAGGAACAGAAGTAACCGATAATCGCTCAAACGTGAGATACCATGTTAAGTGCAGCTGGTGAACAGGTGACAAGTAGAATTTCAAGACAGAGAACACATGTGGAAGTTCGGAGACCAATTGACGAAGTAAGTATGTACTTAGTAGATAAGAAACCATTATCTGCAAATCGTCTACGTGATTTCAGCAAAATAATGAACAGGTCATTGTAAAAGAATAAAAGGACTCAAGCCAGAACCAAGCCGAAACTCAGTAGACGTCCCTCACATACGATCCAGCTGTCTTGCATTCATCAAGCCACTCATCCGCTTCAATCTCATTCTTCCCTGTCTGATCGGCCCAGATGCGTTTCAATACATCTGCTGAGCTTCTTCCTAGCTTGGCTGCACTACCACAGACGTAGACCTTGCCTCCCCCTTGGAGCATATTCCAGACGCGGACTCGATCATCCCAAAGCGCATCGGGAACGTGTCGCCCCTGCTGACCGTCGCCAGGCTTGGAGAAGCACGGAACCACTTCCACCACGCCCTGTTTTCCCCATTCCTCGAGATCAGAGCGGTAGATGTAGTCTTTCTCACGATGGCGGCAGCCGAAAAAGAGCAACGCGGGTCCCATCTTCTGTACGCCTGTTTTCTTGATGGCGGCACGTTCTGCAATGAAGGCCCGAATCTACACGGTAAAATCGTCAGCAATAAAGGGCGGAAAGGGAGAGAGGGAGAACAAAAATGTTTTTTATGTCTTCCCCAGCCTCGATAGACGGGTACGACGAGAAGAAGGAAAGTGTTTGTTTCATACCGGCGCAATACCTGTTCCTGCGGCCAACATGATGATGGGAATTTCAGGATCAGACGGGAGGCGGAATCCGATCGTGTTCGGACGCACGACACATTGAACACGGTCTCCGGGCCTGCAGGCTGAGAGATGGGTGCTCACGACGCCGCGAAATGCGCCATGACCACTGGTCGCAGGTGCTTCGAGGACGTCAAAAGTTACGCTGGCGATGACGCCAGTTTCTTTGTCGTCTTTCAGTGGTGATGGTGGTGGTGAAGAGATGGAATATTGGCGAGGAGTCAATGGCAAGAGGAGGTCAATATAGACCCCATACGGAAGCGGCAGTCCAGGAACCTCCTCGAGCACATCAAGGATGGAGTATCGTTTCTCCAGAAGAGTCTCATAGACTGTTTCTTTCTGCATATTGAGTAGACTCTTCAGCTCAGAGCTGCCCTGCTCCGCCCACTGGGCAAGTGTCGAGAGCTGTCGCCTGGTGATGGGCGTGGCAAGCTCAACGCTCGTGGACAAGAAGTGACCCACGGCTGTTGGGTGCGCCGGGAGAAATGGTTTCTTGCTGGACTTGACGGTCATCATGTCGTGTCGTTCAAGATTGAATCTTGCCAGCACTCGCCTCACTGTCTCTTCTGGGCTCCGTCCTTGGATCACCAAGTAGTCACCTGAGACAAAGTTGCAACCGGGAGGAAGACGAAGCTCAACATGACGCTTCGCAGCGCCAACAGAAGTATCGGCTAGCTCGCGATTGGAGAGCACTGTTGCATTATTCAAGTCCTCGCCGCTCTGCGTCTGACGACGCGTCCCTGTGGCCTGGGAGTTTTCGATGGTGACATCCACGCCAACAGAGATTTGGTCCGCTGTCTTGTTGTCGGAAAGGCTTGTGCAGAGCTGAACACACCACTCTTCCCACGGCCCCATAATATCCAGCTTGACGTTGCTGTAGCCGGCATCCATGATCCGATCGGCACCAATTTCGGACAGCGTCTTGTCAACCAGCTTTGGGATTCGATGGAGTGTACTGGCCCAGTCACTGTTTCCGACGCCGAAGACGGCGTAGCGAGTGCCCTGGGGCAACTTGTAAGAGCCTCCAGCAAGTTTCTCAATCCATGCCACAAATTTTCTAGCATTGCTGGGTGGCTTGCCTTCATACGAGGCTGTGATTATGATGCAAGGCCGATCCGTCGGCAAAGCCTCAACCGCAGCATCCAAATCTCGTATGTCGACATCGAGTCCATACTCAGGAGCCTTCTCAGCTAGGTCATGGGCTAAACCTTCACTGGTTCCCATATTACCACCGATGAATACGCAGACGTGCTTGGCCTCGCCTGTCTGGCGAGCGGCACCTCTTGCACGCTGACGCGACTGGTTTGGCACACTTTCGGCAAAAGTTCCTCCCGGAATACCAATCATGAGATTTTTCTCAGGCCTACGGCGAGCCTTTATTCGGAAATCGGCCGGTTTAGTCGTCAATGTGCTTCTGATGACCAACTTATAACTTGGGTCGGCCTTCTGTACATGGAAGCGCTGTAGCACTTGTGAAAGATTGATGAGCATTTCTTGCTCGGCAAAACCTTGGCCGATGCATACTCGGGAGCCATTTCCAAACTGGCGAATTTGAAACGATAAATATTAGCCACAATAAACTGACAACATGAAAGGCCACAAATGGTAGAGGGAGACATACTGGCTTCCACGCGGTAGGAGGCAATGCCTCAAATCCCCCATCGAGCAGGCGCTCGGGGCGGAATTCGTCGGCATCGTCACCCCAGACCTTAGGATCGCGATGCAGGTGGCGCAGCAGACATGAAACAGACAAACCCTTGTTGATCAGATACTTTCCGCCCAGGATCGTATCCTTGGTGGCGTCTCGGTTGAGAATATTGACCGGCGAGTTCAGCCGCAATGATTCCTGGATGCATGCCTTGAGATATACAAGCTTCGGCAGCATGTCGATCGTGACGATATTGTCGCCGACAACTTGATCAACCTCTTGTTGTGCCTTGCGTAGGCACTCTGGGTTGTCGCATAGGTAATAGTAAACAAAGCTCAGCGATGAGGCTGTCGTATCGTACCCGGCGGCGAGGAAGGTAGAGATCTGATACCGGACGTTCTCGGTTGGTACCTTCTCCCCAGTCTCTTTGTCGACACCATATAGCAATACGTTCAGGAAGTCTGTCGAGGCAGCACCAGGTCTCGGGTTTGTCTCCCAGTCGCGCACAATCTGATCGCTCAGATCCCGCATCTTCTTCATGTTGACCTGCCGCTCCCTCTCTGCTCGGTAGAAGAGCAATGTGTTCAGGAACTGAGGCCGGTTGGCCCTCCTCCCACATTCTATCAGCCCTTCTGAGAGATTCTTGACAAAAGGGTGGACCTCTCTCATGTAGAACTCGTTGAAGCGTACGTTGAATGCACATAGGCCGATAGTGTCGAAGGTAAGTCGTGTGAAGGCATCGACGCACTCAATCTCGTTGTCGGGGCCGTAACGATCCCACATTAGAACCAGTTGAGAGCTGATCTCCAGCCTGTTTGAAGTTTCATGTGTCAGTGGAAACCAGCTATTGCAACCTGCTTAGGTAGATGTGGGCTCGACATACATATCATCAAACATGTTCCGTAACCCAAGTGGGCCTGTGCAGTTGTCAATACGTCTCTCTTGACCGCAGTAATTTCTATAGCGAAATTAACTTTCATGAACATACCAAATGACGGATTCAACAATCGCCTAGCTATACCCCAATTCTTCTCCCCAGAAAAAGCGGTGACCAGACCATCACCGCCACCCAGATTTCGCAGCTCTAGCTGAGCCTTGGACGGCTGCTTGACCCATGTTTCCTCATCCAGCATCTCACTGAAGAGATCATGATTGCCTACGAGGACCCTGCGACCCTGGAGGTCAACCTCGAAGATTGGGCCATGGTTGTCCATGAGCCTCCAGAGAGAGCTGACGGGAAAGTCCCGATCAATCTCAGGAAGATGTCCCAGGAGACCGAAATACTTGGTTGGTGGTCGAGGTATGTCCTCCAGCTTGTTTCGATCCATGCCTGAAAATGGGCACTGCGGCTGGTCATGCTCATTGACGAGACTCGCCATGATTGCGTATGAGGGACTAAAGACCCGATAGTGTTCTATAAGCACTCAAATGATGGGGTATACCGAGGGAATTCAACGAAAAATAACGCAAAATTGTGTATAAAATTTTGGACCATTTCATGAGAGCTACTTGGAGTAGTGTTTGTTTAAGTCTGAATGTGTCTCGTAAAACCATGTCAGATAATGGACACACTTTACTAGCACCGAGCTCCGAAGGTTTCCTCTCAGAGTGGACAGGATGCGCAGCCAGGAGTCTCCCAGTCTCGATTCACCTCAGATGACGAATCAACTATCAGCCCGTCCCGACAACGATCAGAGTTACGTAGCAGAGTCGGAACTAGGCTTACGACTATGATGTTATTCGGAGCTACCTTATCTAGGACTTCAAAAGAGAGCACCGTGTTGCGGCTTATTCTTGTGACTTTCACTTTTCGTGATGGCGCCGGCTGCATCTCGTATTGTATGTAACACAAAGGTACGCAAGACCGAAGTGGCGCACCTACGCCTATATGTAACATTAATTCACCGAATTTTTTTTAAGTGAGATCACCGAATAATATGCTTAACAAACCGAAATTTTGACTCTTATGGCAAAAATTGTTGCTGCAGGAGAAAAAATTCTTCGCTGGAAAGAAAAGTGAGATAGGAGGAGCTTTTCGCCTGAGGCGATTGTGGATAGGCAAATGTTGACTGGAAATCATAATTTTACTAGAGTAGAAATGCGGAGCTTTGCATTTAGTAGTCTCATGTTTGGCACTTACACGACAACGCAGAATGTCAGTACAGAAAATGGACATGAATGTATGTATGGGAACTGTTCATGATATTCGGCTGCGTCTAATAATTGATTTGGCCAAGTAATGTTAAACAACTATCTCGAGGATGTCTTGACCGGATGTCCGACTACTTGTAAGGTGTGTTGGCGGCCTCTTTGCACATAAAAAAGCTAGGATAGACTGTGTCTGGGCATTGTAGTCGTCGTGATGACTGAATGTAGTTGGTGACCATGTCACGCTGTGATCTTCTTCCCAGAGTCCTCTATGCCCTCCTTATCCGCAGCCCTGGACTCTGCGACCCCAGACGGATCAGCCAGCTTCTCTTTGGGCTTTTGGAGCTTCTTCCAGCCCATACCCCAAGCAGCAAACCATGCCACAACACCGGCTCCAGCCTGCAGATAAAATGTATGATCCAAGCTCGTCGAGAACGCCTTCAACACACCGGGAAGCTGTTGAGGAGTGACGACCTCGCGGAAACGAGTGGCGCCCGCAGCAATGACCAGCTCAGCGCTGACGCCCGGCGCGTATTTTTGTATCTCCGTCGTAAGACTAGTGTCGAAGACGGTGTTGTATAGCGTGAGGAAGACGGTGGGACCAATGTATTGGCACCAAACGGCAAAAGCCATCGCCTGGGACATTTCCTCTTGTGAAACCACTGCCTGGATGGCCATGAGGGGCATTTGCAGAGCGATGCCTCGACCAAGACCAGTGATGATCGAGAATCCGACCCATTCGCCAGTTGGCGTGTCGGGCTGGAACAGGGAGAACAAGCCACTGCCAATGGCACCCAGACTGCCTCCCACAAGAGCAAAAGGGGGCACATAGCCAATTTTCGATACTGCAATTTGTGTAAATAAAGCTTCAGTGGAAATAGAGAGAAAAAAGAAGGGGGGGGGGGGGCAAATCCTTACCTAGAGTACCACCAATGACTGCTGAGGCGAGTTGGGGCAGGACAATCGGCAATAGGTACACACCACTCAGCACGGCGCTGACCCCCTTCACACCCTGGTAATAGATGGGAAGGAAGTAGGTGGATCCAAAGACTGTGGCCATCATGAATGCGTAGTTGGTGCCGCTCATCCATACAGTTCTTCGCCTAATAATGGACATTGGAAGGAGGGCATCGTCGCCCTTGTGGTGGTTCCAAATCACCCAGACAATGAATGTTACGCCAGAGCCACAGAACAAACCGATGACCTGCGACGAGTTCCATGCGTATTGATTGCCGCCATACTGCAAAGCGAGAAGCAGCATTATAATGGCAGGAGCGAGAATGGCAAAGCCGAACAAGTCGAGGTGTTGATGAAGCTTGGGCAGGACGGACATTGGCTTCGGCTTAGGGAGCTGGTCGGGAATGCGCATCAGCAGGAGAGGAATGCCCACCAGAGCGGCGAAAGGAAGGTTGATGTAAAAGCCTATAACGACTGTTAGATCTCATTACACCTTGTTTTTTCAAGTTTTAATTGTGTTCACCTACACCATCGCCAGGTATAGCCAGTCGTAAAAGCACCTCCAACCAGAGGGCCGCAGATAGGTGCTATCATAAGTAGGGACGGTAACACATCAGACAACCTGTGACAAGTAATCAAGACCCTCTCCAGGCAGGGCAGCCTTGGGTTGGTATTCAGTCTACAGTCACAGTGATGTTTCCGGAGCCCCAGCCCACATTATGGAAAATTTGAGAGACGAGATCATCCAACGGATGAGACCAGAACACTGTCATCCTGGAACACATTTGACAGGGTGAGTATGCCCACAGTAACAGCAACAACAACAACAACAAGAACAACGCAGGGTAGTGGATGGGCCAAGAAGATCCACCGGACATGATCTGGACCTCTCTCCTCGTCTGTTGAGTGGGCGACCCTCTGCCACATTTTTTCTTTGAGTGCTTGCATTGCATCAACTGAAAAGCGGGGGTACACACACACACAGAGAGAGAGAGAGGGGGGGGGGGGGGAAAGCCCTGCACTAACTAAGGTAATGCGGTCCTCCTGCAGGTTGACCTGGCCCCCCTCACCATCAGTCAAGAGAACCATGCACGTTGCATGATCAATATACGTTCGAACACGTTTACTACTGTACAAGGACAAGGTGGTAGGTGCAACCGTTCGGTGAGGAGGTGAGAATTAAAAGTGAAGAGGAGGGGTGGAGTGGTAGTGGGAGGGGACAAGGCTCAGGCGGTGTCGCTTGGGAGGGGGAGAAGGAGAAAAAAGGTTCGGATGTCCTCTTACTATAGAGAGAGTATGTACAGGCGTACTCAGGTACATCAACCTTTAACCTCGATTCACATCAACAACAACATGTCAAGAGACCAGGGTGTCGAGGGGAGAACCTTGAGCCCCCAGGGCCTGGTCAGGGCTATTGCTGTTCACCAGTGCTCCACCCTTGGGCGCAGGTACTCTGTACCCGAGTGGGTCCCCCCATCTTGGGCCCCCTGCCCCCCCCTCTGGGCCCCTTCTGCTGGCTCTCACTCTCCTCCAACCTTCTGTAAAATAGGCGGCCATGGTCGAACCCTTAAGTGCGGGTGACTTAATGACCACCCCCCCCCTCCTAATAGCCAAGCCGCTCCCGCCCATCCCAAGTTCCTTCTCCCCCTTCCTACACAGTACTAAACCAACCCGTTGCCGCCCGTTGTCCTGCACACCTCCTACAACAACACCAGCCACTGAAAATAACATTATTCACTGCCACCACGACCAATTCTCACCGGATTTGATCGCGCATTTGCCTCATAACACATTGCGAATACTCTAATCACATACTACACACCTTCTCTGTGCCGCGCAACCCTCTCCTGCCCGGCGCATTCTCCCATCTTGACTCATTCTCGCCTTTGTCGCAAACAACAACCCAGTCGCAACCTTTCTTCGCACACCTTCGCAACCCAAATCGTAAGGTGATCGCGCATACACAAGCACACATTCCCTGGCGCTTCAAGAATACCGCGCGACCCTTTTTCGAGCCACGAAACTACGTCTGCGCACAACGTCATCGCATCACGTCGCATCGCATCGCATCGCACCACACCGCCACCATGCTACTACCGTCGGCTCTCACCTGCGACACATCGCAGCCGCGCCTGCAGTCCGCACTCTTCATTTCGCCGCCCTCGAGCCCACAGCCCTTCTCGACCCAGAGCGCCATTGGCAACCTGATCAACTCGTGCCGCAACTTGCATAGCCTGCTCTCCGGCCCCGCGCCCAACACTCACCTGCCGTCGCCGCCACTCGCCAACAGACCCAGCCCCGCGCGCAGGCTGCGGCGCCGTGAAGCTAAGCCCGCTGCCACTGGGCCTATCGCTCTGGGCCAGTCCGAGTTGCCCCGGTACAGGATCAAGAAGCGCGCGCCACCCCCGCGCGGCGTCAACAAGAGGAGGAGGGCCGTCGAGGACGACCTGGGAAGGAGCGACAATGAGGATGAGGACTCGGACGACGACCGGGCGGAGGAGAAGAACATGAACAACCACATCTTTGGCGAAGCACAGAAGTCCGAGGACGGTGGCGTCTTCGTCTTCAGGGGCGCACAGCCACCCGCTGAAAAGTCGCCACGTGTGGCACCATCGACGCCCAAGAGGCAGCGCATTGCACCGCCGGACGTCCCCCGTGGGCTCACCCGGGAGGACTTTCACAAGATCGGTATGCCGCCTCAGCAAGAGGGAGAGGAGAGGAGTGTTTCTCAACTAGGCGGCATGGCCATGGAGACCGGCGAGCAGCAGCAACAGCGCACTGGCGTGCAGTGGAGCACGGAGGACGACTCCAAGCTGGTGGAGATTGTGCTCGAGAAGGTCAAGAACCTCGATTTGTCCAACGAGGTGTGGGAGGACTGCGTGCGAAACCTGCCCGGGAGGGACTACAACAGCGTGAGCTCGCGGTGGAAGAGCCTCATCAAGAGCGAGAGGATAGGACTACAGAACAGGGGGAGGAGTAGCAGGAGGAACAACAGGCTGCACGGGACATGGTGATCATCATCGTCACCTGTCTTTTTCCTTCTGGCTTTTCTTTCCCTTTCTTCCATTCTTTGACCTTTTTGGCTTCCTTATCTCTTCTACTTATAGCTATACTTCTTATTATGTGATGGCACCCAGGCCACTCAAGGGACTTTGGCGTTAGCGTTTTCAGATGAGGCACGATCTCTCTACTTCTTCTTCGTTTATAGATACTCTCATGCCATGCCTCCTCTTGCATGCGCTGTTCGAGCCAATTTCGGTAGCTGAATTCAGCACACATACACACAAACCAAACCATCTGTGAACTCGATTGTCAACTTTGCACCCCCTCCCCAATTACGGATTCCGGAGCCATGCCCCCAACCCGCCCATCTTCGTGAACAATGGGGTTGACTACCTCTATTCTTGTCCATCTCATTCCGGTCCCGCGGGAGTGCTAAACAGAGACTCTGGCGGCCGTCTTAATTTTTCTTGGTTATAATAAACATACCCGCTGCCCAGCTTGCCCATACGGTAAGGATGGGTAAATAAGCTCTCGAAATTTGCTTTAACGACTCAAGGGCGAACTTGTGTCTGCCAGCCCTTGACTTTGACCTGACCGCTCCTATTCAGTCGCAGCAAGACATAGACGCGAGATTTAGACCACAAAACGTCACGTCCAAGCTTACCCGAATCCCTTTCTGGGACGCATGACCATCATGATTACCCCACAAGGCCTCGACCGCACGAAGTCACATTCAATCGACGCCAGCAGATCATCTCTCCTGCCCTCTCCAGCGATAGCAGGAGGGGTTTTAATCAAAATGACTTGCATAAACTAATCCGGATCAGAGACCTGCCTCGGCACGCGAGAGGATCGGGATGATGAACATGAGGGGGAGATTTCAATTAATGACCTGCAGGACGGGATGAAAGAAGGGGGCCTGAGCGCCTTCTTCTCTGTCTCTCATCCTTCTCTCTGTTTCTCATCCATCATCATCACTTCAGCCGTGTGTGTGTGCTTTCCTCCATCTTTGGTTGGCTGGGTTGGTCGGTTGGCGCAGGGACGGCATGAAGGAAGGGGAAGTGAGTGAGTGCGTGCATGCAGATCGGGCCATGCAGGTCTCATGTCAAGTCCTCGTCCTGCAACAGACACACAGTAATCCATCTGCAGGGCGGGTCATATGATCGACGCTGAGCGACTGATGGGAAAGGGGAGCGGGAGATGGAGTGGGAAGAAGAGAAAGACACACAACACACATATACACACAGAAAGAGGGGTGGAGAGACAGAGAGCGGCAGAGAAAGAGAGAGAGAGAGAGAGAGAGAGAGAGAGAGATTGCAGAAGCAAGTATGTTCGAGCTCCCAGTCAGCCCTCGGCCCGATCAGGCTGTTCCTTGCGCAACACAGCACCGCACAGTACCTGATGATGGCCAGATCCTTCCTAGCCCGGGTCGCGGGGTTCGAGTAACTAGGGTCCTTCTCTCTTCTTCAAGATGCCATGTTTTATGTATGATTGGGTGACTATGTATGCGTCTCTGGCTATGACTGATGCTGCCAGCGAGGCGAGGCGTGCGCATTGGGGGTTCCCATCGAAAGGAAGGAGAGGACACCTCCCAAAGGGTGATGAGCAATCCCATCACAAAGGAGCCTGCCGCCGAGGCTCGCGGGCAAGACCAACGAGAGTCATGAGAAAGTGCAGGCGGCAAGTGCCTAGTGCGCACTGCCCATTTCACCTTCCCTCAGTCCACCTCGCCCGAAATTGGCCCTGTTCTGACATGTTCTTTCCTCCTTTTCAGCATGTTGACAAGAACAGTCGGGATGGGGAAAATGGGACATGGCTCATTGACCTCCATCATGAGACTAAAGATCGCGCGACTCTGCGCCGTCGCCCTTGACACTGACACTGACCAGGGCCCAAGACACGGGAGAACGACGAGAGACACAGGTCCGCATTTTCGCCATTCGAGATCTCACACATGCAGCAGTACCATATTTCTTGTCCTTCGTCCAATGTGGGAACGATAGAGTCCTGCCGAGTCGGCCGCGTTGCTATTTGGATCGAGACAAGGCCTCTCCCTCTTCTCCTTGTAGAGGGGTGGGAGTAAGTGGTGATAGCGCCCAAAGGCACAATGTTTTGATGGAGATACGGTTAATCGTATAGTCTTTAGGAATATCGATACATCGGCGAAGTCTGGGAGGCTCGGCTCGCGCAGCACGGCCTGAGTCTTGCAGCACAGAGCTGCCAGGTGGAGACACAGAAGAAGGCTGATGTGATGTGGGAACCTCGTTGAGGGGTCCCGCACAGGCACACACACGCACACGACTCGACGTCGACAGACGGACGGCTCCAATATAGCGGAACCAAGATGGAGATGGCTCCCCCTTGCCTCTACTGCCATCTACAAAGACACACACACACACACACACAAAGTCCACCCTGTGACCTAACCCAAGAGGGATCAACCTGGTCCGCCATCATCGTTTGTTCCCTTGCTCGATCGATCGCATACAGAAGAGAGAGGGAGACTGCGTGTGAATAGTCGGTCAGTTAGCCAGTCAATCAGTCTTCCCTGCAATATCGTGGAGGGCACTTCCAGCGGCATGCCCGTCTGGAACAACCCTCCCCCCCCCTCCCAATATCCCCCTTTGGAAGTTTGTCTGGCTGGAGACGGTGGAGATACTGTGGGTGACACCCTGGAAGCAATGCACACCACCTCTGTCGACGTGTCCCCGGCGTCTGTGCTTGTGGGTGGGAAAATGCTCGGGAGAGGATGCACGCACGGAGCGGCTTCCCCGCCAGCTCTCGCGGCAAGGAATTCGATCATACCATCTTGCTTGAAACGTTGTTGTCCTCCTTGCGTATCCAAGGTGCAATGACCCTCATGCTTGGGTGGATGCTAGATCTCTCGGTGAACATCTCCTGAGTCTCGTGGTCCACCGGTGGTGTTCCCACTCTCTCTGGCCCGAACGCATCAGAGGTGTTTCGATTCAGTTCCCCCTCGTCAGAATACCAAAGGACCAAGTCTGGACTAAAGCCAAATCCATCCTGTGGTAGGTGACCAGGATGGGATTGGATAGTGGAGGTAACGTAATGTCGTGGAGGCTGCATGGAGTCAATCTGGCGTCGATCTTGTTTGTCCCTGGAGAAATGAAGGAGAGAGATACAGTATACGGTTCTTCATCATTTGGGAGCCACGAGGAACAGCAAAGAAACTCACGCCATGACGAGGTTCATTATTTCTGCCGGGTGTTAAATAATTACTACTGATTCTGGGTGTTAAGGCCATTCATCCATTACCCTGCTTCTATCGCCAACCGCCACCATCACCGCCCATAACCGTCCATCACCATCCATCCAGTACCCTCACCTTCACATGCATTCCCTTGGCCGGTCTCGATGTCACTCCAGACTTGATCTCGAGCTTGTCCTCGTCGCCATCCTCGGGGTACCTCAGCTCAAACTCCATCTTGCCCACCAGCGCCGCGAGCAAGCACGCGAACTCGGCCCTGGCGAAGCTCGACCCGATGCAACTCCTCGGGCCGTGCAGAAACGTCATGAAGGCATAGTTGCTCGTCGCGCCCCCTGCCGCGGCGCCCTTGTCGCCGTCGTACTTGGGCAGCCACCGGTCTGGGTTGAACTGCCGCGCGTCTGGGCCCCACAGTGCCAGTTCCTTGTTGACCGCGCTGGCGCTCAGCACAATCCTCGTTCCCTTGGGCACGGGATGCCCCTGGATCGTCGTGTCCACCGCTGCCTCGCGAAATGTCATAGGCACGGGGGCGTAGTACCGCAGCACCTCGGAGCACACCGCGTTGAGGTATGGCATGCGGTCGACGTCCAGGCTCGAGATGGTCGCAGCGGCATCGCCACCGTCCACGCCCGGTAACCGCTCTCTCACCTCGCGCCGCAGCCTCGCCTGAACCTCTGGGTACCGGCACAACAGGTAGATGGCCCACGTCGTGCTGCTCGCCGTAGTCTCGTGGCCCGCGGCCAGAAACGTCATGAGCTGGTCAACCAGATTCTCATCCGTGAACCCGCCGCTCTCGAGCGCCACGCTCAGGATGTCCACATCCGCCCGCTCCTTTTCGCGTGCCATCCTCTCCTTCTTCTCGCGAATCAGCTCCGCGCACGTCCGCCGGATCGTGATGCTCGCGCCGCGCATGTCCGAGTTGCGCTGGACGGGAATCCGGCTCACCACCCACGACGGGAGGAGGAGCCCCAACATGTTGAGCAGCTGCGCCCCGCGGGAGGGCTTGAACACCGTCTTGTATGTCTGAAAGAGCGGGCTGGTCGGGTCTGCTATGGCGCCGAAGTCTCGGCCTAGGCCTGCAACGCCGATGATGTCGAGTGTGATGCGGGATGCCCAGCTTGAGATCTCGAGGAAGCCTGCCTTGCTGGCGTCGGAGACAGCTGACTTCTCTGGATCGGAGGACGACGAAGAAGGATCTTGTGCGGCGTCGAGCTCGATCTGCCGCGCCATAGCATGCACACCCTCGCGGGATTTGGCCCAAAAGATTGGATACAGGTCCTTGATGTGGCGAAACGCAAAGGCCGGCATGAGGTTGCGCCGTTGCGTCTTGTGCTCGTCGCCCTCGGCCATGAGAATGCCGAAACCCAGGACGCGAGACAGGGCGAAGCGCACCGAGGAGGGCTTGCAGAATTCGTAATTCTTGGTCACGAGGACCTCGGCCAGCGCCTTGGGCGAGATGACCAGGAGACGCTCCTGGTTGAGGAGGCCCAGGTAGCGGATCACGCCGTTGTGTGGTACAGTGGCGGCCCTGTTTTTGGATTTGTGTCACTCCCGCGTTAGTACATATGCATAATGAAATATGTATATATCTACAAGGGGGGGTGGTAAATTCTCGAAAATATTTATCATACCATTCTTGCATAGGGGAGCCGTTGGGGAGAGCTTTGATCTTTGCCCACTGCCCGTTGTACCAAGACAGGTTCTTAGGTTCCGGCAGGTCGCGAAGGGGCGAGAAGACCTTGGGCCATAGGATCACCTTCCAGAACGCCCAGCCGAAAAAGCTCACGACCCAGCTGCCCACAAAGTAGCTGACAAAGGACGCCGTGGACCACTGCGGGTGGAAGGCGGTTGTCGCGACGTAGCCCGCGACGGCGGATATTGCCGTCATAACCTGCCATGGCGAGGGTGACGACATGATTTTGATCGATGCGTACGTGCCACGGTTAAAGTTCAAGTATGTATGTTATCAATAGTGACGTAGCGTGGCGGCTGCTATGGCCTCGTCTTGCCGTGTGTCTGGTGTGTGCGAGAGAGAGGAGGGAACACTGATTTTTGTGGTAGTCGTAGTCCTTTTATATGTGTGTGTGTGAGTGAGTGAGAGAGAAAAGAGGCGATGTTGGTTGGTTCACCAGGGCCGGGCCAGGTGAATGGGTCTCCGTTCTTTTTAATCCTCCAATCCGTTAGGCATACAGCGAGTATGCGTCAATTAGTGTGTGTGCACTTTTATACGACTCGTGGTGAAAAGAGGTGTGTGCTACGTTTCTATTATGAAGACTTGGGAATACAATGGTCCCGATAGGACAGAAGACGCAGAGTAAGTGACTTTGGTCTGAACACTGGGTGTGGGGGGGACGGACCCGGAGACGGAGTTTAACTTCTCTGACGAAGGCCGTCTTATTGCACCTTTCAGACGAGAGAGAAAGAGAAGTGTGTGAAACTGTGCAAACAGGCTGGACTCCCACGAAAGAGAAGAGAGAGGAAGAGAAGAAAAGAAAAAAAATAAAGGGCCCGGAAAAAAAAAAAAGCAAGGAAAAAGAGGTTCAAGTTCCAGCACAACAGGATAAACCAAAACAGGACGGGAATCAGAAATCCTCGTTCACATGATTGAAATAAGTATACAGAGCGAGAGATTTCCCCCTCACCTCTTCTTTTCTTCCAGGGATAGGGAAGGCTTTGCTGGTGTCGCCTCTACGGACCGGACGTTTCAAGATCGCTGCGGTGAGGCTAATTGAATACCCGTGCCCGTCCGTGGTGATACTACTACTTGTTATAAATGTAAGGGGGGGGGGGGGAAGTGAGGAACACTCCTTTCGCATGGCCAGTCTTTCTTTGGCCTAGGGATTTTTTTTAACGATGTGCTTACCCTTCTTTGCTCCTTCCCCGTCCCCCTCTTTTTTTTCTTCTCGTTATCTCTTGTTTTCTTTTCCCCCTTCCTGACGGATCCCATGTTGGTCCGTTTCCCACCTTTTTCTTGGTGGCTCCCCTCCCCCCCCCTAAACCCGAAAACGAGATCGATCGTCTTCGCAACACTAAACCGTTTCTGGAAAACGGAGATCTACTCTTTTTCTCCTTTCGATTCCTCCACACACGTGGACACGAGTCTTGCTTGCAACCGAGATTCTTTTGCTTTGTGGATTACCTATTGCAGTAGTAGTTGTTTGGTTCATTAATATAATATGCACATACTACTAATTCGTGGGGAAGGGGGAGGGGGGAGGGTTGGGTAGTAGTGGGCCTAACTCTGATTAGCGATTGCGACCCCATAGTTTAGCAGCTGCTAGTGTAAGAGGAAAACCCTGGGGGCGAAAGGAAGAGAGAGAGAGAGAGAGAGAGAAACATCATCCTGTCGGAGAACGGCCTAACCCTGGAGACATTTCTCGGCTACTTTTCTTTTTTGCTTACTCTCTCGGTTTACCTCTCTCTCTCTTTTTCTTCTTCTTTTTTTCTTTCTGGGTTGGGATTGCGGCGGCTGAACTTTTGTAACTCACTCGCTCGAAAACCCGCCTTCTCCAAGTCGACAAGTCTACTATGGTACTGCGAGTACCTACTTGATTACTTGAGCAGTGGCGCATTGTGATCACCACCCACACCCACACCTACACTGAGCTCCTCCTCGAAATGGACTACGGTCACGGTCCGGACCCGTAGACTCCCGTTCTCACATTCGGGGTTCGGTGTTATCAGGCTGTGATGGGGAGGGGGCCTAGGAAAGAAGGAGGTGGGGGGGGGGGGGGGGGAAACAAAGAAAGCTCATTTGTATACGTTTGAATGTGCCGTCATAAACTTCAGCAGAATTTGGTTGAGGGGAGACAGAATCGTATCCCATATCAGAGTAAGTCTGTCTAGTGTTTCCAGGTTACAGAGAGAGGCAGCATCGCGCATTGTAGCGGCGTGGACGTACTATGCGCATATGTGACAACGAATTTGCACAGTTGGGTCAGGCGGGAAACTTTTCCAAATTAGTGATGCGAGATTTTTTCTTTTTCCGGAATTTATAAGCATTATGATTTAATCTTGATATTCTGTCCTGAATTATCGGGCTCCCTAAAGTAGTGGTGATGGCAATTGGTATGTATGTGTGTTTGGGTCCTCTTTATATACTCTCTCCCTCTCACTCTCAAGAGTTTGGTCTCTGAAAAGATAGCCAGCCCATGTCCCAATCGCTAAATCCATAATGCCCAGACCCGCCTCGGCCGTGACCTCTTCACACAACTAAAAGGAAATGGCTAAAAAAGAGAAAAAAGAGAAGAAAGAGAGATCCCTATCCCGTCGCCATCGCGATGGACTCCGATCCCTGAAATGTGTTGCTTAGGTGGTGCTGAATCATTCATTTCGTCGTTAAAATCAAATCTCAAGACGACATGCTGGGAGGAAAGAACACCACTATGAGAAAAAGATACCGAAACTTCGCCGAAACAATGCTTTCAAAACGATAGACTTTGGCTGGGTGGCCACTCGAGCGAGGGCGATCCGCCTCGAGAGCTTGAACCCAGAGGAGTCAAATGGGGAAAAAAAAGTAAGAAACAAGGGGGGAGAAGGGAGAATGGCTGTGTACAGCATTTGAGGCAGCCGTGTTCGGCTGGTCGGACAAGTGCTTGCTTTGTCTTTGAAAGACACAAGACGACCGCGAGAAACGAAGGATTGCTACTCTGCGACCGAAAACATCCCATCCGGGCCCAGACTTCCCCGGCGCCCGGCCGCGGACTGCGTGTTCGGCGTTGTCTGGTTGCTGGCGCTCGACTCGCTCGGCGTGCTGGGCTCCACCACGCTCCGGCGGATCGTCATGATCCACTCGTGCTGCAAGAGCTCCATCGCCGTCGCCCTCTTCCTGCTGTCCTTGAGGAAGCAACGTTTCAAGAAGTCGATGCCGTCAGGGGACAGCTGGTCGGGGGTCGGAAGCTGCGGTGGGTTGCCTTGTGCAATGTTATACATGATAGCCCACTCGTTGTCCAGGTTGGCCCAGGGCCGGCGGCCAGTAGCCATCTCGAGGATCACGCAGCCCAGCGACCAGACATCCACCGCGCCAAAGTGCCCGGGGTTGTCGCCCTTGATCACTTCAGGAGACATGTACATCGGCGTGCCGGTCATAGATTTGTTGGGTTCACTGGATGACATGTCTTGCACGAGAGTTTTTCCCTGTCGTGCGATGACCTTGGCCGCGCCAAAGTCAACGTACTTGATGATGCCGTTATGGTCAAGGAGGATATCTGCGGCTTTGATTTAGTTGACGTCCCATCAAGTAGTGGAAGGGGTAAGAACGAAAAAAAACTCACTCTCTGGTTTGATATCGCGATGGGCGATCGTGACTTCATGGAGGTACGCAAGACCTTCCAAAAGCTGCAGCGCGTAAACCATGATGACTTGTTCATCCTCAATGCGACCATGCTCGAGCAAGTTGGCCAGGGAGCCTCCTGAACAAAACTCCATAAAGATATAGACCCTGTCTCTGTGGACCTCAATACCAAAATAAGACACAACGTTGGGGTGGTCGACAGACTCCAACACACGCATCTCGTCCTTGATCTGCGTGGCAATCATGGGGATCAGCTTCGGATCCTGCAGCCTGATCTCCTTCACGGCCATCAGTTGTCCGGTGTCTAAGTTCATGGCCTTGTAAACATTGCCAAAGGTCCCACCACCGACAAAGTGGCCCTGCTGCCATCGCATCGTGAAGTTGGTGGCCGTAGACGAGAGGTATGCCAGGGAGCGATCGACCTCGTTGGAGGCCTCGAGGACGCGGCCCAGGGCAGACCGCTCCAGCATGATTTGCTTTCTCGCCTCGTCAATCTTGGAGAGCTCCTGCATCCTGTGGTCGAGCACAAATTGCGAGGCGGTCTGGTCATCGACGTTCTTGCCCTTGTCCAGCCTCCTGAATTGGCCAACGAGGGCTTCCAACCTCTGCTTCTCAGCCTGGGCTGCGACAGTCGACCGCGCACCCATGATGTCGAAGTGAGAGATGAGCAAGGACATGCACCCGGCGACCTTCTCTCGCAGTTTGGCATATTCATCATCTCCTAGTGCCAAGATGTGTCTGCCGCGGGTCATGCCCATTGCAAACTCCAGAGCCAGAACAGCCCATCGGAACGTCTTGCGGTCGGACGAGACGCAGTCGTCGCAGATGAAGCTGACCCAGTCTAGTGCGAGTTTCGTCAGCTTGATGTTGTTCATCTGTCGGCGGTTGCTGTCCATGAATAGCAGCGAGCGTTGACCAAATTCTGTAGCGAAGATGAAACACGTCTGGATGAGGTCTTGCACGTCCAGGTCCTTGGTCTGCGAGCGAATCGTCTCCACGCTGTCCATGAAGGTGTGCGACAGCTTGTATGCCACCCGCTTGATATCGCCCAGCTTCATGTTGACCTTCTTTAGATTGGACCGTTGCTCCACAACGAGGTCGAGATGCGCGTCAATGAGCTCTATAAACAGTCTCCTGGCGGCTGTAAGCCGAAGTTGCGACCCACCAGCAATCAGCCTCAGGTGGCCCGTCTTCAGATCCAGCGGCTCTTCCCGCACATTCATGGACACTTTGGGTCCATACCAATGCGGTGCGTTCTCGGCTCGGATGATGAGGATATAGGGATGGGTTGGATCCTCTGTGGCGTGCTCGTACGAAGCGGTCCCGATAATGGACTGAATTTCATCCGGGCGGTTATGCAGTGACGGCGAAGCTACCAGGATCACACCCTCGTGCTCAATACTTCCGGTATAGATCTGGAAGTGGCCGGATTCCACAAGTCGCGCGAACAGGTCGTGTAGCTGTTCGAGCCCAAAAGCGATGCTGAAATCGCATGCATTTTCGTAACACGCGCTCAACATCCTCGAGAAGCGCTGAAGCATTCTTTGGCGCACCCGTACAGAGTCCAAAATCTGTTTGTACCTTTTGCTCATTTCGGCGGCGCTCTCCTTTGGTTTTCTCTGCAGTTCCCTTTCAAATGTGTCACTCAGACGTCGGAAGGCTTTGAAAGTCAGGTTGCTGAACTGCTCCGCGACTTCAACGTCACCATGGTCCAAGTGACTCCCGATCTCGTTGATGAACTCCCATTCCTGAAAGAGGAGCTCTGCCTCCTTGAAGGTGTTCTTGTTGCCGCTCAGCTTCCAATTGAGCATCTTGAAGTAATACTTCAACGCCTCCAGTACAGCCTGGTCAAAGGCCTCATCGATGCAGGGGGGCAACTCCCAGCCGGGCTCTGGCTGCGAAATGCCCAGGTACTCAGCTTTGATGCCGATGGCGAGATTCAGCAGGACCTGGAACTGCGAGATCATCTGGTCCTGGAGCATTGGATTCTGTTGCGCAGACTCCTTCATCCTTTTCGCATAAGCCAGCCGGACTTTGATGATCTCCTCGATCAGCCGAGATGGGAAACTGATTAGGGTGAGAAGATCTTCAATGTACGGAGGTAGATGGCGCTTCTTGAATGCTTCGGCGTTGAGAATAAGTGTCTCTTTGGCCTTGAGTATCGTGTTGGTGATGGCTGTCAACATGCTTTGGCGCTTGCTTTTGTTGCCACCGACGTCCTCTTCCCAGTGCTCATGTAACGACTTGAGACCATCCTCCTTCAACAATTTATCGAGAAACGACGCCTCTTCACCGATCCCATTCGGCATGGAAGATCGCTCCCTGGTGCGCAGGAAGTCCAGCTCGTCATTTCCGACCCATCTCCTCAACACGAGCAGTTCGGTGTTGATCAGCTCGTTGATGTTGTACCAAGATACTATGGCCTCGCAGGCTTCGGAGAAGAGCTGTGACCTGGCCGAGGAGTGTGCTTGCAGCATCGCCTCTCTCGATGGGTACAAGCTCTCGAGCTTGTCGATCTTGGCAACCATATCGTTGACCTGCTCTGCGGGTGGTTTGCCGGCCTCGCTCTCGCCAGCGATACGGAAGTTGATGACCTCCTCGATGACCCGGTCCATAGTGCCCCGTGCATCTTCGACCATCCTGCGCTGCACTGGCAGATGCCTTCCACATATACGCGAGCGAATGCCCAGCCACAATTCTGCCTTTTGCGCATTCTTGCCCACCTCCTGTTCGGAGGCGCCGATCAGTCGTTTCTTCTCCTGCCGAAAGACATCGCCAGTGAGCACAGCAGCCAGCATTCCATGCCATTCTAGACGTTCCCGGCTGTCTGGATCCATGATGTCCTCCTCCGTCGGCTCGATGTCCTCCTCTTCGTCACCCTCAAACAGCCTCCTCGCGTCGTCATGATCTGGCTCGATGCTGGTCGGGGCTTCTGACCCGGGGGTCTCGCCCTCCGAGTCGCTATCGGCATCGCCAGCGGTAGTAAAGCTCATGGGATCGTACTCGGAAGGAAAAGAATAGTCTTGCTTCCGCGCATTGTTCAGCCGCTGCACGTAGGCCCTTTCCTGCCGCGCAAAGGTCGAGTTGGAGGGCACCGCGCGCGACCGTGATCCGGAGCGCGGGTCATTATAGCCCACAGGGGTGGGCTGAGGTCTTCGGATGGGGCGATAGGTGTTGGAGGGCTGCCTTGCCGGACCGGTGGGGCGTTGAGGTCTTGCAGCGGTGCCATTGCTGTGGATGGAGCCGGCATCTGAGGAGCCATGATGTCGACTGGCGATGACGGCGCTTATGCCATCTGAGAGCAGCGACGCCATGGAGCCAGCGTGGCTGGCAGCGTCTGCATAATGATTCAATGACCCCAGATCATCCTGTGGCTCGAAGTTGTCGAAGCCGTTGGGCTCGAGATTGGTGTCGCCTGAAGAGCCGGACTCGCCCGAATCGGCGGTAACGGCATGTGGTCGGAAAGCCTTGGCCGCCTTATCAGGGCGCGGCAGGTCGTCGTCGCCATTCGAGAAGCGCACCGCGTGTGGGGAGGTCTCAGCCGACATGATTGGGACGTCGACGTCTGTATGCACGTGCGTACAGGCTGCTCGTTTCACGGCGTCAGAGACTTCCAAGGACGAAGGTATCGGTGGTTGAATGCTTTGCCGCCAGATTCATCCAGTCTCTTCCCGCGCCGCGACCCCAAGGGCGCACGACCAGCAAACAAGAGGAGGGGCAGAATCAGCCCGGTCCTCTCTGAAGTGGCCCAACCTGGGAGTGAGGATGTTGGGAGGGAAAGAAGGCGACAGGACCCAGGAGAGAGGCCTCGGATCCGTCGCGTTCCCTTGGGTTAAAAAAAAAAAAAAAAAAAAAAAAAGGTAAAAACGAAAAAAAAGGTTGGTGCACAGGGGGGTAACCAATTTTCGGCAGACCTGGGCAGAGAGATATAAGCACTCAGAAGTAAGTGGTCTCGGTAGGATCATGCGGCGTTCTGGCCCGCGGGAGGTAGCATCTGGGTAACGGGTACTGCCGGTCCTGAGGCTTGTGAGTGTGGCGAGAGCTCGAAACCTTACTTGGAACCCAGTAGATGTGGGCAAAAGGTGGGACCGCCAGCGCGAGGGAGGGAAAAAAGGGCGAGGGCCGGTTGCAGCTTCGAGAGCGTCGCAAACGTCTGCCAGGCTGTAAATTCAGGTGCTAACCAAGCAGCAGCCTTCTTTCAATACTCTGTGCCCTGTGGCTTTTAAGAAAGAGTATGGTGGTAATCAAAATAAATTTCACGGACCAGACAACTGCACAGAGTGCAGGATTTGTGGCGGACCAATTAGTCCGTCAGGTGGCCAGGAGTTGACACAAAGAGGCCTCGATCGCGAGATCTCGATGGCTGTGGCTCGAATCGATCGATGCCCCCGGGCGGCTGATTGACCCTTTCAAAGGCCAGGTACAGGTCCTTAGCACCTCGTGCTATTGACTTTCCGCTGCGCCTGCGCTACTGGGTAATTGCCTGCTGTAGTAGGTACTTTATAGCATAATAGCAATACGTATGCTAGCAGCAGTACAGTGAATTCGGAAATTTGATCGCACTCTGGTTGGCGTCCTCTTTTGCCCCCTTCTCACCTTCGTTACATATCAATCGAGAGCAACACTCCCCGAGTTATCGCGAGTGCGAGGATTTCGCCAGCATCGTTAAGAGACAGTGAGGGGTGACAACCTAGTCATAAGGTCATACTTACACGACAGGAATCATGGCATGTCGATCATGACCACACACTGCTGGTTGGCTGGCATTGGGCGTCCAACACACTGTATATGTTGCAGCTACAGACTAAGACAGGGGGAGGGGGTCTCTTATGGTGGGCTCCGTACAGGGGGCTCGGGCCTGGAACGCAGCACCAGCCACGCTTGTCACACCTGAGCCACCAGCCCTGCATGCCCCTGTAGTGGTGGTGATCCTAGCATCCAGCATCCTGGCACTTCTGACCCTCCCGTCAAACCCCTGCCAACCCTGCCAACCCTGTCAACTCTATCAACCCTGACTGTGACTGACAGATGAACACTAGCAGTGTAACCGCGTCTCTGATGCACCGTTACGCGTTTTTGGCCGACTTACTGTAATCACCACCTACTGCTGCTCAGTGTCGTCAAGACCTGACTGCCCAATTCATAATCTTGTACACACTACCAACATAGATCTTCAACATCTCTTCATGTCTTCTCTACATGGCGGATAGCCGCCCCATTCCATCATGTCCATTCGAGGCTCGGACGCGTCGTCGCGTCCTCGTTCAAGATCATCCAATAAGCCCGCCGCCCATGTCCACGGCCAACGCTCCTCCGATCTGGACAGCTCCTGTCCCCCACTCATGGATGACAATGAGGCTCTTGCTTTTAAAATTCGTGAAGGAAAGCATGACTTTGTCTCTGTTTCCATGGAGCAGCTCCTCAGACCTCCCATCACCGTCAAAGTTAGCCAATCCCCCGTCACCAAAGACAAGCTGTCGTGTGGATCATCAGACTGTTTTATATTGACAGCTCAACAGCCTGAATTCTCTCTGGCCGGCATCTCACAAAACGCCGTGCTGTTGAAACCGCTCATGCTGTTGTCCCGCGAATGTCTTTCGTTGTCTAGCTTGGATCTGGTCAGACCAGCTGGCGAACTACCAAGTGGTGCAGGTCGCTTCTTCGAGTCCCACATCCGCATCCTGGAGCTCGAAGGACGACTGCGACAGGCCCCGAGCGTTCTGATAGCACGATCAGACACCACTGGCTATGTATATGCCGTGGAGCGTGCTCAGGCAGGCCGTTATGTCGTGTGCAAACTTGGGAGTTGGGTGCGCATCGAGAAGCTGAGCCTGCTGGCAGAGGCTTGTTATGAGCCCAGGTGCCATCCCGCTCGTGCTGCGCAGGCCGTGGATGCGGAGGCCCCGGCAATCACTCTCAACCAGCACAAGGACAACAAGAAGAAGAGACAGGCCATCGAGGAGCTACGGTCCATGGTCTCGAAACGCCCCAGGGCGATGTCGGTCGCACTATCGGAGTCCCAGGTAGTGCAGAGCCAGGCGCTCGGCTCGTCGCAGATCCCAGGCCAAGAGATACCCACACCTGCCCCTGGTTTGGCAAACGCTGGTCTAGATGCTGACTCCATCGTTGCGACGCCTCAAGGATCCCAACCAGGTCCCTTGGACTCTAACGTCGACACGCAAGCAACCCTGGAAGAGATACTGCAAACGATCAGATCGCAGTATGCTCAAGCCCTTTATCACTCCAAGGGGTCTTTGGCGTACTTTGCGAAAGGCCCCTTGTCCAAAGCCCGGTCAGCATTCCAGTTTGATTGTGAAACAAACCTGGACATGAACGATCTGGTCAACTTCTTGAAAGGCCTTGTGATAGGCATCCCGCAGATCGACAAGAAATACCGGGAAACGGTGCCAGCACTAATCGACGACATGAAGGTCCTGGTGGAGAGCAATGACGAAGAGGAGCCCAGGCCAAAACGCAGGAAGGCCAAGAAGATGAAGCTGGGAAAGGACGGCTTGTGGACCAACGAGGTCGACGATGTGAAGAAGTGGTGGAGGTCCAACAAGCCTGCAGTGCGAGATGAAGACTCGTCGATCGACCCTCGAGAGATAAAATACCACGTTTCCTTCCTGCGTACTCGCGAGACGCAGCTACAGATGATTCTACTCCTCGAGATATTGGCATTGGAAGCCGTACACCCAGCTCAGGATGCCCAGGACAGTTTGCTGCCTGGTATATCAGTGGAAGACCTGCCTAAAGAACAGCCAGTCGGAACTGCGCCGAAGAAAAAAGAAAAGCACGATTATTCTTTGCTGGTCAACCTACACGCGGATCGGATGAGCATCTGGCAGTCTACCACGCTCGATGAGATGAAAATGATTGCGGCAGAAGCGGAAGCAAAGCGTGGCCAGAGCTCTCGAGGGGCGGACAGGGCAGATTCTGACCCACTCAAGGACTTTTGTATAGATATCATTGTGCCATTGTAAGTTGATCTGGAGAAAGCTGGTACGGCACCACAAACTAACCATCTCAGCTTCGTTGGACGACTTCCCGACTTGTGTGCGGACCTCAACAAGAAGCTAGGAGGACCAGTCGCTGCATCTCCGCCCAGATCAAAGAGCACTGCGACCTCCGCCGTTACGAAGCCCAAACCGAAACCCGGCTCTGCTGCCAAACGGCCTACACCAGCTCCAGGTCCCAAGTCGCTCGAGAAGGTATTCGAAAGTGATCAACAGAAACGAAAAGCATCACGTCGACCAATCGACGTGCTGGCAAGAATGCGATCTGCCACACCTGCCGTCATTCCAGGCTTGAAGCGTGAAGCAAGCGAGCCACTGGGCTTGGATCGAGTTCCGTCTTACGATGGCTCCTTGAGGGAAAGGCCGCGTAATACCCTCTCGAGGAGCGCATCCAGCGCTGGTGCCGAGGAACTCAAGGCGCAGAAGAAGATCACACTGGAAGCAGAATTGCAGGAGGCTATCTCGGCGCTGAAGAAGCCTAACAGGCAGTTGGCCGGTAGATCTATTGTGGAAGAAGTAGAGAAACGTGTCGGGGCGTCGAGCTCGACTCACCCACGAAGTAAGTCCAGGGCGCATCTGGCCATCCTTTGATGCTTCTCGTACTAATCTGAGACGTGCAGAACAAAAGAAGCCTGTCCGCAATGCTGCAGCTGCTAGCAGGGTTCAAGTCAAAGCAACCCCGGCGAACTTCCGCTTCAGAGACGCTGTAGCAGGAGATGCTCGAGGTTTCGGTACTTTCAACGCGCCAATGCAGAGGACAGGATTCGACTTGATACCATCGTCCAGCTCCGTCATCCCTGGCACAGCACCTAGAAAAAGCTTTCGTGATGACCTGCGGGATGACCTCGCAACTTTTCACATAGCTAGCACGCCAGACAAAGTGTGTGCAACACCAGCCGCAGCCCGGATGGGTGCACCCCAGCTCGAACAATCAATTGCGAACGATACATGCATCCCACCATCCTCTCCGATCATGTCCAGAAAGAAAGCGACACCTGCTCAGAGCCATCTCTCCATCCCAGAGGAGCCCGATACTGGGCCCTCATCTCCAGTGCTGCCCCGGATCTTTGAAACTCCCGCAAAACAGCGGTCCACCCCCTTCCCGACTTCCATGGACGAGAACATCACATCAACACCTCCCAAGCCCCGGCCTAGTATGGACATCCTCTTCGTCACGCCGGCGAAGAGAGTTTCTACTTCTGTTCCTGCTGAGACGACAGAGGCGACACTGAACGACACGACTAAAGTCACCAATAACCATTCTGCTCCGACTTTATACGAGCAGATGGGCTGGAATAGTGACTACGATGACCTGTTTTAATCATGATATTCTCCGCTTCATTGCTCCTGCTTAGTTTACCGCACAGGAAGCGATTCGCCGACTCGGCTCGGCTCACCCCGTACGAAACCACGTTCCCGTCACGAGAGAATATATGCAGATGTGCCGATCTCAAGATCCCCTTCATCGAAATGCCACTCGCGCATTGCGAACTCGTTTGATATCGCAGAGCAGATATCACTGGCGGCAGTAGCGTTCTGCTTTACCATTCTCTCGCTTCAACTTGGAAGCGCAGAGTAGACAAGGACAAGTCTGATAAAACAGGACACGCATAGCATCTCAATTGCACACGGCGTTTTTGGTGGTGTTTTGCCCAGCTTGTCAATGGAGCATAAAAGAGCATTGTTTGAGGGATAGCATACATACGTAGATTACTTAGCATACACAGAGATACCCACCGCGTTGGCATTCAAGGCATGCTAACTTTGTTAGCAAGATATAGAGAAATAAGACTAAATAAAGAATAAGAAATCTTACGTATTCTTATACCGAGTTTCTCCGGGGAAGGAGACCGTAAGACGTGATGGCATTAATAAAGAAAATTGGTATTTCGCTCTCGTTGTTCGCTTCTCTACTATTACAATATGTCTTAATGGTTGGTTGCACATAACTCAAGTCATGTCAAGGTGCACCGCAGTAGCCCCCCCCTCCTGCTCGTAACACCTACCACCTCTACATACCATCAACTCCTCATTTCGCTGGATCTCGCTGCACAGATTTTGAGAAGCCTATTCATTCAGTCTATTCTCCTCTCCACAACCATAACCGGCAACTCCCTGATATCCACATGCTCCTGACTTCCCAGATCTACCACCCGAATACACTCAATTCCAACAATCCCTTCCTTGAGCGCCAGGAACCGCAACTCAACGACGTGGCACGCGTTCGGGGCTAGCGGGCCCACACGCACGTCTGCAGACAGGCATACCACATCTGTGGTGTCCACGAGACTGCTGTGTTGCATGGCGTGCACGATGTTCTCGTCTAAGACGGCGTCTGCTACTTCGAGAGACGTGGTGTCTGCGTCAGGGTCGGGGCCATGGCCATGGCCGTGGTGCGTGTTGCTGTGCACCACGGCAGCGACGGACTTGCGTCGTGCCCCGGCTGTGGAGGGCGGTCGCATGACGCGCATGTCGTTCCGTCGTCGCTTGGGGACTGCTACGAGGCCGAGTTTGCGAGGTGGTGATTGGATAGCAGCAGCGGGTCCGACGGGGGTTGTGGCACCCGAGGCGCGATTTACCACGAAGACGGTCCAGACAAACTCGTCGCCTGGATAAGTGGGCCCCGGCTGCGAAGTGAAAGTCATGGTGATGCCGAACTCTGGAATAACGTTGTCAATGGTGAGCGAGCGGTCGGTGGCGGCCTCGAGGCTTGGAATCGAGTCCGGACGTGCGACGGACGGTAGGACAAAGCTCGCACCATCGCCGATTGAGAGCTGCGTGGGGCGATGAGATCTTTGGAAGGGCTTGGTCACGCCTGTGCCGAAGCCGGGGTTCACGGGAAGGGTGAAGTCCAGCACCGTCGACCATGCCATGCGGATCTTTGGTTTGCAGGCCTCGGGCTCAACGAGTGCTGTGCACTCGATCGAAATGAAGAGGTCGCGGTTCGGGGTCTTGGAGGGAATGTCGCTTCCCTTGGGCGCAAGTCGGTACATCAGAGTGAGGTGGTCATGAGCAACACACTGAAGAGGAAGATCGAGGCCAGTGCTGTCGTTGAGGTCTTCCACCTGACCCTCTGGTATATTCAGCTCGATCTTGTCCACGGTGACGACACAGTCGAAATACGGCGTGAAGTCCATCTCTAGCAGCGCTATGATCGCCGGACTGGGCGGGAGAGCGTTTGGCCGCGAGAACCGTACCCGGGTGTGGACTGCGGGATAGATCTTCCTGCAGAGGTTCTGCAAGCCCCTGAGCATGGGAAAGGAGTCTTTGGTAATCTGCGTAGCTGGCGCTACTCGCGACACGCGTACGGCAGACAGTCGAGGCTTGACGCCTCCAAGCGAGGGATCTCGGGCAAAGGACTCGAGAAGATTCAGTCCAGCAGGCACGCCACTCTCGAGATACCCATTCTGCTGCTCTCCAAAATGCGCCGGATCAGGCTTCAGGCTTGCTGTCGCTGTGAACACGACCAGGGGTCCGAAAAGCCGCAGCCTCGGTCTCGTCAAGAAGATGGACGTCTTCCAAATTGTGTATTTGGTGAGCCCTGCCTCAGCGACGTCGCCTCCGCCGTCAACTGTACCAATCGGGCTCTGCACGCCCTCGACCTCTCCATTGTAAATCACCTCGGAAGGAGGCGCCGTATCGACTCTGTCCGACGAAGGGGTGTTGAGTACTTGCGCCTGGACTGACAGCAGGAGTCTTTTCGAATAATGTTGCAACGTCTCGTCGGTCAGGCCATGCGTCTTGAGAATTAGGAAAATGTCGACGGTTTCATCTGGCATCTATGAATGAGTATTGTGAGACGCGAGAACTTCAGGGGCCGAGCAGCGTGCCAGGAGGGTTTCCATACCGAAGAGGAACCAAGGCCTGGACGCTATATCCGCCAGAGGCTGACTGGTAGCAATGGCCTTCTCTACCTCCTCCTTCATATCGACATTGGTTCGATAGGGTATCAAGTAGGTCAGATATGATTGTGCCAAAAAGGCAGAATCCCCAGCCCCTACGGCAGTGTCTTGGATTTGGGAGGGGACTGCCATTTTGCAGTTTCTCTCCAGGTGCGACGGTTCTAGACCATGATCATGTTTCTGCCCGTCGCAAGAGATATCTGGCCAGCCTCCGGGCGTTACGGAGGTCCTGGTGTGTTAACAATCAGCGGTATATAGAACGAGTTCAGTGTTGTTGCAGGAGGGAAGCAGTAGAGGACGACGTAGTATATCGCATCGAGTCGCTGCTAGGCCAGGGATCAAGGAGCTCCTGGTGGGGCTGTTCAAGGGGGGTATGTACCCTGGAAGTACCATAGCAGAATTGGAAGGTATGAAAGTACTCAAGTACAAGCGATGGCGTTCCTGGCCCGTGCACGCGCTCCCTGTTCCCACTCTCAATGTTTGCAGCCAACCTCAGTTTTTGTCTTTTTCCTTCGCCTGTCGCCTAAGAGATCAACCAACCTCTACAGTAAGCCCCGTAGACTGTTCAGTGCTGGTCTTGGTGCTGATATCTCCCCCCTCTTTTTTACTTTCCGGATCGCAGGTTTATTAATACAGCACATTTATCTGTATTCTGTTGTCGTGTTTCTGGTCCACTCGAACCAAACAGTTCAAGGCGCAACGATGAATGGCATGCATGCGCCGTTTCCCAGCCCTGGAGCTGCGGCCTGGCAGGAACATCGCACTCCCGACAATCGCGTGTATTACTACAATAATATCACCAAGCAGACGCAATGGACGAAGCCCGAGGAGATGATGTCCCCGGCCGAGGTGAGCCTTCGAAACCAAGAGATCCCCACAGGGCAGACACACTCTAACACCTAACGCAGCGCGCTCTCGCGAATCAGCCGTGGAAAGAGTATACCGCAGAGGGTGGTAGGAAGTACTGGTATAATACCGAGACCAAGACGAGTTCATGGGAAATGCCGGATGTCTATAAGCGGGCTCTGGGGGCGACCGATACACCGACAACTCCTGCCACCCCGGCAGGCCCCTTCCCTACACCTACACCTGGAGGCTCTGGCGGTCAGGGCTTCGACCGATTCCGCGACCAACGCGAGCCGATCGGCGAATCACGGCAGTTGGGTTTTGGAAACGACCTACGAGCCCAGCAGTTTGTGCCCGCAAGCGAGGAGCCTGAGTTCGCCACGCCTGAGGAGGCCGAGGCTGCTTTCGTCAAGCTTCTCCGTCGCAGTGGTGTGCAGCCTGACTGGACTTGGGAGCAGACGCTTCGCGCTATCCTGAAAGACCCTCAGTATAGGGCGATTAAGGATCCCCGGGAACGGAAAATTGCCTTCGAGAGGTACTGCAGCGACGTGATCGCCCAGGATAAAGAGAAGGCCAAAGAAAGACTGACCAAGCTCCGTGCTGATTTTGCCACGATGCTGAGAAGCCATCCCGAGATCAAGTACTACACAAGATGGAAGACAGCCCGACCCATGATCGAAGGCGAGACCATCTTCCGCTCGACAAACGACGAGGGAGAGCGTCGCCAGCTCTTTGAGGACTACATCGTTGACCTCAAGAAGGCGCACCGAGAACAGAAGGCATCCCTGCGCAAGAGTGCTATGGATGGTCTGATTGATCTGCTGCCGAAACTCAACTTGGAGCCGTACACCCGCTGGTCTGAGGCTCAGGACATCATCTCCAGTACAGAGCCGTTCCAAAATGACGAGAAGTACAAGTCCTTGAGCAAATTTGATATCCTGACTGTCTTTCAAAACCACATGAAGGCTGTGGAGCGCACGTTCAACGACACGCGACAAGCCCAAAAGGCGCGAAAGCAGAGGAAAGAGCGTCAAAACCGTGATGGCTTCAGGAGCCTCCTCCGAGAACTCCAAAAGGATAACAAGATCAAGGCCGGCACGAAATGGAGTCAGATCTTCCCCTTAATCGAGAACGACCCACGCTACGAGGCCATGATCGGCCAGAATGGGTCGACTCCACAGGAATTGTTCTGGGACCTGGTAGAGGAAGAGGAGCGCGGCCTGCGAGGGACGCGCAACGACGTTGCGGATGTGGTTCATGTGAGTGCCCCAGAGATGCCCACATGTAGTCCAGACTCTGACATGGATGCAGGACAAACGGTTCGAGATCACTCCCAAGACCGACTTCCAGGATTTCCTTGCAGTGATGAAGGAAGATCGCCGTACTGCTAACATTGATCGGGATATATTGAAGTTCATCTTTGAGAAAGTGAGTCTGGCCTTGTCCTCTCATACTTATTGCTAGCACTGACACCACGTCTGCAGCTCCAGGAGAAGAAGACGAAGCCGGAAGAGGACCGACCGGCTGATCGCCAGCACCAGCGTCGGCCGGTCGACGATTTGAAGGCATTCCTGAAACGTCTGGACCCCCCCATCACTGTGAAAGACACTTACGAAAAGGTCAAAGCCCGCCTTGAAAAGGCCCCCGAGTTTCAGGCAGTGTCCTCGGAAGACGTGCGTCGTAGCACCTTTGACAGGCACATGCGCCGGCTCCGGGAGAAAGAAGAAGATTTGGAAAAGGAAAGAGACCGACAGCGACGGCGCGAGCGGTCGCGCGATCGACATCGAGACAAGGACAGAGAGCGTGAGAGAGACCGAGGTGAGCGATCTCACCGCAGGGGACATACCAGATCCCGCAGCCCAGAACCCGATCTCTATGAGGCCGATCGCCGCAAGGCCATTGCCGAACGTGAACGGAACTACCGCAAGTCTAGCATGGCCGAGACATTACTGTCAGATCACAGGTCGTCAGGCGGGCATGATGATCGTGAGTACCGAGAGAGAGAAAGGGAGCGTGACCGGGACCGGGACCGGGACCGTTACAGAGACCGCGATCGCGAGCGAGAGCGTGACCGAGATCGTGAACGTGAACGGGATCGGGATCGTGAGCGGGAGCGGGATCGGGATCGGGAACGAGATCGTGATTACGACCGCCCGCCACGCTCTCGCCGAGATGAGCCCTTGAGTCATTACGAACGCGAGCGGCGTGACCGTGAGGAAGAGCGTGAGCGGTCTTACCGTCGCCGCGTCGTCGAACGCGACGTTGACGGCCTGAATTATGGCGACGAGAAGCCGAGCCTACCGAGAAGGCGTCGTGCGGATGACGAAGACGAACGTCGTCCGGACTCAAGAGACTCGAAGGTATGCCATTTGCCGATCCTTGTTCGTTTGCGCATTAGCACTAACATCATACACAGAGATTGAAGACTGAAAATTCACCTCGTGAGCGTACCCCCCGTCGTGATGGCCGTCTCAGAACTAGATCTCCCCAGCCTCCTCCCCAGCCTCCCCAACCGCTACCCAAGGAAGACCTTGCAGGTGTCCATTCTGGCAGCGAGGAGGGAGAAATCGAGGAGGACTAAAGGCTCTTTCTCGCATCTGGCTGGGACGTAGGCAGAGCCAAGAAGAGGTTAAACAGCCTCTACTCCAGCACTGAGCGGGTTGAGATGGTGTACGCCAGCCGGTCTTCACGTGCTCAGACTCAAAAGGTTTTCTGCAGCAATAATCTGGAGCGCCCCCGGTTCATAACGCAAACTGTCCCCATTTACACAACTCGAGGCGCATACGCTGTTGGGCTGCCGGTGACAGGATCGCATACGAATTGAGGAGGACTATACAACAGCAGGGGACAGAATCATGGAAGGGCGCGGCACTTTCTTTCGTTAAGGGATGACTTGACCAACCCATGGTCGAGGCATGGCACGGGCTGCGGAAAGGCATGCCTTGAGGCACTCGTGTCGCCATAAGTACGTACGGCAATCGTCTCCGACTTACTGTCGTAGTGGGCAAGATGACACACACCGGACCAAACAGGCAACCTGACAGCCTCGTCACACCCATTTACGACATTCTGGGCACTGAACGTCCCTTCTCCGGCATTTTTTCTCTTTTTCTTATTTCTTACCCTTCTTAAGGAGGGGCCGCACGTCCGCAAGTCCAAATGACCCCAAGACTTCGAAAACGGCTATACGTTCGAGTGTCACCGTTCAATGGGCGAGCAAGCATTCGATCTTGACCGAGGAAGATAGAAATTTGGCGTCTGAGCGACTGATTGCCTGGTTGTGTACGTGTACCTACCTATCCTACCGACTCTCACCCGACTTTAGCACTCGAAAGGAAATGTCAATGGGCGGTAGCAATCACCTTTACCGCAAGCCTTTCTTCCCATTATTTTCATTTCGCCACGGCTGCAATGTATTCGATGCGCCGTATCAGTACACCCTAGCTAGCTTTTGAGGAATCCATGTAGAAAGAATGATAAATTATTATTTTTTTTCAAGATTTGCATGGACAACTTTTCAAATTCGAGCACGTGCAATTTGTCTGGTGCCTATGTTTTCACTTTCATGTGCTCCCCGCCCCCGCTTTCTACCTACTGCGCAAAGATGTGTTCGCAAAGCATATCCTCCGATATGCCCCAAGACGGCGGTCACCCTCTTGACCCATTGCCCCTCAATCTACAAAGACAGATGCGATTCTCGATCCTACATTTGAAAGGGCAGTAACGACTTTCAGCAATTGAGAAGGATGAGAAATAACAAAATGTTCAGATAAGGATAAAAGCCCCAGATCCATCATGTCTCGTAGGACCAGGCAACAGGGGATAGACCGCCGTCGCCGTTGTCAGATGTCGGGATCGTCGTCCTCGCTCGAGCCGCTCTCCTCGAGACCCAATTCACCAGAAGAGCCACGCCTGCCTCGGGCAGCACCTTTCTTTTGGACACCTAGAACGCCTTGGCCCGATGATGCATTGTAGCGGTTATGGTGGTGATGTGGTTGGGGCAAGGTGTCCTCCTTGTCACCCTGGTTGTGATTATGGAAGAACACTGCTTCAAGCAGTGACCTTGTCATTGTCCTCAAGGAAGAAGTAGTTGCCAGTGAGCTTCTGCTCCTGGTCGAGCTGGGAGCCTCCCTTGTTGATACGCGGACGGTAGTTGACGGGGTCACGGCGGAAAGTCACGTCGAGATTCTTGAGGAAGGTGTTGCAACCGGTGAGCAGAGACTCGGGCTTGTTGGCATGGGCGTCAACACCCGGCTGGCCGTCGAAGACAATGACACGGTCAGCCAAGTACGTGGCCATGATAAAGTCGTGCTCGACGATGAAAGCTGTCTTCTTGGCGTGCATAATGAAGCGCTTGATGACGCGAGCGGCAATGATACGCTGCTCGGAGTCCAGGTAGGCGGATGGTTCGTCGATAACATAAATGTCGGCAGGGAGACCTAAGGCCAGGACGATGGCGACACGCTGCAATTCACCACCAGACAAGTGCTTGACCTCCTGATCAATGAAATCGTCAAGCTTGAGCGGCTTTACGACATCGGTCTGGAACTGGGGAGACAAGACTGCATAGAAGCGGTTAGCGAAAACTTCCAGACAAATTTAGTGCAGTGAGATGTCACTCACAAGAGGCCCTGATCTTTTTGAAGAACAGCTGGCGAACAGTTCCCTCAAACTTGGGCGTGATGGTTTGCGGCTTCATGCTGATCTTCATTTCTGGTACCTTCGCGGTTCCATCGGGCTTCAAAGCGCCGGCGAGAAGGCGACAGAACGTGGTCTTTCCGGTACCATTTTCACCCATCATGACGAGGATCCTATTGTGACAACGTTAGTCTATGGTGGGCCAGAAAGCTCTTGCGCTTGTATAGACATACTCTGAATCAGTGAAGCTGCCGGAATCGATCTCGAGGTGGAAGTCGCCCAAGGTCTTCTCCATGCGCGGATAAGTGAAGGCACGTGTTTGGTCATTGTCGAACTGATCAGAGGCTTCGGCAATCCGGAAGGTGAGGGACTCATCGCGGAACCGCAGGTTCTCCGTCGGAATGTGTCCATCGAGGAAGATGTTGATACCCTCGCGAACACTGTGGGGGAGAGACACAACACCATACACTGCTGGCTGACCATAGAGGACACAGACGTAGTCTGAAAGGTAATCTAAGACGCTGAGATCGTGCTCGACAACTGTAAAGTCGATTAGTTTGTGACATATAAGGCGCTAGAGGTCATCGCAAGATGACAAGGAGGCATCACATACCGATAATATAGTTGTCGTGTTTGGATAGCGACCTGATCATCCTGGCCGCGGCCAGACGCTGCTTGACATCGAGATACGAGGAAGGCTCGTCAAACATGTACACATCTTTGTTTTGGACCTATGTAAGGGATTAGCCTTGGTTCTCTCTTCGCTAGCATAATCGAGGGCAGAAACCTACGCAGGTCAGTCCGATGGCGAACCGCTGAAGCTCGCCACCAGACAGCTTGGTGACATCACGTTCGTAGATGTGTCGCAGCTCTAGGACGTCGAGGACTTCATCCAGATTGTCAAGCTGCCTCTGCTTGTTGATGAGAGCATTGACACTCTTCTCGGTGCCCTTGATGGCCCGAGGCAGCTGGTCGACGTACTGGGGCTTCACAACAGATGTGAGATCGTCCTCCAGTAGCTTGGTGAAGTAATTCTGCAGCTCCGAGCCTCTGAAGTATTTTATGACATCTTCCCAATCCGGCGGGTTGTCGTATCTTCCCAGGTTGGGCTTCAGTTTCCCGCTGAGGATCTTAAGCGCAGTACTCTTTCCGATACCGTTTGTTCCGACGAGACCAAGCACATTTCCGGGCCTCGGCATTGGCCTATAACCCCATTAGTTCCGAGTATAGAGTACACTTGATGCCTTATTGTCGACTCACAGTCTGTGGAGCTTGAAGCTGTTGGCGGAGTAACGGTGGGTGACCTGGGTCTCGAGGTTCGTGGGCAGGTTGATGATGGTGATGGCGCCGAAGGGACACTTCTTGGGACAGATACCGCATCCTATGCAGAGGGACTCGGAAAGGAAAGCAAGCCGAGAGTCAGGAGTAACCTCGATGCCTGGGTCGTAAAGGTCAGCAGGCGAAAGAGAGAGGGTGGGACGAGAAGAGAGGATCGGTCGTCGGGGACTTACAAAGCTTGCCGCTGCGCACAACAGGACACGACTTCTTGCATTCTTGACGGCATTTCTGAGGAAACTCAACATCAGTACACCTGACTTGACTGTTTCTGAGGTGCAGGGTTCACGAGATGGATTGACTCACCTTCGGCTTGCACTGTTGTGCCCGGAACGTATCATCATGGTCAGTCCATCATCCTCTTAATATTGTGTATGGCGGGGTAGCGGGGCGGGGTGCGGCATGCCTTGTCGCTATTCACAATAGCGATACTGCGAAACGTTTGTCAGCAGATTGTCCAGGAAGACTCTGGAACCAAAGAAGTATCTGTTCCATACCGCGTGAGTTTGTCGGCCATGATGACAGCGACTCTGAGGGCGGTGTGGATGTGGTTGCAGAGGTGTTGGACAGGATTGAATGTCTTGGTGGGTTCAGAAAATCCTCAAGACGACTTTGAGATCGGCCGTCGCAGGCACTGCCCACCCTATTATGGTTTGGTAATGAATGAAAAGCGATAGGCCAGTTTCGACCAAGGGTTGGAAGGCGTTAGAACAAAGACGGCCACGTAGGAAGTACTGTCAGTGGACGACGGTGTTACGGTTGGGACCTTTTTTTTTCTCTCTCTTTTTGGTCAGACAGTGCTGGGCGGCGATGGAATTTGTGGCCCTTTTACCATGCGCGGGACTAACTAGCCTGCCCGTGCAGCGCGGGGCAGGTCAATAATCAGACGGCCATTGATAGGTGGACATCAGTGGGCAGGGGTGCTTACTACAACCTGCGCTTCCGTCGTACGCTAGCGCCGCCCGTTTCAAGGCCGCCTAGTCTTAGATGATGCAAGGTCTCCTCAAGGTTGGTCAATCATTCAGCCTTACAACCTACAGTGCCAATCTTCAAGATATCATGCAGCACATACCGTGTGTGTTAATATAAGCTGTGTAACAAGAGGATGTAGCTAGAACTAGCAGGCACAATGTAGTTCCACGGGTGTGCCCTCACTGGCCAGCCTAAATGGGCACAAAGGGAGTTGCTTCTCTCTTTCTGAGTGCAAACTGTACCAATGCTGAGGCCAGATGCCATCCATGCATGGTCCCAAAAAGGGAAGAGCAGGGGACCGACGACTGCCACAGAGCTGTGTACTATAGTATATTGTAAATACAATCAAGTCATCCATGCTTCACCCGATTTAGATATACCAGGTGCAGCAGCCCTTGGCTCTCCTTACCCTCATCGCTGTCATAATTGTTGTAGTTAGTACATACAACATTTCTTTGGGCATCATTAAACCCCTCTGTAGGCTGCCTATAAGGTTGTTTAGACCACGCTACTTTGTGACTCTTCAGTTTCTACAGTTGAAGTCTTGAATTTAGTTCTCTTGGTACGGCAGGGCAACCCTCTGTCAGGGTCCGGCTCTGCACTTTTTCTTCCTTTCTGTGGTGCGGGTTGCACTTTAAACTCCGCCAGTCGCCCACCCCTACAAACTCTAGGATAACACTCAAAGGACCATATATTATATTATACATCATTTAGTAGATACTCTATGCTGTTAACTCAGCTCTTTGAGGTGCCGCAGCGGCCTCTCGATCTGTGTGAGTCCGAGATGACCGTTTTCATAATTTTAGCCCATCTGTGGTCATCAAGGCAGGCAGCTGAGATACACTCTCAGCTGCCCCGCCTGGAAGATCCAGCGCAACACTGGCACTTCAGGACCTATTTTATCAGAGCGTCAATTTCAAGGTGGTGTGCAACATGAAACACACACCGAACTTATGATTGTGTGCTCTGTTATTCTTGCCTATATGGTTGAACATGCCACAGCTTGTCCACCTCTTCTTCTTCATACATCTCTTTGCTCCTTTGCCTAACAAATACCTCTGGCCTTCAAAAGCCCGCATGCATAGCCCTTGCCAGCTGCATCAAGTCAGACCATTCAGTATACAGAACAAGGCAAGCAGGCAAGCCAATCTTGAAAGGCTTCTTGCAAAGTGTTATGAGCCAGTAGGAGTATGCAAGCAAAAGTTGTTCCCTGTAAAGCTAAAGATGCTCATTTTCTTTTTGTGACTTCCATGGTTGAGCAGTTTGCAAACAGCCCATTATCAAGCCTCTGCTATTGTGTCTCCTTCTGAGCCATCTCAACAGTCAGTCATAGAAAGATTAAGAATAAAAGAAAAGAGCAACAATGACTAGCCCTGGTGACAATAGCTAAGAAGGTTAGCAAGGTCAAAAGCTGACTGGTTTGCATGTTAGGTAGGCTGACCTGCAGCTAGGAACACACTTAAGGAACAGTAACTTGATGTCAGCCCCATCGAGGTCCCAAAAGTAGTGGTGGAATAGCCCCAGCTAGTCACACCTATGCCAGGCCACTAACAGATTCACAGCGTGACTCCACAGCAAGCTCGTTAGCCCCCCTAGCAAGTACTTCAGCTCAGACCACCTGGACCCCAACTCCCTGCGACCTTGCCCACTGTCCCTCTACTGGATTTGCCCACCACTGCACTTGTCACTCTTTGAAATTTACCGACTTCTGCCTTCCTTTCCCTCATCCACCCGCACGCAAGTAACGTCCAGACACCAATACCGCTCCCCAACCCACATCACCACCAACCATTCCCCCCTCTACCGACCAAAGGAATCTTGTTCAATCCTCTATTTTCTTGCTGCCTGGGGTCTGTCAGTTTTATGAATGACTTGTAAGTCCCTCCATCTACCCTTCTATCGCTGGTGGGAGCTGCCGCGTCTGCCTATCCTCCGCCTCGCGTCTTGCCATCAAGTCCCCATCACATATGGACACACGCCCCCCTGATATTCAACGATATTTCTCGGGGATCTGCCCTCGGAACACCTGTGATTGATGGGCCTGCGCCTCATTGATGATGCCGATGCGTCTGCGACCTCAGCAGAGCCGTCTGGTCACAGGTCCGACCCCAATTGACTTCCATCGCCCATCAGCCTCGTCACCATCAGTGACAGCCGGAGGATGCGACAAGCACGGTATCTAGCTGATTTCCAGCTGTTCCAAGGCGGTCTGCTTCTTCTCGGGGTCGCCTATGGCACCTGCAACGTGTCCTCTGGCTGGGTCTCAATTCATCAAGGGAAACATCACTGACATCGCCGTCTCACAGCAGCCAGCCTCGCCAGCCTCGGTGACCATGTCTTCCTCACCGGAATCCAGTCCGGTTAATGGACATATCTCGCCGGTCGCAAACCACGTTTCTGTACAACTTCTCGACCCCGAGCCCAGCGACAGCGATCTGTCCGACGCCCCAGCTCCCGATCTTGGCTCTCCCGCCTCTGCCTCGCGCGATGAGCTTGACCAAGCCGCCACAGACGGCCGCGCCGATGATTTCGATGACCCTTCGAGTTCCAGTGACGAAGATGCTCCTAACGACGGCGACTTCGATGACACACTAGAGGCCGCCTCCCCTGTCAGCAACGGGGACCAGATCGAGGCGGCCTCTTCAGACGACTCGCGGACGGCCTCGAAACGGAAAGCAGGCGCCGGCTTGGAGGAGGAGTACATGAGAGAGAATCCCGAGCTCTATGGCCTGAGAAGAAGCGTATGTAGCTGGGACCTCACGCTTAGAGATACGCCGCTAATCAGTCACCACAGTCTCGTCCACAACAGCGTCGCAAGATCGTAGGCTGCCCTTGCCACCAAATGTGCCGTCCTCGACGAGACTTGCTGACCACTTGTAATCCAGGTCGAAGATGATGACGAGTCCGAATCCGACTCTATTGTCGCCAGCCGACGAGTCGTCAAGAAGCGACGGACGGAGCGATCTCTGCCATGTAAGCTTTCATTCCTTATCACCCTTAGGCCTGAGCTTCACTAATGAGGTGCCTTCCAGCCTCCAAGCGCGCTACCCCTCTTCGCCAGACACCAATCGATGACTCTGACAGCGACACATATGGCGGTGCTCGAGCCAAGAGTTTCCAGAAGAGGGCTCGTCGGCAAGCCGAAGCCCAGCCAGCCGTGGCGCTGGCAGAGAAGCGCTGGAACAGCCGCAGGGCTGCTCGCGTCTCGGCTGGGGCATACCAGGAGAGTGACGCCGAACTCGATGACGACTCCGACCTCACCCCGAATTACTGGGCCACGGCCGAGGATACCTCGCCCTATATCGAGAAAATAATCCGACATAAGCTGAAGCCTGATTGCGAGATGACCCGAGAGACGACTCGACATGACTTCGAGTACTTGGTCAAGTGGCAAGGCCAGTCTCATATGCACAACTCATGGGAGTCCACAGAGTCTGTTGCTGGCTGCCGAGGAATTCGCCGGCTGGAGAACTACTACAAGAAGGTCGTTGAGTTCGAGATCAGCCTGCATTTCGAAAGCGACGACATCACACCCGAACAGAGAGAGGAGTATCTTCTTGACCGCGAGCGACAGCAAGAAGCGGTCGAGGATTACACCAAGGTGGAGCGTGTCGTGGCTGTCCGGGATGGCGACGACGGTGACGAGTATCTGATCAAGTGGAAAGGCTTGCAGTACGACGAGTGCACTTGGGAAACGGCCAGTGCTGTCAGCAAACATGATCAGGACAAGATCGACCTTTTCCTGGACCGCTCGTCACGCTCCTGGCAGTCAGACCGGACCGAGTCCAACATCGACACCCGCACTCCAATGCGCAAGATTGATCACCAGCCATCGTACATTCAGAATGGTGAGCTTCGAGAATTCCAGATGAAGGGCTTGAACTTCCTCGCCCTCAACTGGACTCGTGCAAACAACGTCATTCTAGCAGACGAAATGGGTCTGGGTAAGACTGTTCAAAGTGTGTCTTTTCTCAGCTGGCTGCGCAATGACCGCGACCAGGAAGGCCCGTTCCTGGTGGTCGCACCCCTCAGTGTCATTCCGGCTTGGTGTGATACCTTCAATCACTGGGCTCCAGACCTGAACTACGTCGTCTATCTTGGTCCTGAGGCCGCGCGATCCACCATTCGCGAGCACGAACTGCTTGTCAATAATAATCCCAAGAAGCCCAAGTTCAATGTTCTCGTCACCTCCTACGACTACATCCTCCTCGACGCAGATTTCTTGAGAACTATCAAGTGGCAGGTTCTGGCCGTGGATGAGGCCCATCGGCTCAAGAATCGCGAGTCTCAGCTTTACGGGAAGCTTGTCAGCTTCAACGTACCCTGCAAGGTTCTCATAACCGGCACACCTATCCAAAATAACCTAGCCGAGCTGTCAGCCCTGCTCGACTTTCTCAACCCCGGCAAGGTCCGCATCGATGAAGAGCTAGAGCACCTGGGCCAATCGGACAAGAACGAAGTAGTGGATGAGGAGAAGGACCAAGAACAGCGAAAAGCAACGCAAGAGAAACTCGCCCAACTACACACTGCCATAGCACCCTTTATCATCCGTCGGACCAAGGAGACAGTCGAGTCTGACCTGCCACCCAAGACTGAGAAGATCATTCGCGTGGAGTTGTCCGACGTACAGTTGGAATACTACAAGAACATCCTCACCCGCAACTACGCGGCCTTGAAAGATGCCAATGGCCAAAAGCAGTCCCTTCTCAACATTATGATGGAGCTGAAGAAGATCAGCAATCACCCATACATGTTCCATGGCGTTGAAGAGAGAGTGCTGAATGGCAGCACGCGTCGTGAGGACGGCATCAAAGGTCTGATCACGAGCAGTGGCAAGATGATGCTTCTTGATCAGCTTCTCACCAAGCTCAGGAAGGATGGTCACCGCGTGCTGATCTTCAGCCAGATGGTCAAGATGCTTGACATCCTCGGAGACTACCTTCGCATACGCGGCTATCAGTTCCAAAGACTCGATGGCACTATACCCGCTGGCCCCCGGCGCATGGCGATCAACCACTTCAATGCCGAGGGAAGCGACGATTTCTGCTTTCTGTTGTCAACTCGTGCGGGTGGCCTGGGAATCAATCTTATGACTGCTGACACTGTCATCATCTACGATTCAGACTGGAACCCGCAAGCTGATCTCCAGGCCATGGCGCGGGCCCACCGTATCGGTCAGAAGAAACCTGTCAGCGTCTACCGACTCGTCGCCAAACAGACCATCGAGGAGGAGGTTGTCAAGAGAGCTCGCAACAAGCTATTTCTAGAGTACCTGACGATCCAAGCCGGAGTCACGGACGAGGGCAAAGCTCTTCGAGAACAGTTCAAAGACCGAGGGCTCAAGGTGGACGAGGCAAAGACGGCCGAGGACATCCAAATGATTCTCAAGATGCGGTCCCAGAACTTGTTCGAGCAATCGGGCAACCAGGAAAAGCTAGAGCAGCTTGACATCGATGCTATCCTGGAGCAAGCCGAGGAGACTAAGACTGCCGTTGACGATAAGCTCAATCTGAGCACGGGCGGCATTGACTGGGACAACTGGATGCAGGTGACTGATGTCAAAGTCGACGAGACGGCTCTTGACTGGGACCAGATCATTCCTGCCGACCAGCTTGCCGTTGTGAAAGCCGAGGAGGAGAAGAAGCAGCATGATGCATTCCTCGCCAAAGCTAGAGAAGAAAATGCTCCCCGGAAGGTCACCTTGAAGAATGTCAAGAAGACTACCGATAATGATAGGGCTGACCGCCTGGCAAAGAAGCGCGAGAGGGAGAGACAAGAGCTTGCCGAACTCGAAGAACAGCGGGCCCTTCTGTCTGATCCACGACGACCTCTCAACGAGAAGGAAACGCGCAACCTTATCCGTGCCTTCTTCCGTTATGGGTCAATGGATGACCGCGCAGAAGAGGTGATTCACGAGGCTCGCCTGTCGGACCGCGACCCTGCATTCCTCCAGGGTATTGTCGACAGACTTGTGGCTGATTGCCAGGCTGCTGTCGATATCAGCAATGAAAAGGTTCGTGAAGAAGAGGAGCGAACTGGCAAGCAACTTGCAAAGAAGGACAAGAAGGCTGTGCTCGTCGACTTTGGGGAGGTCAGAAAGGTCAATGCGGAGACGGTCTTGGAGAGACCACCGCAGATGAGGCTTCTGCGCCAGATCCTGCAAGGACAAGCGAACCCCCTTACCTTCCGACTGCCAGAGGCAGCCAAAGCCGCACACTACACCTGCGAATGGGGAGCTCGCGAGGACGGCATGCTGCTTATCGGCATAGACAAGTACGGCTTCGGCGCCTGGACTCAGATCAGAGACGACAAGGAATTGAACATGGCAGACAAGTTCTTCTTGGAGGAGCACCGGGTGGACAAGAAGGAGGAGCGCAAGAATGCTACGGAAAAGAACATTCAGTCTCCCGGTGCCGTCCATCTAGTTCGTCGCTCAGAGTATCTTCTGTCTGTCTTGATGGCCAAGCACTCGGACGATGCTACCTACAAGAAGGCTGTGGAGAATCATCATCGCAGCAAGAAGAATCTTGTCAACGGCCACCGTCGCAGCGATGCCAATTCGGCTTCTGCTTCTCCCGCACCCGGCTATACGAAGAAGTCAGCACAGAACAGGGAGCGTAACCGGGAGCGCATGGGGGCGCACCTTAGCGACACGTACCGGTCTCGAAGCCTGGCAGATGATCGCGGAACACCTCGCCCCGAGCACAAGAGAAAGCACCTGGACGACCACCAAGATCGGCACAATAAGCACCGACGCACCGAGCACGGTCACGGCGAGGCGAGACATAAGGACGACAAGGCTCGTGCGAAGCTCGGTCCCGATGCTCTCGAACGCCTCAAGAAGGCTCGTGAGGACTCTGTGCGGCGCTTCAACCGTCTGATGGAACTCGACGATGAGAAACTAGACTCGACTAATAACGAGCACCTTATCTGGTCGCTGCTGAAGCCCGTGCGAGGCAACTTCCAACGTATCATGCACACAACGGCCGAACACATGCCTTCGGCCAAGGAACGTGCCAGAACGATGGGCTCTGAGCTGCGACAGATTGGCAATCACCTGATTGGCCTTCGAGACGCCGGACTTCCCCGTGAGCAGCTGGAAGGGCTGATGCCACAATTCTGGTAAGAGACCTGTCTCACTCCTAGCTCCCAAAGCAATTACTAATCCTACTTCAGGGATTTCCTGGCCACGGTATGGCCCATTGGTGAAGTTGAAGTCACGGGCAAGAGGCTTTCCAGGATGTACCGTGATCTCCGAGAGAAGGACAAAAAGGTAGACGACGAGAAGGTGCAAGCCAAGAGACGAGAAGATCTCGAAGACGGAGAAATCGATGTCGAAGACGAGAGACGTCGTCGGGAGCGAAGAGAGGCTCGACGAGAGCCAAGCGAAGACACGCGCCGTGACTACCGGCGTGATGATAGGCATCGCGCCTACGAGAATGGTGACCGCCTGAGCTTCCGCAGGGACCGCGATCGTGGCCAGTCATTGGTTGATCGGCCGAGACCGTCGTGGAGCCCCAACACCCAACAGCACCGACACAGCCCTTACTAAGTGCTCAAGCCGTGAAGTCAACGTGCTTCATGAGCCTCGCTCCGCTGAGAGCGGACAACACTGTCGGCCGTTTCCACCTTTTTTGCGGCAATTTCCGCCGCGCCTCAACTTCAATGGTAGCAACGTTCTGGTGAGATTTCTTCACCTCAGTCTCACATATCGCCCGGCGACTACATGGCAGAGTCCTGGACGAAGAACGGGCAGCATTATTCCGGCGTACTAGAAACATGAATTGGCGTTACTTGGTTGTGGTCAACAAACCACATGACCCCCCGGGGTTACATAAATCAGATAAACTGGTCCTGATGTTGTTTAACTGCCCGGGGGGGGGGGGGGGGTTTCTTGCTCCAACAAAACAAAAAAAAGATACAGCATTTCTGTGTAGGAGCGAGTGCGTCCTCAGCGAAAAGGAGAAGGTTTAGGTTTAGTCGTTATCACAGTTCGCAGATACTCTTGGAGGTTCTACTGTTCACATCGAATGTTGAGCTGGCTACGAGGCAATGGGTGTCGGTGGGTCGTGGTCTGGAGTCCAAGTTTGTGGGAGGCAATGGTCTTTGGTGCACTGGGATGGTGTTCAGTTGGGCGACGTGACCTCATATGCGACGATGTCACATACTTGTATCAGTCATCCTGAGATTACGAGTGAAATGGGCAGGCATTGAAGAGCCCGCTAACTGAGTCTTATCCTGTGGCCTGGGGAAGGGGATTTTAGCTATTGATTTATGTAGCTTGCCCAGGCCCAGAGCTATTGCACGATGGCTCAATCAGAAATGGAAAAAAGTATAATTCCAAGGTTGAGGCTGGATGATGGTAATTATTTCCGTATGCCTGTCCAATGGCTGACTGACCACCATTCCAAATTCTGCTCGTCCATGCCCAACATGAAAGCGTGACCACGCACCCTGACTTCTTGATCTCCTCACAGTCGGCCGTCTATAGACGGGCACTCGTCCGTCGATTGGGTTTTTTGGTGGGTGGGGGGGGGGGGCGGGGTTTATAAAATAATAAAAAAGGAGCCAGTAGAGGACACACAGCTTCATCATCCTTTCCCAGCTGGCCTTTTGGAGAAAGACATGTTACGACATGTCGAGAGACCGCTGGCCAGCTTAGTTGCGCGCAGCAACCTCTATGGGTAAGGTCTGTGTCGAACCACAGATTGGAAAAGGTTCACGATGCTATCAGGGACAAAAAATGGCTTGAAAAGTATTTCAATTACTGTGAACACCGCGACATCAACCCTTCCGCCCTTGGTGTATCTTTTCGTACCACAAAGAACTGATGAGGATGTTCACAAATCGTAATGTTTAAGCCATGAGGCCGGCCAAAAAAATTCGCCCCCCCCCCTTTCTCAAACGTAATCATGATCCACATCTTCTTGACGTCTTCCTCCCATCACTCTTGTTCTCATGACCTGAACCCCTCTGGAAACGCCTCGCTGGCACGTGAAATTCTCAGGGGTATATCCATCTATCAAGACCACTCAGCCATGAATGCAATAAACATGCGGAAGGAAAGCAAAGCAAATGGTAGCGCCTCTCGGTTCTAAGGAAAGCGTAGGTACGGTGTCACGCAGGTGTCACACAAGTCGGGTTGGTTGAGATGGTTTGAGGTGTGGTAGAGTTCGAGCAAAAATCTCTGGTTTCGGGTGATAGTTGACTGAAGGCATTGTAGCTTTCGCCTTCTGTGCCGTTCTAGGTCGAGCAAATTTGTTGTTTTGATGCCTGTTTGCTTTCAGGCCTGGGTGGAAAGAATGGGTAGCATCAGACGCCAATGGCTACCGAAGGGAGGAACAAGGCGCAGAAAACCACCGCGAGGCTTCTATAGTCCACCATTGGATCCTTTGCTCCGGGGAGCTAGTTGCCTCCGTTGGTCGTGGGAGCACCGAGCTGGACCGACACGGCATGAAGGCTCGGGTCGCTGGATGAAGCATCGGCTCGCTGGTAAATGAAGTTGTCCACGGCCTTGCTATCAGGTCGCAGCGATGGTAGAAATCCGTCCCGGCTGTCTGCCTCTTGAGACATCTGGTTGATGGACTCATACTCGTTCTTGACCATCTGTAGCGGCTCCTTGATCGTCTTTTCTGCGTTGGATGCCCCCTTTGATGCCCTGAACACATTGGTGATTTCATTCTTGGGCTTTGTCTCCCTTCGGGGCTGCTTAGACTTCTTCTTCGTCGTCTTCGGTGCGCTGACCCCCTTGGCACCGGCAGCTGTACCAAAGGTGAGTGTGCTCTGCTTGGTCTTGCCCTTCGGTAGCGTTTTACGAGGTAGAGGCGAGCCCTGGCGAGGGCTGGCGCTCGGGGTAGGTAAGGATTTGTCGACGACCTTGTCCACGAGCTTCGACTTGAGGTCAAGAATGTCGATGGACTTGTTGTCTGCATCGCCCAAGGCAAGGGAGGAGCGCTTCTTGCTGTCGAGGACCACATCGATCTTGTCGCGGCTCAGCCTTTGCTCACACTGCTCCTCCTTCTCCACCGAGCCGGAGACCATGTACTCCTCTGTATCGGCGCCAACATCATCACAATCCCAGTGGGGTAGATCCAACAAGCCGGCGATATCATCCGACTTTCCGCGGATGACCAGGTCCCATAAGTCCTTCACATCGGGATTCTGAGGCTCGGGGTCCAGGTTGATCCAAGCGGTGAAACCATCTCGGGTCGAGCGCGTCGCCCGGCACAACACCTGGACGATTCGTCGCACGCCTGGGATCTTAAGGCTCGTGCCGACCACAATGACGGCGTCAGGCACTTTCTTGAGATCGGCCTCGGACACACTTCCAATCGCATCTCCATCGGGATTGAACTCGTTGTAAAGGACCATCCGCGGCCTCAGCCGTCCGACGCCGTGGCTCCGCTTCCCGGCGAATTTCGTGCGCACGTCATCCTGCTCCTTGCACAGTCCACACAGGGGGGGCTCTGGGCCCTGAAAGAGATTCCCGTCGAATTTAGCGACATGGTTGCACTTGGTGCACTGCATCTTCTCCAGTCCGCCGTGAACCTGAATCGTGACCGGCCAGGGCTTCTTTGGGGGCAGCGGTATGCTGGTCGCCAGGGGTTCGAGGGAGGTGTCTAGACAGTCGACATTCTGCGTATACAGGCGCAGCAGGCGGCCCTCGTGTGCGATAGTCGCCAACATGTGGTGGAAGGCGGTGGGCTTGGCCTCCTTGGTAAGGCGTGACAAGTCACGAACCATCTTATGGAATTCTGCCGTTGATTTGTCGTCCTTGTAGACTGAGGCGTCGAAGAGGGCCTTGCCACCGCCCTTGATCTTGTGCTTGTCCTTGAGCGTCCTGAAGAGGCCCTCGCTGGATCGAAAGTCGGGGACTAGGTCATTAAAACGTCAGCCACCGTGCTGCTGTCAAGGACATGTCCCGCGTGGTACGAGCAGAAGGTGGGCTCCAAGTATAGACTTACTTCCAGCCGAGACAGAGATGCCAGCTCCGGCAATGACGACAATCTTCTTCTTGGTGCGTAGGACATGCAGCAGACGGTCCAGATGTGCCTCGCCGGCCTCGTCGCGGTTTTCAAGATCCAGGTACTCGGTGGTCCGAGGCTTGCGCTGGGCAATTCTGCGCCTCTTGGCGGGGGGCTGGCCGTCGGTGCGAACCTGGATCTCGCCGACCTCGACCTCGACGGCGTCCGGCAGCTTGAGGGGGGAGGCGCAACCGGAGGGGACAGCAGATGAGGAGGGTGAGGGGTACCGGCTCGATGCGTCCATGGCGGATGTGTTGGCCGAGCTGGTCTGCGGCGGTAATGAGGGCGATCGTGAGAGGGCCGACAGAGGAGAAGAAGGCGAGAGCATAGAGGGAGTAGAGGAGAGGTCGGAGAGAGGCGACGAGGGGGTCGGCGAGGTGATCTTGCCGGCGGGCGTATCCATTGTTGAGGCCCACCTGGGAGAAGAGGGAGGGAGGAAGACAAAAGGTGAGTTGGGCTTGTCGCGAAAGAACGCGTAGAGGTGCCTCGAAACGGGCGATGGGTGAGAGGTAAGGGAGGGAAAGTCCAGGACCAGGTTTGCAATCAAAGACAGGCGCGAAGGGAGGGAGGGAAGTAAGTTTTAGTCTGAAATGAGGGAAAGGAGAGGGAAGAGAGGGCGTGTGTGTCGCGCGTCAGCAGGGATTGGCGCCTGACTGTGTTCTTCTTTCTTTAGGCCATTGTGCCGGCTTTTCTGGGGTTTTTTGCCTTTTTATTATTATGTTGCTGTCTGTATCCTGCTTGCGACTGCAGGACTTTGAAGTCTATTGGCACAATAAATCGTGGTGGCGTGTGTGGCTGGTGGCAAGAAGAGGAGGAGAAGGGGGAAGCAGGAGGAGGATCTGAAGACTTGAGACCTTTTTCCAGGATGGGCTGCAGGGCAGGGAACTAACCCGATGAATGATGAGAGGTGAAAGTAAAGCTTGCACCTGCAGGCTGGGGCCGGCGGGTACCTATCTCTGCACGCTCCCCAAGGGCCTGTTCGATGTTGCTTGCTTTTGTACTAGGGCCATTCAAGAATTGTTTTGGCCCACAATCATCAAGTGCAAAGACACCGACTGGACTATGAATGAACTGCATTACCATGTATGTATACTGTGAGGGTAAACACAGGGGAGCGGAAGAAGAAGAAGAAGAAGCAGTCCAATGTGCAGGTTGAAGCAGCAAAGCTGTCGTGTTCTCACAAAGCTGCTTTCGTTTTGGATAGTCGGCCTAGGTTTTGACATTGTCGCAAAGATGTTCAAACAGACGAAACTCTACATGAGGTTGTTACAAATATAATTGTTGGATTCTCGGCATAAGATCAAACCGCAACAAATTATCATAAGCTGGTGACTTGTTTTGCTGTGCTAATAATGTTCATTTCTCTCTTTCGAAAGTGAATGGCCAAGAGAGAGAACATTTTGGGCTGCATTACTGTGTGTGCCCAGCCTTGCTGCAGATTATTCATCGGAGAGTTGGTTCCACTGCAGTATGCAGGTGATCAAGCCTGAACTCCAACAAACAGCCTGCCCCTTCGGAACAGAGTATGAAGAACATCTAAATCTTGGCTAGCTTGAGAGTACAGTGTCCTATACACCTCACCTACAATTGTATATCTGTACTCTCTACTCTCCTATGTGCAGTGATCAGAACAAAAAGAACAAACAGAGTCCTTTAGCACCCAAAAGTCTTGTCTGCCAGGACTTCTTCGGCTTGGCTCCATTTTTTGGAGGGTTACATGATGATAGCGTCACTGGGTGGTACCCTGTGGCCCCATAGCAGACTCCGCATGAACATGGGGGAGGGTTCGCTGTTGCTAGGAAACGCATGTGCGCTGTGGAGCAAAATCCTGCAAGGAAGCCAGGCACTCCAGGGTAAGCCAGATCTGTCTCGCAGGGCTGGGCCTTGGCTGATGGCCTTAGCTCCCTTGACCCTAAAACCACTATAGTATTTGGTACTGTAGTCCGTAAGTACTTTACTCTACGCTTAGGTCAGCACTCAATACCGAGCTTCTCGGAAACATGCGGCTTCATTAAGTAAGTACCTAAGACCCAATGTGGTTCCTCCTCCTTTCCATCCTGCTTTCCACGAGGACGATCGATGCCACAGTCCAAACTTCCTCTAATCATGCTCACGTCGACTTACCACCCTTCCTCAGATGCACCCGCACGGGAAATCCGTCCTTGATGTGGCCCGTGATATCGCCCACGCCCATCACCGGATACGCCTTCTCGCCAAAAGCCTCAGGTGCATCCGCTGCGTACGCTGGTTCGAGGTCGAGATCCCTCAGTGTCATGGCCAGGATGGCCCGCAGCTCGAGCTGTGCCAGCTCCTGCCCGATGCAGTTGCGCGGGCCCAGCTCGAACGGCCGCCACGCGTTCTTGCGCGGGTGCAGCGGGTTGCCCTCCCCCACCAGCCACCGCTCCGGGAGGAACTCGTCTGCCCGCGCCCAGTAGTCTGAGTGCTGATGCGTTGCGGTGCTGGCGCTCAGCATGAGGAAGCCGTCCGTCGGGTACACTTTGCCCGTGTCCGGGTTCGTCAGAGTTATGTTGGGGTCGCCTGTGCGCGCGGTGGCCGCCGGAGGGTACAGGCGCAGGATCTCCTTGACGACGGCCTGCGTGTATGGCATGGAGTTGAGGAGGTTCGGATTCTCGCTTAGACGCGAGAAGGCCTGGGATGGGTCGAAACCCAGGACCTCGTCGTGCTCGGCGCGGATCTTCTCCAGCGCGGCTGGGTCGCTGTAGAGCCGGCTGTACGCGAAGGAAAGGGTAGATGCTGTGGTGTCGTGGCCGGCAAAGATGAAGATCTTGAGCTGCGCCACGGCAACGTCGAGGAAGCCAGGGTCGACCCCCTTCGGTTTCCCTGCGGCAAAGGACTGCTCTTGGACCTCAGTCCTGTAGGCCTTGATCGCAAGGTCGTTGATGGTCTTGACCCGCGAGACCTCACCTTGGTCGAACTTGGCAATACCATCCTCGATCAGCGGAACAAGGAAATTTCTCATCTTGCGGTTATTGTTCCAGGTTATGAGGGGCCGCAGCGGGAAATGCTCCTTGAGCAAATTGGCCACGCTGAAATCACAAGTGAGCCACCAGACCTGAAAAGCGATGGTACAAGTCAGCCACAGCCTCGGTCAGAGTATTCCTGTGCTAGTTTCGTACCTGATCCTGGAGTATCTTCACGAACTCGTTGGGCTTGGTCTGACTGTGCAGCCTCATGCCCCTGGATAGATTGTCAGCGGAGCGCCCCCCCCCCCCCCAACCTTGGCTCAATTTGCTGGAGAAACTTACAAGGCAGCGCGGCAGATGACGTCGACGGTCGCTTTTTGAACTGTCTTCTCCATGTTGACAATCTCTCCTGTCTGGCTGGCCTGAATGAATATCTCCTTGAGCACCTGGATCTCTTCGAGGAAGGCAGGTAGGAGCGCGGTCAAATTCTTGGCCGAGAATCCCTACAAGGCTCGAATCAGTCTATTTAATTGAGGATATGTGTGAAAAACCCGCGGGGATGTACTTCAACGCCGACATGGTACGTACTGGATTGAACACGCTCCGCCACGTCTTCCACTCACGACCCTCCATGGTCACCAGATCGCGCATACCCGTCAGGGGCCCCAGCTCTCGGGCAACCAATGGTGATTTGAGGAAACTCGTCTCTTGCGTGAACTGTGCAATCATGTCTGGGTGGTAGACACTGAGCATCATCTCACCAAAGGGCCAGAGGTCCAAATAGAGGACGCCCCCGGCGCAGGCCTCAGGATATGCCTTGATCAGGACATGACACATTCCAAGCTTGGTGCTTCATTTGAGTGTCAGCAGCAGTCGTCGTGGAACTCCAAGACGTCCAAACTACCTACTAGTCACTCGGGTAAGGGGCAAGTGCCTTGCCTACGTGGACCAAATGGCCAAGTAGAAAGGAGTGGGGGAGCGTTGGCTGTTGTTCTCATCAGCTTGGGCTCGACCATTCATCCCCGAAGCGGACAACCAGCAGGAGCACGTACAATGTCATACAGCTTCATTATCTTCCGAAACCGTGTCCTCGCTTGATAGAGGCGCACGAAAAACATGACCAAGCCCGCGAGTGCTACGACCCCGACGGACCAGCCCAGCAGCGCGGCACTAGGCTCAAACAGATCATTCCACAGGATAGCCATGTCGTTTGTTGTGCGTCAAAGATGCAAGGGACTCAGCACGCGAAGGTAAGCAAACGCCTGGGTTGGTTATCAGGTTGGTTGGGCATACGGTTAGTTCTTATATGTGAAAGTTCTGCCTAGTACAGCTTGTTAGTGAATCCTTCGGGTCCACATAGTATCTCGGACTCGAGCAACGACAAGTTGTCGGATCCTGACAAAGGTAGCAAGGGCCCTGGCGTCTCGTGTAAGGGTTCGCCTACCTGTCACACCTGTATTTATCTGTTGGGTTGTGGAGTCTCTCCCCTGGGGCCAGGTGGCCATGAGATGTGCTCAGAGATACCACATGCGGAGAACATGATGAATAGATCATAAATGGAGGGAGGGGCCGGAGATAAGAAGGGAAGAATTGAGAAATATGCCATTTACTTTTGTCGTCGCGTTCAATCTCCGCGATCATAGCAAGAGAACCCGGCTCATTCCCGATGGAAGCACTGACGGCTGCAGCGCTTGAATACATGTGCCAGAAAGAGCCCACAAGACGTTTGCCAATTGGGGTCTCTCTGAGTGGATGCAAAGGCTTGGGCAACAATAGCCCAGTGCTTCGGTAGCCCTCAGGATCCTAGCGGGCTGAGGCTGAGGCTAATCTACAAGTGTCGAGGTCGAGGTCGAGGTCGATGATTGATTGTACGGTCTGCAGGGAGATGGCCTGTTGTAAGGGCCCCACCTTTTCTGCTTAGTCAGACCTGCCAAGACGTGTTTCTGCTCTCTGCCTCCTTCTCAAGGGCCCGTCACTCAGTCACCGCGGGCTGTGAGGATGCCATTGGTGACAGCCTCTTGAGGCACGTTTCTTTTACGGATATCGCTTACTTTATAAATCAATTCAACCCCCTTCAGACAACTTTTTTTTTTTTTTTTTTTTGGTATGAACTGGGTTTGGATATTGCTACACAAAAGACCTGGCTCTTTTGAATACAGTAATTCGCTAGGGCGAGAACGGTCTAATTCTTTCTAGTAAGAGCCACGAGCGCGGCCCTGACAAGAGAGGTGCAGGCGATGGCCTAGAACCTCAGCCCTGTGTCCCCGCCCCCCAAGACCCCATCACAACATTCGCTTTCACACTTGGCTGGTCCGCAGATGGCCTCGTCAAAGATGCCTATGATGCTGGAGGAACACATGGATTCTTTAGGAGGTGGTATTCCAACCATGGACGACGACCTGTTTGGAGATGAGGTCTTGCCCATCCCACCTCGACCTCCTAGCAAGCAGCTACAGCAACGTTTGGACGAGATGCGAAGTCGTGGGTGCTGCAGGTAAAAACCAAAAAGTGCCCTGCATGGTCCTCCTCTTTGAGACTGCACAGGTGAGAGCTGACTCGAGAGGACCTCAGGACCATCGCGTACTCCAAACACGGCATCATCGCGTCCATCTCGCCAGATGGCACACATGTCAACCTCCAGTGCCCTCATGCCAGGCCTGATGATGGCCAATGGGAGCTGAACGAACCCATCCAGTGTTCCATCCTTCCCGCTCCTCTCCCTGGAGGGCCTATCGTCCATCTGGCTTGGGCCCCAACAATGGCGCCCGAGCTGGCCGTCATAGATGCCTTTGGCCGCATCTGTCTGCTCGGCTTCCCTGTCCACCTTAACAAGGCGGCCTTCAGCAGGAAGTGGGACGCAGATGCCCAGGATGACCTCCACTCTGTTGTTGGCTGCTACTGGCTCCCTCTTCATTTGCCCCGAGGGGTAAGTGCCGTCCCTCGCAGTTTTAAAAAGTACAGAGTAGAGTATCTGATGTAGTGCAGGTCAACATCATATGCGGACCGGTCGTAAAGGACGACGCAAACGCAAAATATCAGTTCAACAATACCTATAACCAGACCATTGGGCCATGGCATCCCAACCCGCAAAAGAGTGCGTTGGTCTGCGTGACCGCCAGCGGCCTGCTCAAGCTGTTCTTCTCTCAGAACAACAACCAGCTCCAGGAGATACATTTAGAGATGGAGAGCGTAGCCTCGTCCGACGACCTGATTACGCACGCTAGCATCTGCTCTGAACGAGGTATGTCTCTTGCACAAGGAAAGAGTTTGGGGTGTGATCTAGAAAGCTGACACAGAATGAATGCTAGGCAAACTCCTGATCGTGCTCGCTACCGCTGCCAAACAGCTCAAGGTGATCCTCGCTGAGATCAGCTGGGGGATGCCGCAACCACAACAAGATAAGCAGATCCCTCCCGGAAGCCTCCCTCTCCGGCCCTCGCTCAAGATTGAGCACGTACATACGACAAGCTGGCTCCAGCAGGGCTCGGCCGATTCCCATCTGGATACATCCATGGACCAGATTTCACACCTGGAAGTACTGCCCCCAGTCTTGGACATCAGGACCAAGGTCATGACACCTGCTATGATACTGGCTGTTAGGCTGCACCTGCCCACTGCGCGCTCGCATTACAACCTTGAACATCAGAGCATCATAGACCGCTGGACTGTCGCATTAGACCAGCCTCAGCAATTGCACCCGGCGTTTGAGCAGCGCGGCTCCAGGGCGGGAGCGTCTTCATCCCCAGGCACTATCGCAATGCTTAACAAGGGCGAGTCGATCGTCATCAACAAGATCATCGTCTCCATCGAGACGAGCCTATACGGCAGGGTTATATGCATTGGATTCAGCGACGGTACCGTTCAGTACCGAGACCGCATTACGATGGCCGAAATCTATCAAGAAGAAAATGACCGACAGATCACAATCATGCAGCAGGCCGGCCTTCATTTTACGGACGAGAAGCCCAGCTTGCATACGAGTTTCTCGTCGAACAACTGTTCATACGCTCAAATATGCGAGAACGGCAAGGTTCGCTGGAGCAGTCTTCAGTATCCAGCGGCAGAGATCAGCGCAACCAAGGCCGATCCTCAGCACGATGCTGTGTTCGCCAGCTTCGTGATGGCCTTTGCCAACTCTGTGCACCAGAACAGCAATTGTGATGACATACTTGCCATTGCGAGACCATTTGCTGAGAAACAACCCCGATTCATCATCGGTCTGCTCAAGGCAGTTGTCAACACCTTAGGCGTCAACATCGATTATTCGGAGGGCAATCCTCAGGACCAACTCCCTAGGAACGGGTATCTCCACTTCATAATGAGTGTGCTCAACCATTTTGGCTTTCAAGGAGACTTTCGACCGAGATCTTTCAGTGGCAGGTTCATCGGGCTGGGCCTGAGCCTTCGAAACATCATTATCCTCATCACGATGGCGACCAACGCGCCTAACGAGCGCATGAGGGAGAAAATTAACCCTCTTGATGACCCCGGTAAGTTTTTGCAGCATCTGTCTGTCCACTTCGTCTCCTTGATTTCCTCCTCCCATTACCCCCCCCCCCTCCTCTCTTTCCTACCGAGTAAAGAAACTAACTACATTACTCAGAGGTCGTTGTTGTTCTTTCGAGCAACATGAAGTGGGTCATCGACCTGATGTCGTGGATCACAGATGGCCTTCTGAGCCTACGAGACGATCCGAAGTTCATGGAGCTCCTCGATAATCCTCAAAGGTTTTCTGAAATGACCGAGTATCTCAAGGCCAAGAACAATGTATCTCTACATCTCTTGCTCTGCTCTTCCACGAGGTGGTTGCTGGCCACGGTCGTTCGGCGATTTCCTTACCTCCAGTCTATATCCCAAAAGGCCATGCAGGTGTTGGATCCTCGGCAACCCGCAGGCTCAACAGAGTCTCCCGGCACAGGCGTCCAGTCTCTGTACCAAGCCTACGCAAGGCTCCAGCACTCCATATCCACGGATCTCATCAAGATCGAAGAATTTGAGAAGCTTCTCGCCAGCGTGTCCGCCGATGTCCGACAGATGTACCAGGGCACGCTGGCCCACCTCCAACAGAAACAGCAACAGCAGCAGGGTCAGCAGAAGCCCGGTCAGCCGAACCCCGCCGAGCACGCTCTTAAGAAGGCACAGGCGCAGTGCGAGCTGCCGATCTTGTTGGCAGACCAGCCGCCAGCCAGCTTCCAGGGCCTTGTGAAGAAACTGTTCGAGACAGACCTCAAGACCATCATGGGCTCGACGAACCGCTCCGAGCTCTTCTTCACGGACTTTCCGCTGCTGGATGTCGAGGATAACGTTCACAGGCTAGCCAGGCGGAAGACTGACGGAAGATACGTGGACATTTTCAGGAGGATAGAGCAAAAGGCACCTCAACTGGTCAACGACGCCGCCGCCGCCAACAATGGTGGTAGTCCCGCTGTCTCCAAGCTACTCCAGCAGCCGGGACAAGAGGTGCAGCAGAACGGAGAGACGTCTCGCGCCGACCAGCCAGGCTTCCGCAGGTGCACACGGTGCTGCAGCGTCATGGAGGAGCTGCATGCGACCCGGCCGGGCTTCAACTTCGTCGTGAGCCTGCAAAGGAAGTGCGTTTGTGGTGGAAGCTGGGCTGCCTTGTCCTGAGTGCTTCAGTACTGCTTACTGTACGACACTACAGGTCGAGAAGAAGATGGAAAAAAAGCGAAAAAGAAAGATGACCACGTCAGAGCGAGATGTATCGTGGTTGCGCCCCTAGCATGGTAGACACCATGTTCAAGGCGAGGCGGGATGCCTCTGTCATTCGAGATCGAGATGTTTCCTGGATAACATCGCTTTGTCCTAATTCAAAAGCTATTTCATGTGTGTCCCAAGGCACGACCCAGCTGGATCTTATACATCCAACCTCCCGGTTTCGACTTCATTCCCTCAGATGGTTTTGCGATGCAGTGAAGGCACCAAGAGCACTCGGCGTAGGCCGCAAAAGATGGTTAATCAGGTAGTGATCCGTCAGACCCATAGATTTGTGATGATATGTATGTGCAGATGAATATACATGGCCAGCACCACAGGCCCAACAAAGCAGTGTAAATCCTTTCATCTTTATCCTTGCGCTGGAGCCTGCTTCTTGGGATCCCACACCATAGGCCACAAGAATGTCTTCTCCTCTTCCCCTTCCACCTGCGCAGTGACCATCCCCAGCTCCTCGAATCCAAAGCGCGGGTACACGGCCCTCGCCATGGGTGCCGCCTGCAGCACGGCCACCACCCCGTCGCGCACGGCACGGTCCATCCCCCACCGGACGAGCCCCCGCGCAACCCCGCGGCGCGTGAAGGACGGATGTGTGCCCAGCGCCTGGAGGTAGATCTGGTCTATCCCATACACGGGGTCGAGGTACCTGGCGTGTCCCTCGTCGGCAGCACGCGCATGCGAGGCAGAGCGCGCTGCGTTGGCATCACGCCGTGTCTCGGCGCCGGCGGCATTGAGGATTGCGGCAACTTGGAAAATGTGAGAGGGTGTCATAATATCATCCAAGACGTGCCATAGTAGAAGGAGGGGAAAGGGGAAGGAGGAAGAAAAGGAAAAGAAAAGAAAAGACAAAAAAGGAAAGAAAGAAAGGGGCCTTCAACTTACTATTGGGCGATTGATACTCTTTTCCATGTTTCCTCAAGTTCACGTATGCCACGTTCCACGCCGCATATCCGCCAGCCTGCCACGCGCCAGCCGCCTCTTCGTACACCTCCGCGATGAGAACAGTGCAGTCCTCGTTGTCGGGCGAGATCCACGCCTGCACGAGGATGCGGAAGAACTTCCTGTGGTCGTCAGGGTGCTCGAGGCGGCCATGGAAGCGGTAGTCCCACCAGTCTTTGTCCTCGGGCATGGCGGCGATCAGGACGTCTGTGACGGTGTCTACATCGTCGAGACTAGCCTCCCGAATGCGAATTTCTCCTGTACGTGCCATGAATTTTTTTTTTTGGGGGGGGGGGGTGCCCTCCCTCTTCTTTTGTCCTCTCTCTCTCTCTCTCTCTTCTTCTGGGGGAGTAATTGATGTTTTGTTCACTGTTGTGGGTGAGAGGACAACACCTGCAAATTCATATGAGCAATTGTGTGAGAAACCCGATCTCAGGCTTGGAAGGACAAATCGTCCATAGGTCGGCACAAGCTCCCTTAAATACTGTTGAATCAGACATACTGAATATTGTAAATCGTCGTCGTATTAGTAAGACATGAGAGAGGGTTGAAGTTGAAGGAAGGGGAAACCGGCTCCACAGAGGACGGCACAGCATCCACTGCGGCGTGAGTCAACACTTCCTCGGCCCAAAGCGAGCGAATCTTGCCTAGCCTTGTTTTGTTGTTCTAGTTGCATTCGAGATCATCGCGAATATGGCAAGAGCGTTGGTGAAAGTAAGTGTTGAGCAGAGGGAACCAAGCCTTTTTGGGAGGCGCAGAGGGTAAACTGAGTCTTGCTGTTGTGAGAATGAAAGTATACAGTACATCCCCATCATTTCCTCACAAGACTTTTTGTTTTCTCCTCTTCTCCCCTCTCTCCATGTAAAATCCACCACAAAACTCAAGAAAATCACAACAGTACAACCTCAGCATCCCAAAAAGAAGAAGGCCCGTCAGCGCGAGGGAGCGTCCTCGTCGGCTGGCCAGCCTAATTGCGGCATGGTCAAGGATGGTTGGGCCGATAGGCCCACTTTCCAGCAGTCATACGGGTTGGACATGTCGCCCGGCATCGAGGAGGGAGGCTCACACGATTCTAGTTGGGTTCCGCCGAATCGATGGCAGCAGCAGCAGCAGCAGCAGGATTGAAAGGGGCAGAACTAGTAAGTGATCAGTCGGAGGCTGCACAGTACACGGAACATGGATGTTCAGGCAATATTCAGGAAGGGCCTTTGCGAAGATAGCGGCATGATTGGAACTGGTATTTTCATGAGGAGCCATTTTATCGATTAGACCTTGTGCATTTCGGCCTAACCCAGTCTCCCCCTTCTCATCAACGGTCTGAATGTCCCCTCCAGCACCAAAAGTAAATCGCTGTGCCTTTGTCGAGCAGCTCAATAGTGGCTCGACCCATCCCCAGAAAAAAAAAATTGCCCCGTCTACCCAGCATTCTAAGCTGCTCCCTGCCTCTTAAGCCAGTCCTCATGTAACTTTTTCTGTCTCTGCCAGTCTTTCTGCAGCTTCTTCTGCTTGCTCTTGGTCACCTCCTCGCCCTTGGCATCTTTGGTTGGTATGCCGTTCTCATCCCAAGCCGAGAACTCGGCCGTCCTGAACATCTCCGTGTGGCTGACCTTGGCTTTTTCATCTGCTTGCCGCTTCTTCTCGACCTCCTCCGCCTCCCTCTTGGCCTTGGCCGCCGCCTTCTCAGCAGCAGCACGCTCGCGCTCCAGCCGAGCTTCCTTGACTGTCTTGTCCACAGGTCGGACCAGCGCAGGCTGTCTGTCACGATCCTCCAGATAGATGTCGAGTTCCCAGAGGTGGGTATCGCGAAGTTGATCGCAGAGGGCAAGAAGGTCCTTGGCGGGCGCTTTCTCGCTTGCAAGCTTCTTGACGTCCGTCTGGAACTGCGTGAAGACCTGCTCGTATTTCTCCCCGGCACCGTGGGCCACTGATCCGGTCGGCTTCGCCTTGTCCGCTATCTGGATCAGCTGTGAATGGTCCAGGGCGCCGGAACGAGATTTCTCGCGGACCTCGTCACGCAGCTGGGAGACGGGATAGATGAAAGGTTGCGCCTCGGATGGTATGTCAACGCCGGACCAAGCCACCCGGGAGAGGTCGTTCACATCGCCCTTGGCATCCAGTCCCAGGATTGTTAATATTTTCGTCACCCACCGCGCGATCGTCAGGGTGGCATCGTCAGGCACGTCCGCCATGACATTATATTTGGTCACGAGATCGGAGATCGCCCTCATTGCCGCAGGTGTGTTGAAGGAGTCGCGGAAGGCCGTGTCGACCTCCTCGGCGGCCTTCTTGTGCACGTCCAGGATCTGTTGTCTGGCCACCTCAGCCTTGGCCTTAGCCTCTTGAATCTTCTCTTCGGTATCGGCACCAGCGGCGTTATAAGTGGCTTCCGATCCTCTCTCCGCTGCAACTCTTGCAGCGTCCGAGGCCTTGTAGAAGAAGTTGTTGATCTTGTCCTCAAACGAGGTCGTCGCCCGAATGATCTCGTCAGTGACCTCAATACCGCTCTCCCATGCGCCGAGCAAGAAAGCAATGCGAAGGCTGCGGTAAGTCCACTCTTCGCGCTCGAGGGCTTTTCTAATCGTCGTGAAATTCTTCAAGGACTTGCTCATTTTTGCACCTGCGATGCTGAGATGGCCCATGTGTAAGAAGTAGTTTGTCCACTGATCTTTGCTCCCCCAGTATGCCTCGGATTGGGCCAGCTCATTGTCGTGATGTGGGAAGCGGAGGTCGACGCCGCCGGAATGGATGTCTAGCTTCTCCCCCAGCACTTCAGAGGCCATGACTGAGCATTCGATGTGCCACCCCGGCCGTCCCTCGCCCCACGGGCTCGGCCAGGATGGCTCACCTGCCTTGCTGGCCTTCCACAGAGCGAAATCGGCATCAGTCCGCTTTGTGGTGGTCTTGCTCGCTAGCGAGCCCTCTCCGTCAGCCTGTAGGGCCTTGTCATTCCGACTCCAGGGCTCGAGTCGGGCATAAGGACTGCAAGCAAGCGTCAGCAACACTCATTGATACACACCTATCCAGGCTTGTCACATCGATCCACCCGGGGGGATGGGGGGGCACATACTGGCCAGCCTCCTCGAAAGAAGCTATGTCAAAGTAGACAGATCCATCAGGGGTCGCATAGGCGAAGCCGTTCGCTATGATCTTGTCGATAAAAGTCACAATCTCGGGCACGTATTCCGTAACCCGCGTGAGAACATCAGGGTCGAGGACATTGAGGGCGTGCATGTCCTCAAAGAAGCGGTTCTCAAACTTCTGCGTCAATTTTGTGAAGATGGTGTAGTCTTTCGAGTCCACAGACGTGCCGTGCAACGAGTCCAAGTACGGCAGAAGTATATCCTCGGCGTCGGCGTAGAACTGCTCAGGTCCGATGGACAGTTGCAAGGCAGTGGCGGCAGACTTGGCAGTGTTCATGTGCATCTTGAGCTTGGCCTCCTTGTCGCCTGGCGTTTCATTGTCCCCTTCCAGGGCCTTTCCCTCTAGAACCCTTGCGTACGCATTATTCTTCTCCAGCTCGTAAGCTTCTGGCTTGGTGTCCTCGGGTATCAGGGGGAGATTTTTCTTCAGGTAGGCCTTGAACGCCGCCTGGGCCGTGGACAGGACGTTCTCATCGACTTCGGGGTGATCTCTGCGAAAGTCTGCCAGGAGATGCTGTTGCCTGGCGCGGAGGATGATCTTGTCGTCGATGTCGGTGATGTTCATGACGAACTTGACGTTGAAGCCGAAGTAGTATTGGACGATGCGCCTTACCACGTCTGTCGAGACGTAGTTCCGGGCATGGCCAAGGTGTGCATCATCGTAGACCGTTGGGCCGCAGGTGTACCACAGGACAGTCTTTCCATCAGCACTGATGGGCACGAACTTGTCCTTCCTCCTGGTCAAGGAGTTGTAGATGGCAAGGTCTGGAACGGTGACATTGTCGGCGAGGGGTTTGGGAGCAGCCCAAGCTGGCTGCTGTCGGGTGGTCGAGGCCATTCTGGCGGTGGAGGATACGAAAATGAGTGTGGTGATGGCGGGGTTATGCGATGACGATGTGCATTGCCAGCTGGCCTTGGATGTTAGTTGGTCTGCGGATGGCAGTCTTGTCTGGGAGTTGGGGGTGGATTTGATTTACCGGAAAAGAGAGTGAGAACGGGATATAGATCTAGTGCTGGACCACCTGAGGAGGTGATTCATCCGTGGCTTGGACTTTTGAGTCACATCACATGTAGCGAAGGTGTTGTTGTGTGAAGCAGGGGAGTTTTTGAACAATGGTGGGGTGTTTCTTTTGATGGGTTGCTGAGGTCGACTTTCTGCGCTCCGTTACCCCACAGCCTCGGGCGCTAAGTACCACAGCACAAGGGATTGACCAGCCCCACGTTAGCAGTTAGTACAATGAAGTACTGTATAACATTTTGAGGTTGACCTCCCAACATCATTCTCTATATTGTAAGCAGTTTGTTTTCCATGTTCCAAAAATATCCTACAATCTCAGACAGGCATAGTATTGCAGAACGTGTATTTCTTCCTGCCTGCATATTCAATTTTCAATAGTGAAGAAGAAGAAACGCCGTCGAGTGCTGCCAAGGTCTGCTGTGCAGGTTCTGACTCTTCATCTACCTAAAGTTGGGGTGACTCCCTCAGATGCCATGTAGTAAGACGTATTTGACACATGTCCAATCCATGACACATACTTCAGCAGAATCATCTTCTACCGATACACTGCACAAGGTCCAATGGAGGCTGACGCTCCGAGATGATCATTGGGAAGAGGAAGTAGGCTGTTGAAGATGTCTTTTTCTCCCGTTGGTAGTGCTGCCGAGACCGGCTCCGATTAAGAGTCGAGTTTACAGCAGGATGGACCCTTGATTAGGTATTTGAATACCCTGAAGCTCAGTGCTGCAGCCCCACCAAAGACCCGCGTACCACTACGTAAGTCACTTTGCATGAGAGCATCTCCGATATCTAATGATGACGAACTCTCTCGCACGCCCCAAAACTTCGACCCAACCTTGAAGGACATAACCTAATTCTAGAATCTCAACCTCGCGGGTCTGATATCAGACATTGCATGAGTCATTCCATATTTCAAAACGAGGTTCATCTGAAAAACAAAATGTTCACCGGCATTGTCGAAGAGATAGGAGGTAAGATTCACATGTCACACCCACATCCTTCCTTCGGCTCACTCATAATCGTGACACTAACATTCACCACTTCTCCCTCAAACAGTTGTCGCCGAGCTCAACCCCTCGGACGCAACAGGAGGCACCTCTCTCACCGTCGCCCTCCCCAGCACCTCCACCCTCCTCTCAGACTGCCACGAGGGCGACTCTATCGCCGTCAACGGCGTCTGCCTCACCGTGGTCACCTTCACCACTACCCCAACCCCATCCTTCACCGTCGGCGTGGCCCCCGAGACTCTGCGCGTCACCGACCTCGGCAGCCTCAGCAAGGACTCGCGCGTGAACCTGGAGCGGGCCGTCCGCGCTGACACCCGCATGGGCGGCCACTTTGTGCAGGGCCACGTCGACACCACCGCCACCATTGTCAAGAAGGAGCCCGACGGCAATGCCGTGACCATCCGGTTCGCGCCCGCCAAGAAGGATGTTCTGCGCTATGTCATCTACAAGGGCTACGTGGCGCTGGACGGGACGAGCCTGACAGTCACCAGGGTGGACGACGAGGAGGGCTGGTGGGAGGTGATGCTCATTGCATACACGCAGGAGAAGGTGGTGGTTGCTGGCAAGAGCGTGGGTGACTCGGTCAATGTCGAGGTGGACATGATGGCCAAGTATGCTGAGAAGAGTATGCTGTGGATAGGCGAGGGCGGGTCGTTGCCTTTCGTGAAGGAGCTTGAGAAGACGGTACAGAAAATTGTGGCCCAGGGACTGGGTGGTCATACCTCGTAAGGCGAAGCTGGATAGGTAGGTGTTCACATGTCATTCCTTTGCGGTGAGTGGGTGGTTCAAAATTTGTACACGAACTGGCCCCCAATTCAGAAATACCCGTGGGATGTTGAAAATACATCTAAAGACATCCCCTCTCTCAGGCATCGCCCCATACTTCCGCGATCTTGGCACTTAATGCCTTGCCAACCTGCTTGCTCTTGACCTTGTTTCCCAGCTGGCTTGACACCAGTTCTCGCCTCCTCTTCTTGCCCTCCTCCCCAGAGCCGCAGCGGTCAAACGCCTTGACAAAGTCATTGGGCGTCCTCCAGATATTTTGTATCTCCATTGCCTTCTCGCCTGTGACGCCTCTCGTGCACATGAGCATCTTGAGATACAGGTCCCTCAAGGTAAGCATGTCTGACTTGGACACTAAGGATGCAAATGCCGGGTAAGTGATGTAGTAATCTGATCCGGGCTCCTTTGCACGAAGGTGATGCAGCAAGGGCAGATAATTTTGTGCCGTGATGACTCTCGTGGGGATGACTTTCAGAGGTCTGCTCTCATATTTCTTCTTGAGAGCCTCCGTCATCCTCGCAATGTATCGTATGGAGTCGTCCATCTTTGGTGTCTTCTTTACAGTAAAGCCATTGACCACCTGTGTCGACGCGATGGCAGACTGCACAGACTCCTCATATTTCTGAAAGTGTTGTTGGTCGAGTGAGATCTCCTCAACAAGGTAGGTGACATGTTTCACCCCTGATCTCTTCAGCCGAAATTTTTGTTCGTGAAAACGACCGTCTTTGATACTACCGATCAGATCATCGAGCCGCTTTCGTTCAATAATATGGTCCAGAACGACTTCGTCGCCTTCCGCGCCTGACCGCCGCAGGAAGTCCTGGTCGTGGCACTTGGCAATCCATTGGGCATCACCAAGCTCCAAAGCCCGCATAATGGGCCTAACGCCTTTCTTGGTCAACTCATCTTGTATGTAGTCTCGATCTGTCTTCGCTCGTACTTCTCGCACATCCAGCACAAGATGCACCGTGAAAGAGCCGGGCCTGAGTATGATCGGTGGAAAGGTCGGTAGAGAAGATTCGTCCGAGATGAGTGATCCTTTCGTAACCACGTCGGCATAGTTCGGCTTGCTGCCAAGAGATCTGTCATCGACTTCATCCTCTTCAGGACCGTCGAGATCCGCCTGTCGAGGCTCCGATGCTTGGCTGATAATCGGGACGGCGTTTCTAACGTGGTCACCCCTCCTCACCTGCCTGGTATCGCCAGCAGCCATTGCGTCTCGGATTTTTCGGGCAACCTCCCAGCCCTCGTCCGTCAGCGCATATCTCTTTGTAGGTCTTCCACGTTCGTACACCATCTCGTGTTGCAAGAGAGTCTTCATCGAATTCCAGGCCGTATAAAATTTGCCAGGTTCGCTCGGCGCTGTGAAAGATGAGTCGGAGTGCGCTTGTGCCGCCTCGATCAAGTCCTGCTTCGCCATCCCTACAGGCGCGTCCGGGTCCATTTCTGATAATGCGAATACAAGGGCGTATGCGCCTGAGCGGTAGGCCGGGACATATTGCTTGGTCTTCCTGGGTTTCTTTGCCGGTGGTGCTGACGGCTCAGCTCCAGCACCATCATCGTCGCCGTTGCCACCGTCGGTTCGTCCCATCCCTACCGCAGTTGTTTTGCTGGGTTCCTTCCGTTTTCTCGACGCCATCGGATGCTCTGGCATGGGCAATCCATTTTCATTGCAGTGTTTCTGGAGTAAGACTGTGAGCCTCTCGCACAGCTTGGGGCCGAAACCCTTGAGCTGTTGTAGCTGGGACGGATGGTCAAAGGCAATGGGACAAGCCTTGAGACTGTTAAAAGCCTGCCTATAGGTAGTGACGCCCTTGGTGTTTCGTTCTTTTGCTGTGTCGTACCAATCCTTCACCCATGAGAGGAGGAGTGGGTTGGCGCACTCGGCATCTTCGACAGGCATGGCGCAGTGTGAGTGATGAGCCAGTGGCGTCGTCGACCTGAGCAAGACGAGAAAAATAAAGAAAGAAAGGTCGTAAAGCCAAACGACAGGCTATAGACAAAATGATTGACCTCACAAAAAAAAAAAATTCAATGATCCAAGGCGGAGGGTCTGGCGGGCGCGAATAAACAACGGTGATGGTTACCAGAGTGAACAAAACCTTAATTGATATGTAGAACGCGTCTGGTCGCGTTGACGTCAAGTGTTCCTTTACAGACGACGTACAAAACAGTAAGTGGACACAGGGAAGCAGGGGGTCCTACAGCTACTGAACTTCCGTAGGCGAGGGAACCAAAGGTCGCTATCGAGTTCAGTATGCCACTCTAGCGAAAATCTGTTAGGGGCATCGTCTCTCTAAACTTATAATTACGTGAGAATGCATGGAATCCGTTGCTGTTTGCGGACGTCACAGAGTATTTGACCCGATTCGGGACTTTTGATTGAATACGAGATGCAATGCAAACATACTCAGTCTCCCCTTGCATCTTCTATTCTGGTCACTGCTCGATGGATGGCTACAGGATGACAGCGCTAAACCTCTTCCCAGCAGCTGAACCACTTTACTTCGGTACAAAGCTAAAATGTCTGGGAGTAGCAGGTTTCTTACATTCTTACCTTTTGACTTGAGTAGGTACAAAGTACATACGTCCTGCCTCTAGAGTGTATGCATGTTTAGGTCACTGTGGTACTATGTATAGCAGGAACAGCGGGGTAGCTTGGAGAGGAAGCCTGGTTCTACGCACTCAACGGAGGGGAGCTCTCAGGGTTCTCTCAGGGGCTAAGACCATGCGTGTTGGCCTGGACAGCTCAGCAACCTCAAGCTCCCCATTAATATAAATACCGCTTTTCATCCCATTTTGTTGATCCCTTGCTTTGCCCGCTGTTGCTCTTGTCATCCTTTCCCCTTGCCACTTGTTGTTATATTTTGGTTTCCTCACACAATCTTCATCCACCATGGCTGCCAACGATGACAAGATCCTTGCCGCCTCGGCGAAACACCCCATTGTCCCTCTCCCTTCTGGCAGTGCCTACAAATATGGCACTGCTGGTTTCCGCATGGCCTCCGACCTCCTCGACGGCGTGACCTTCCGGGTCGGCCTTCTGGCTGCTCTGCGAAGCCGCAAACTGGGCGGTGCCACCATCGGCGTCATGGTCACAGCCAGCCACAACCCGGCCAAGGACAATGGCGTCAAGGTTGTCGACCCGATGGGTGAGATGCTCGAGCAGGAGTGGGAGTCTCACGCCACCAAGCTGGTCAACAGCCCCTCCGACAAGGACCTCCTCGAGGCATACAAGGCTCTGGCGACCCAGCTCAAGATCGATCTCAAAGCCCCCGCCAAGGTCGTGTACGGCCGCGATACCCGCCCTTCGGGTCACACCCTCGTCACTGCCCTTGCTGATGCCCTCGAGGCCACTGGCACCGAGTTCGTCGACTACAAGATCCTGACCACCCCCCAGCTCCACTACCTGACCAGGGCCACCAACACGGAGGGCACCCCCGAGTCCTATGGAGAAGTTAGCGAGGCCGGATACTATAAGAAGTTTGCTGATGCCTTCGTGCATGCCCTGAAGGGCCGAAAGATCAAGGGAACTCTGTCTGTCGACTGCGCCAACGGAGTAGGGGGTCCTAAACTGAGCGAATTCCTCAAGTATATTCCCAAGGGCAAGGTCCCCTTCGACGTTAAGGTGGTCAATGACGATGTGCTGCGGCCTGAGGTGTTAAACCTGGAGGTAGGTTATTTCCCCGGATCCTGACTAACTACCAAGATATTATGCTAAATCACTCTTCCTTCCTCCCAGTGCGGTGCCGACTTCGTCAAGACGAAGCAGCGAGCTCCTCCACACCCCAGCCCCAAGCCCGAGCTACGATGCTGCTCCCTGGACGGCGACGCCGACCGCCTGATCTATTACAGCACCAAGACCGATGGAAGCTTCTCTATGCTCGATGGCGACCGCATTGCCACCCTGGCCGCGTCGTTCATTGCTGATCTGTCCCGCTCCGCCGGCATCGAGAACGACCTACGCATCGGCGTTGTCCAGACAGCTTACGCCAACGGCGCCAGCACACGATACATCCAGGAGAACCTGCGGCTGCCGGTCGTCTGCACGCCTACGGGTGTGAAGCACCTGCACCACGCCGCGTGCAACTTCGACGTGGGTGTCTACTTCGAGGCCAACGGACACGGTACTGTGCTCTTCTCCAACGACGCCATGCGCACGTTCCGTGAGAAGGAACCCCAGTCCCCTGCACAGAAGGACGCTCTCGAGACGCTTGCCGCCGTAGGCAACCTCGTCAACCAGACTGTGGGCGACGCTATCTCCGACATGCTGTTGGTGGAGGTCATCCTCGCACACAAGGACTGGACCCTCCAGGACTGGGAGAACACCTACACCGACCTTCCCAACCGGCTGGTGCGCGTCGAGGTGGGCGACAAGGACCTGTTCCAGACTACGGATGCGGAGCGCCGACTCTCGCACCCGCCCAGAGCGCAGGAAGAGATCGACGAGCTGGTCAAAAAATACACCAGCGCGCGGTCCTTTGCACGGGCCTCGGGCACAGAGAACGCATGCCGTGTCTATGCGGAGGCCGCCACGCGTGCCGAGGCTGACGAGCTGGCTAAGAAGGTTGCGGTCGTGGTAGAGCATTACGGAGGCGGGCGGGCGGCTGCGGCGGCGCCGTCGGTGTAGAGCAGTGACGGGTCACGGCTGATCTCGCCGCTCCCGTCTGGGGCCCCACGCAGGGAGGCCCTCGGTCGAAGGTATGGGCCTTACAACAACGCAAAGGCAATGCATGGTTGGTTCAGACAGATCTCATGGTACTCCTATGAGCAGGATGCCATTGCTGTGGCAGAGGCACGGGGATTTGTGCAGTTCGGGCGGTCACCAAGACTGCTGCCGTTTCACACCCCCCCTCCGATCGATCTCGGAGAGGGCGTGTATGATGACGATGATGATATTGTAGAGTGCTCATCGGACGATAATGCTGAGCCCACGATGTTTTACATGGAAGACATGTCTTGAGCTAAGAGACCAGTGTCTTTCTTTATGCTTGTAACGAACAAAAAATAGGGAGGGGCTGGTTCCGGAGATTTCCCACTCTCTTTCCTTTTCAAAAGTAGTATCGGTATCCCTGGAAGGGCAAGGGAGAAAAAGAAAAAGGAGCAAAAACCATTTCATGACTGGATTGCGGATAAAGAGATGATCATTCTTTTATACAGGCAGATAGATTCCTGTTTTTGGCCGAGCCTGAACATTGGAGGCAAGCAGCATCATTAACAATACAGGAACATCTGACACAAAGATGGGAGTTATGCGATTTCAAAACGTGTCATTGATTGCTCCTTGCACGTCGTTCCTCTTTATTCGGTGTTGGTCCTTTCCGTGTGGGTGGTATCTCTCTCATACATGTAATTCACAGAGTACAAGCCCTGCCTTTCCCCTGTCCAACCCGTCTTGTGAATACCAAACGCAATGCTACCTGTGTGCTCGCTTCCCAGTGAGATGCCAAAGCTGGACAAGGGGAAAGAAAGCAAGGGAGAACTCTACTCCTAGATCGGTTGTCCCAGTGTATGTATAGTCTTGGGGTATCGACATTCATCGTGACCTGATCAGCTTCTCACATCTCCTGGCTCCCACCGCCACCGCCATCATCGCCCACATCATTGCGCTTCGAAAAGGTGATGCTCTGGGATCTGAATTGACTCCCCTCCCCCCAACCCTTGTTTCAGGTACCGTACGTGACTCGACAGCCGTAGCCTCGTCGACACTCCTCTACGCCTCGTAGTTGTGGCGTGGAACTCGAAGACATGTTGCCTCAACTCTCATCGTCTCTCGCTCTGGTACTTATTATCAAACAAGGTGGTCGTGTTTCTGCCCCGCCGATCTCGCCGTCATCAAGCTCTTTAACACATCTTGTAGACACAGACGCCCTCGCCGGTCCGGGTAGGGTCTGTGGTCTCGAGCTTGTACTCAACCTTGATGTCCAGATCCCGACGGTTCTTGTCGTTGGGGCCGCTGGTCAGCCTGCAGTGAAGCTTCTCGCCGGCCTGAACCGTCAGTGCGTCCTTGATGTAGAAGACAGTCTGCTTCCAGTGCGTATACTTGGTGTGGGGGCCCGTGGAGAAGGCAATGGGCTTGTGGCATGCGGAAAACTCGATATCGAACCATGCCACCAGCGCGTGGATGAAGTCGTCGCGGCGGGCGGTCAGGTCGAACGGTATGCTGAAGGCCAGATCGGCCGTCGTGCACTTGTAAAGGTCGAGGGTCAGAACGCTGGCGGGGTCGGTAGCAACAGCCTTCATCTCGACAGTGTCGACGAGGGGTTCGGAAAGGGCGGTCTCTTTCAGGGGGCTGTAGTCGAAGCCGTAGACATTGTCCCAGACTGACCAGTAGAATTAGCAAATCAAACGCCAGAACCAGACCGCCATAGAAAGATTGAGCACCCACATCCGATCTTCTCCTCCTTGTAATCACCATCCTCGATGCCGGCCACGAAGATGGTGGCCTTGTCAGGGAAGATCAAGCCGTCCTCGGCCAAGTACTTGTCGCGCGCGTAGAGCACGGTGTCGAGCATAGACTCGTAGAGAAGGAAGTATCCCATCCACTCAGAGATGATGATGTCAATCTTGGGGAAGGGAATCTCGATCTCCTCCATCTTGCCCTGAATCAGGGTGATCTTGTCCGCCATACCGTTGGTTGCGACGATCTCACGGGCCTTGAAGATGATGGTAGACATATCGACACCGACGACGTGTTTTGCGCCAGCCTTGACAGCGAACCTAATTCGCCAAGGAAGAAGAAAGGATCAGTGTTCTGTTAAAGTCCAGTAGACTCTGAAACAGCCCTGAGGGGCAGGCTGAGCACAACGATGCGATGCTGTACAGCAGAGGGTGAGGTCTGTCTTACATGGAGAGAATACCTGTGCCACAGCCAACATCGAGTACAACCTTGTCCTTGAACAAGTGCTTGTTCTGGACAATGGCGTTCATGTAGGAGCGGGTTCGGACCTCATCTTTCTGCAAAACACAAGCAAGAATATGATCAGTAAATTATCCTGGTCAACTCTGCGAAGAAGAGGGGGGGGGGGATGTTGCATACCAGCATTTCCTCATGAATGCCTTATTAAATTCAACCTCTGTCAGCGAATTCCCTCAATAGCAGGAACAAGATTGCAAGTCTGCCTGACATACCATGATGGTTGTAGCTGTGTGGGTTTGGATGTTAGAAGGTCATTTCTGTTCTGTTCAGGTGGGCATTGATGCATCCATCATGCATGTGACAAGAAACAAAGATGCTCTCACCTGTTGAAGTAGTGCTGCTCGGAGTGAGCCATCTCCTTGAGCTGCAGCTCAGCCTTCTCGACGTCCATCTTGTCTCCTGACATGATGAGGGATACTCTCTGGGGGATGAGGATGTAGAAGATGAGAGAGAGTATGTAGAGAGGGGGGAGGGGACCGACGTGACAGAAAGAAGTTGGGCTGCAGCGACAACTGTATCGAGAGCTGCAGTTGGATTTTTGGAGGGGCTCCATGTCAGGGTCCGAATTTTTCTCTCAGCAGAATGCGGCTCGACCCCTGTCAGTGGTGTATACCGCCTTCCACTAGTGCCTTTCCAGAAGAAATTCTAGGCCCTGGATCCCGGGGGGGCAAACTGTTTCCTTTCCTTCTCATTTTTCCTTTTGTCTACTTTCTTTTTTTTTTTTTTTTTTTTTGGGGGGGGGGGGGTAAAAGTGCATCACTGATAAGACCTTAGCATTAGTATTTTCATCCAGGTATGAGGCATAGTGCTTTATTGGTTGTCGCATTAACTGTCACTGTCAAATGACCACTTATCATTGTGAGTGCAATTGGAAATAAGAGCATCTAATATGCAGATGCTATATCAATCAATCACAGTGACTCAACCTGCAGAACACGGCGTCTCCATATGGTGAGCCAGTGACGCAAAAGTGGTGACTTCTGCACTCAGCAAATGCACATCAACATTACACCCTCTCCTTGCATTGAGTCTAAGCTGTAATGTGCTGTGAGTCTGTAACAGGAAGCACAGACAATACTGTTTGTACATTTCTCTTAGCGGATGCCTCGTTCTGTTGCTACTTATGTACAGGGTCTTGTTTCTCTTTTCACCAGGCTTGCCTGGGCCTACTTTGACATCAAGAATCTTTGACATCTTTTACATTTCTCACCATAAAAGCACTATGCACCGCGGGCCCTCTTGGCCGTTTTCTCAAAATAGTCCCAATCGAAAAGTTTCATTTTTGCGGGCCGAGCAATGAAAACTCGATCGCCCCTCTCTCCCAAGTGTACCCAGGCGCCTCGCCAAGGTCAACTCGGTCCCACAGCATGACGAAATCATCTGCCATGTGCCTGTTCTTTACTTTCTTCTTCTTTTCTACTCTTTCCAGATTTTAGCTTTTCCTCCCCTTTCCTTCCCCTCTGATCACCTCCTCTCTGGGCTACCAATGCCCTATTATGACACCATCGAGCCGGGCAAGCATATGATGGATGGTCCAAAATGCGCACACGCCGGAAAGGGTGCATCCCACCCGCTCCAAGCAACCAACCACCCAAGCTATTGTCTCAGGACGCCCGCGGGCACAATTAGCGCTCGGCAGTCAGGCGGTGGCCGTCGAGGCGTTTTCATTACGTTTTCGTTGCCTTATACTATGTACCATGTAAGACGACCACAAGAAGCCCAGCCCAGCCAAGCCCTCCCAGAAACTCGATCCCATGGGAAGGACAAGTAAAAAGGTATTTTTCCAGGGCAACTTGCTAGATTTAGACTGGGTATGACCCATTTCCCCGGACTCGGATGGGGTACCACCACCGTACTGTACTTTAAAATGGCAAAGACCAGAGCCTTCGAAAGTCCATCGTCCATGGATGTTTGCGCTCGTGACAAGAAATAAATAGAGAAAAGACTTTTTCTTCCCATTTGCCCTTGGCCACAATCTCTCTTCTTCTCTTTCTTTCTTTTCCCTCTCTCTCTCTCTCTCTCTCTCTCCCTCCTACTTCTCTCGCCTTTTCCTCTCTATCCCTTGTGACGTCGACTTTTTCAGACTGTTCAAAGCAGTGAGAGATTCCAAGTTTTGTCTCACCAAGTCCCCAGCGGCAACTTAGCCTGAGGATCAGCCCTTTGTCTCATAGATAACAAGTCGAATACCGCACCTTCCCACGACTCAAGTCTTGACCGGCCAAGGGAATTGAAGAAGAAAGAAAGCAAAATTCGAGCGGCATCTTTACGAGGAACACCGCAGCTCTGACATCACTACCTCTTTCACTCTCTCCATAAGATAGCAAATCTTCACGCAAATCCAGCCGCGCATCCGTTTTCTTCCTCTCGAAGCATCACAAAAAGGCCACTCGACCCGGATTTCTCCTACAGGAACGTCCTTCTCCTGCTACTCTCAACAAGAAAGAAAACCAAAGCAATATCAAATCACATTCCCACTGCTTACCACCACAACGATGGGCGGAGGCGGACAGCAATACGCGAGCAGCGGGCGCGGGGGCGCGGGGAATTTTATCGACAGCACCAAGTCGCCCAAGCTGCAACCGCAGGACCTCCAGACGCCCACACTCAAGACGGGCATGGTCACGACTGGGCGGGGCGGTTCTGGAAATATGGCTCTGAACAAGGACCCGGCTGAGACAAGGGCGCGTCAGGACGTCGAGCCGTAAGTTCTGCAATCCCAAACTTTCTCCCCTATGGTGGTCAATCAATCAGTCCAGTCGGTCCATTTTGCTAATCTGCTGCTGGAACACAGTGTGGCGCGCCGCGAGAGCCAGGGTGCTCAGCATAGCGGACGAGGTGGCGCGGGCAATGTGTTCAAGGGCGAAGACGCGGAGCAGGCCAAGAAGGCTGCGAACACCAATGCCATCACTGACGAAAAGGACGAGCACAAGGGGCTGGCGGCCAAGGGAAAGGCCCTGCTGGGCATCGGAAAGAAGGACTAGAGGTTCTCGGGATTGTCCACTGGGGGCCAAAGACCAAAATCAAAAAGTTCTAAAAAGTTCGGGGTTGGCAGATGACTTTGAGAAGTATAGTAGGAGGTCAGTAGTCCATAAAAAGGAAAAGGCTGATGAGGAATGAATACCCAATTGTGATTTTTTTTCTTTTCTTCTTCTTTACATTGAAATGGGGCAGCTATAGGCTGCAATGAATCACCTGATTCGGGAGGGGTCTACAATTAGGAAGGATTCAATTGATATCAAGATGTGTTATCGAAAAAAGAGGACGGAACTATGCATGTAAAGAGTGAGATTATGTAGAGGGCGAGACATGCGTCCCTTAAATGCTACCCTACAGTGATGACTTATCTCTCTCCCCGTCTAAGCGGTCGTCCGAACCTTCAATGTTGTCTGTCGCTTCCAGAGAGCAGCCTCGTCATGATGCGAGAGAACATACAAGGAACTTTTTCATCAGCCCTACCTTAATAATATTTCCCTAGAACAATCTTATTCGCATTTCTGCGCATGATGAGACAGCACAAATATACGCGTGGCCATTTTGGATTGTCGATGAAGCGCTTCTTTTGTGCAGATGCTCCGCGATAGGAGTCTTGCCGGTTTATGACTCAATTTTTATTTATATCATCACCATGTGGAACGTATATATAGATATATGTATGAGAACTCGGACATTATTTTACCATTGGTTGATAGCGCCAAGATCAAGGTCATCACCACGCACAGCGGTTCGAAATAATCATATATCAATTAACTTCAGATACACAGCCTTGCGAACAAAATGGCCCCTACCGTGACAGATACTTCAGGGCCCATCCCGCTGGCCCTCCTCGCCCCGCTCCAAGAACACCTCCCACACTCTTTCTCCGTCCTCCGGCGCGGGCAGTTCACACACCGCCCAGGAGGCACATCCGAACATGCCCACTTCCTCTTCGCGACCGACGACAAGCTCGCCCGACAGGATGAGGAGATCGGAGGGAGCCCAGGGCAGCAGCAGGCAGCCCCAAAGCACTTCGCCGCCGCCTACTTGGACCTCTCCCAGCACCCCAGCACCGAGATGTTCTTCTACTCGACACTTCAGGACGTCCCCCAAGGTGCAGACGCGACGACATCGTCATCATCATCCGCCCTATCACCTGCAGAGGTCGACCTCGTCCTGGACCTCGCCGTCGCCATCTTCCAGCGCGCGCGCGACATCGCCTCCGCCACGGCCGCCGACAACCGCCACGTCCTAGGCCGGCCCGGAGGCACGATGGTCGGGAACCTGCACGAAGCCACCTACCGGCTCCTAGTGGAGCGGCGCGGCTTCACGAGCAGCTACTGGAACCCGCACGACGTGTGGCTGTTCCGGGTGGACGAGCTGCCCGTGCTCCCCGCGGAGCTGCTGGCGCTGGAGACGGCTGACTTTGCGAGGGATGGGCTGCGGTGGGCTGCGGTGAGGAGGGAGGATGTCCCTCTGATTGCGTCGCGGACCAAGATCCCCAAGGTGGCGGATCACTTGATGTGTGAGCCGAATGTGGGCGTGAGGAACAGGGAGGGTGTGCTCGTTGCTTGGGGGTTCATGGGGAATGCTGGGACACTGAGCACTTTGCATGTCGAGGTGAGTAGAGCAAAAGGGGGGGAACGGAAAGATGACTTGCTGGCTGTCTCCTATCAGGATGGTTTGAGGTGAACTAACGAGTGACAGGAGCCGTATCGTGGCAAGGGTCTCGCAAAGGCTGTGGCCACCAAGGTATTACGGCAGCATAATTTTGGCGACGATGGTTGGGGTGAGTTTATGAGAAGCAGCCTCTGTTGTTGTTGGTGGTGGTTGTGCTGCTGCTATAGAACACGAGAGTGCTGATACAGTAATATGTCTTGTAGGTTCTGCTGATGTTCACATCGACAATGTCCAGAGCCAGGGGCTTTGTAAAAGCATTGGCGGTAAGAAGGGTTTGAGGACTAGTTGGTAAGCTCGGTGCTCTTCCAAAGCCCTGTTGGCTTTGATCATTTCGGTGCCAGACTGCCCCCTTTGAACGCACCTCTTTTCTTCTTTCTTTTCTCTGTTTACGTTCGGGCAGCTAACGAAATGTTTGCATAGGACTGTCATTGACTTCAACAGTATACCTTAAGTGGCGAGGACCCTAAGCTCTGCATTGTGGTAGGTCTGAGCAAGTATCTTTTTTAACGCTTCCTAAATAATATACAGTGGAAGACATCCATCTATGCTGCCAGCGTTTGACGATGAATTTCTTGCAGGAAGAATCTCAGATCATCCGGCTTGACAAACGGTGTGATACCGTGACCCAGGTTGACAATCCAGCCTCTCTTCTTCTGTGCCCAGCCAAAACCCTCGACCATGTTCTTCACGGTCTTGGTGATCGACTCATGTGAGCCGTAAAGGACGCCAGGATCAGCATTGCCTTGAAGCACAGTGTTTCTGTCGCCGCGGACCTTGGACGCCTCGGCCGGGTCGTACAACCAGTCCAGGCCGACGATGTTGTAGTCCGAGTTGCACATCGAGTCCAGGGCATACCAGGCGCCTTTGGGAAAGACGACCATGGGCACCGGGTCCAGCTGCATCGACTTCAGCTTCTTAGGCAGGTTCTCAGATATGTAACGTAGATAGGGCTCTGAGAACTCTTTGAAGGTAGTCGGTGACAACTCGCCTGCCCAAGAGTCGAAGACTTGAACAATCTAGGGTAGTCTCGTCAGCTCACAAACTGAAAGACAGGAGCGATAACCATCATGTCCGGGGGCTCACCTGAGCACCAGCCTCGACCTGTAATGCGAGGTAGTCGACGCAGAGCTCCGCAATCTTCTGTAAAAGAGCCTTGGCCTGCTCTGGATACTTGTAGATCCATGTCTTGCTGTGCACGAACAGCTTCGTACCGCCGCCCTCGACCATATAGCACAGCAGGGTCCACGGCGCACCGCAGAATCCAAAAAGGGGGACCCGTCCCTGCAGCTTCTTGCGCGTGAGCGTGATGGCCTTGTACACGTAGTCCAACTCCTTGGCCACATCGACGTGTCGCTCCATGACCTCCTTGTACTGCTTATCCTCGGGCGTCTTGAGCGGATCCGGAAAGTGCGGGCCCTTCTTGTCCACCATCTCCACCACCATTCCCATCGCCTGCGGTATGACCAGAATGTCCGAGAAGATAATGGCGGCATCAAGGAGCCCAGCGAAGCGCTCGATGGGCTGCAGGGTCAAAGTGGAGGCGATTTCGGGACTGCGGCAGCATTCGAAGAAATCACGGTTGCCCTTGGCCTCATGGTATTCGGGAAGATAGCGACCGGCTGAGTTGCATTATTGTTCAATAATCAGCCAACAGTCCAGATGCATCATGGGGCGGCTCAGCAGATCGGAAATCGTGTTCAGTGTACCTTGGCGCATCACCCAAATGGGTGGTCGCTCAACCTTCTCGCCTATATCCTCCTGAGAGGTTAGTCGTCTTCAAAATCAAAATTGGTTCAGAGCACCAAATAACCAAGGTTAACTTGCCCCGTGCTGCTCTAAGGAGCAGATCATTCTGCAACGGCTCGAATTGACCCATGCTTGCTGTTCGTTGAGGGTTGAGGTCGTGAGAAATGTACCCCACCATCTGAGGCTCAGAAGGAGAAGCTCCGACAGCAGCTAGAAAAGCTACATGTGGTGGGGGGGGGGGGTGAAGGGGCGGCAGCCTTCCCGGGATTACTGTCGTCACTGGTCAGCCAGGGTGGCCCAGGGTGCCTCACCCCTGCCAGTCAGCCCTAGACACTTGAGAGCTTACTACAGTAGATACCAATACCATGTATGGCAGTACAGTACAGTACGTACCCAATAGCGCCAGGTACGCAGCACCAGGCCCTTAGGCTTGGCAGTCCGAAGCTCGAACTTTCTCTCGCTGCCCCTCCGAAGATGTCTTCTCAACATCATATCGCAAACCCTCGGCCAGCTGACCCGAACCACATCGACTCCCCCGACAGTACCACCAATTAGCCCATGCCGACGATATCGAGAGATCACCCGGAGAACAGCCCATCAGCGGCAGGGTTCTGCTGAGGGATGGTCATGACTTGGAGGCGCATACAGCCCCACCAACTATGCCTCCGAGACCGACAATACAATGTTGCCGAGCACTCCAAGGCCGCAACGATGTGTCTGTTGACGCGGTCTGGGTGACGGACGACGTCCTTAGTCGAGCATTCCGGCGATACCTCGATGTTTCAGTGACAAAGAGGCGGGCCGTCAGCTCGGCTCCGGGGCCCATGTATCACCGCAAGCGATTTGGAAGAAGACAGATGACGGAGCTCAATGCTATGCAATCCATCGGATCGCTGCCAGTATGGGCACTGTCAAACGCACCAGACATGACCAACTGGCGGTGGCAGCCGCCCAAGCCAGACCTCTGGTCATCACCACCGCCAAAGGCCACCATCCGACGGACGCTTGAGCCGCCCACCCCCCTTGAAACAACTGTTATACGACCAGCTGGAAGAGAGGTTGAAAGGCCGCCGCCGCTTCGAGTCGACTTCAACCCGCAATTCGTCATGTCCTTCATGAAGGAATTGAAAGAGTTACACATCAACAGCTTTAGCACTGCCGACGAGTACCGCGCCGAGTTCATAGGCCTCGTCTGCCGGGCCACAAAAATTGTGTCGAGAGGAGGATTCACCAGCTCAGGCGTCGGCGAGATATACTTTGCGGCTTTTGAGCATCTCGAGACAGCACGTCGAGTGCATCCAGAGTTGCAGACGCTTTTTCCCTACCTCATGTCCAGTGCTGCCCGAGGCATCATGGGTGCGAAGTCACTGGATGGCAACTTCTTCGTTCCCACGGCACGGTTCTGGGAGAAGTGGCTGGAACAGTTAAGGGATTGCGAAGTCAACATAGCGAACACGAAGCTGTTGATGTTTGTTATGGATAACCTCCGCCCGCGACAGGTTCGAAGATCGAGTAACCTGCTACTCTCAGTCCTCTACCGGTATTTCGACCTGTGGAGCACCAGTGATCTCCACGGAGAGCCGGAGGTCTGGCACCACGGTGAAATATCCCGACTCTCGTCGAGCGCTTCGCTTTGGTCCGGGCGGATTGACAAACTGTTCAAGGCCATGGAGTCGGATTTAGCCGACGGACAAGTCCAACGAGCACGCTCCCATATGCGTCTTGCCGAGAAACTCCTCGCCAGAGTCCAACGAATCGCGCTCAAGCAGGCTCATTTGATGTCAGATGATCTAAAACTAACTGAGCTGCTCGCCGAGGCCCTGAAGACCACGGATCCAGGATCTCATCGACACTTATATATGCGACTCGTAGTGCACACTGGGACACCTACCACTTGGTCTAGAATGCGCTACAACTGGCTCCAGATCCTCGCCCGGCTGCCCAATGTACAGACAGACGAGTTCAAGCAGCTGCTGTGTATGTTTGCGCCCAATGGCCATGCTGCCCTCTCATACATGGAACTATGCGACCTGTTCTTGCTTCACTGGTCCAGCCAGGGCATGCTCACAGACCCAGATTGGACTCGCAGCATCTGGAACAATATCCGAGGCAAGGACGACCACTTTGCCATAGCTGCTTTGGCTCTTGCAGTCAACAAGACGAACACGCCAAAGCAATGCACAGCCATCTTCTGGAATCTTTGGAGCCTCCTCCGTTTTCGAGGCGGGCCAAAGAAGCTCCTGCGACAGCTTTCTCTGCTGTCTGACAGCCGCACCGTCAGCTCTGCATTCCTACAGAGGCTGGCTTGGACTTCAAATGATCATCGTGTCGCCCTACTCCTCCACTTTATCCTCTGCAAGCAAGAAGGAAGAGTCCGCAACTTCTGGTGGCCGGCCTTTTGGGACAAGTTTGCAGCAAAGCAAACGACGCGTTGGAAATATCCACAGATCGACCCGATTCTGCTGGCTCGAAAAATGACAATCCAAATCTCAGGCAAACAGCCGTTGAATCCATTGGCGAATCAAACCGTGGAGAGCTCCTATGAGCAGCAGCTGATGGAGGTAGAATCTGAGAGCGTGGAACGCCAACTTGACTCATATGAGCCCGTAGCTTGCGTTCCCAAGACGAAAGCATGGGTCCGCCAGGTCAAGAGGATACAATGGAGCCTCAAGCTGCTGCTTCACGCTCGACAGCTCACGGACCGGCAGGCCCTACATTACGTGACAGCCTTCACCGGTATCCTCGCCAACAAACAAGGCCACCTGTCTGCTCGCGACTTGGCGACATTGACCTCTGTCATTATGCGGACATTGGACCAAGGCAAAACCGGGAGTGTGGAGCGCTTGAGATGGTATCTGGGGATCATCTATACGCACCTCGGCGAACAATCTTGCATCAGGGTGGGCGTGATTCTAAAACGGCGCCGCGAGGCCAACTGGCAGGTGTGGCAAAGAAGTCTCAGAGAAGCGGTTGACAAAGGGACCCCAACGCCATCTCGCGCTGAGATATCCAAACTCCAGAAAGGTCTGCATCTTGCAAAATTGCGTGCGCTTTGGAAGTCATACATCCACCGTCACTCAGGAAGACTCGCCAGAAAACGCATAGGTCGGCGAACTACCCAAAGTCATCATCACGCAGACGAGGACGCTGGGCCTGTCTGCAGAGGGCGAGGGCTTTTTAACGATACTGGAGGAGTTCGAGAAAACACGAAGCTGAAGGAGGCCATTGGAGGGCTATAAGGGTAATTGGATATACTATCACGTGTACCGAAGAGCAAAAGTCGAACAGCTGACGACGAAGTCTTCTTCAGAGTCTATGATTAGGGGAGACTTGATAAGACCAAAAAAAACCACCCGCAAGGTCTCATCCCAGATGAAGGGGCGAGTCGATGAATCCTAGTTTTACTGCGTATGACAAGAGTTACTTGACAGTGGAGTGCTCCTGCCGTCTCTGTGTATCACTTGGTGGGGGGGTCAGGTTGCACAACCTGAAAACTAACAAGGTCTAAAAAAATAAAAATAAAGAGACACCACTACCACCAAAAACGCCAACCGTGACAAATAAAAGAGCATACATGATCAGCTAGCAGAGCGAAACACCACGGCAGATATTTTCACATCCAACCGTCTTTGCAGGAACTGACCGCTCGTCAATCCTCCTCCTTTCCTCCGCCTCCGCCTCGCCCCTGGTGCACTTCTCGAAGGGAGGCCAACTTCACAACTTTTTCTTCGAGCGAACCCCGTCACACAGACGCAACGTTGTACAGTATCTGTTGAGGGTCGCCAGATGCTGCCGATTCCATGTTCTCCCGACATGGTTTGTGCCCAGCTCGCCAGCTGAAGCCAACCATACTTCAGAATCTTGCTTTTGCCGTGGTGGAGCTGCAAGAGGATGGACCAGGGATGGATGCAAGCACGACGCAATACACCCTGCTTGTGCCTCTCTCTCCCCTCCCTCCATCTGGCTAGCCACAGGACCGGAGGTTTGGCTCACCTTATCTGAGATGAGGTTGACCACGACAGCCCTCACCCGCCCAGGGGGTTTTGTTGTTCTCCCAAGACCATCAAGCGAGTTTTTGGGCATGTGGTCGCCGCCGACGTCCGATACAGACTGGAAACACACGATGAACATGGGGGGGGGGGTGTTGCCCAGAGAGAGAGAGAGAGAGAGAGAGAGAGAGAGAGGGAAAGGGAAAAGACTAGCTCTAGCATGCATGTGTGGCACCTAGACGTTGACTTCGCCCTGATGGAAAAAGAAACATCATAACATCATAACATTTGGAATTCGTTGTGGCGCAAGGGCGAGACAACCACACCCCCACGGCTGGACGGACTAAGACGCCACGTGCATCTGCTGAAGCACGTCGCCCGTTGCGGGATCGTCATCGGCCAGCCGTTGATATTTTCGGCAGTGTCCGTCTCTCAAACGTGGTGGTGGCTGCTTTTTTCTATTCTGAATGTTTTCCCGACCTAGCCTTGTGCTGCCATGCTGCTCATGGAGTCGGTCCGAGATGCAGCGGGCAGCCTTCCACACGACGAGTACCCAGCGAGGTCGCAGTAGGTTTTGACGGAACGTCAAGCAAGCCACGGGCGGTGCATACTAGGAAGAAGATTCGGAATAATCTTGTTGACCGCTGCGGTCCTCGATGACCTCGTTGCCCCCAACTTCAAAGTTGGTTATTGTTTGGTCTCTTCTTCCTGGCCGCTTGATCCCGCGCTGAGAGGATGGCGGCGACTGTGACACGACAGAACTGAAGATTTTCCTTTTTTTAGGCCAAAAAGATGGGTTTGTGTCGCCGTTCTCGAATACCCAAAAGGTTTGAACATGAAAGCACTCGGACCCAGAGGCACCAAAATTCCCCTTCAGCAGTCTCATGGGCTGGCTTGTTCCTCTCTCAGCTTTCTTCGCTCGTCACTATTTATTATTACTTTATAACAGCTTCTCTATTCCACCTCATATTCCTCCAGTTATTTCTGCCTTTTGTCTTGATTTCATGGCCGACGACATTCTATACTGTGTTCTCAGTACATCGAGTCGCAAGCTCAGCTCCACCCTCTGAGACGTTCACATCCTACAATACGAAAGTCAGAACAAGCTGCCGACGTACTCGTCTTTGTTGTAAAACAGACCTACAAGAAAAAGAGGGAGAGACAGAGACAGAGATCCATGCTAGTATCAGCCGCCTGCCACGGACGGCTCTGCTAGGCCCTTTTGCAACAAGCACGCGGCGCCTCGGACTGCCCGGGTCGTGATAGATAAATCACCCACAGACGTCACAGCTGTACCGTGATTAGCGACAAGAAACAACACAAGCACAAGCAACGGCCATCGCAGCGATCTCTGGTTTGGCAGCTGTCGCTGTGACAAGGAGTTTCCCTTCGTGCTTGCGTCCCGGAGATAATAAACAAGAGAGACATTACAGTTGCATTCAGCACTTTGGCTGCTTGTGCATGCTGACTGTCTTTTGTTAATTTTCCAACAAACAGATCGATCCTTCGCAATCGACTACTCACTTTTTGTGCTGGGTCAACGGTAACAGACACAGGCCCTTGAATCAAAATTGGGACCAGTTCTCATTGCGGACTTACGACACTCCAATAGAAGGGAAAACGAAGACGAAAACGAAGGCAACATCCTCACCGACTATTGTTAGCCAAAGACGTTGTACCTTATAGTTTTATTCCTTGGACCTGGAAGAGGCACCCCTGGAGCGACTGGGCTGGATCGATCGGTCCCTTGTTTGAATTGGGAGTCTATAATACGACTCTACCTTGGGACTCTCAATCTCCCAACCCCATCCGTTCCAGAAACAGGGGGTGTCGTCAGATGGCTAGCTCTGATCCTCTCGCACATCGATACGTCGCCCCGCCGCCGCCGCCGCCTAGGTTGTCGCTGTGCCACTCCAAATCAGACCTGCTCTTGCGTTCCAACAGCGCACATTATCAGCCCCCGGATGGCGGCGCTTCCGGCGCATTCGCGGGTACTATGGATACAACAAACGGCCGTAACAACAACAGATCCTCCTCATCCGCCGCCGGCGCAGGGTTCAGCGGCGTGAATGCCGAAATGGGTTTAGGAAACAACAACGCCGGAGGAGGCGGTCATCTTCATCACCAACAACAGCCCGGCTTCTCCTCCGTGCAGCAACCGTCATCAGAATTTCAGCAGCAGCACCAATACCAACACCAACATCACCATCACCATCACCACCAACAACAACAGCAGCAGCAACAACAACAAGAGCCGCAGTACCAATCACAACAGCCTCAACCACACACCACGAGGGAGGGCGGTGCTGGTGGCAGCAGCACCAGCACCAGCGGCGGCGGGACGACCAGGCCAATCAGGCGTCGAATGCGCATGATTACCTCGTGCCTGGAGTGCCGCCGCCGTAAGCTTAAATGCAACAAGTCGAACCCGTGTACGAACTGCTCCAAGTTCGCGCGCGAATGCCTGTACCTAGGTCCCAAGCTCGACGAGGCCAGCCAGCTGCGCCTGACGGAGATCAAAGAAAAGGTCGGATCGCTGGAGCGGCAGCTGGAGAGGGATGTGGCCAAGTCTGGGACGAGCAGCAGCCGGGGATTCTATCAGCAGCGCATCCTGGCAGATGATGTCGAGGGCGAGTTTGACGAGGAGAGGGACCTGGAGATCACGCCCATGATCGCCCTGGACCTGACGTATGAGGAGGACGCGGATGGTACGGACGACGTTCTGGACTTGGGCGTCCAGGTGGGCAAGATGAGGTTGACGGAGAAGATTGGTGGCCTAAACCGGCCGAGGATATCAGAAGAGGTAAGTGTTCTTGGCGGCATTTGGTCTGCTCCAAACAGAAGTAGAAGAAGAAGAAGAAGAAGAAGAAGAAGAAGAAGAAGAAGAAGAAGAAGAAGAAGAAGAAGAAGAAGAAGAAGAAGAAGAAGAAGAAGAAGAAAGTGCTAACAGGCGAGACTTAGATCCAAGCTGGACTCTCGGGAGGTGCGCCTCAAGCACCTCCTGGCTTCCCGCCGGCCATGATGCCACCCTTTGGTGGTGCTGAAGCGCCGAGTCAAGGAGGACCAGGACCAGGACCAGGGCCGTTCTCCGACGCAACGGCCGGGCCCGATCAGTCATTACCAGACTTCCTCCGGCCGAGCGCCTCTTACATTCCGCCTACAAGCGGAGTCTTCTTCGGACAGATCGGCGAATTACCCTCTCTGCTCAATCTTCTCCCCTACCGACAAGCCGGCGATCGTCTCCTCAAGCATTACTTTGACGCCGTCCATCCGATAGCACGTTGTGTCCACCGGCCCTCACTCGAGCTGCAATATGAGGCCTTTTGGGACGAGGTTGATGCAAACTACGAGCCTCGTGCGTCGGTTCAGGCTGTGTTGTTTGCCGCGTGGTTCAGTGCTGCTGTGGCCATGGACGAGGGAACCGTGAACCGGGAGTTTGGGTCGACCAAGGCGAGCCTGGTGGAGAGGATGAAGATGAGCACAGAAGTTGCGCTGAGTAAGGCGAATTTTCTGAGGACCACAAGGATCGAGACAATGCAGGCTTTTATCATGTACATGGTAAGTAACAGGCCTCTCTCTCTCTCTCTCTCTCTCTCTCTCTCTCTCTCTCTCTCTCTCTTTCGGGTCAATCTGTGGGGTCAATCAGGCTGATGATGATGATGATGATGATGATAATCATATGGCTAGATCCCCTTGTGTCGTGAGGAGGTCTCTCGAGCCCATTCCGTACTGGTCGGTGCCGCAGTTCGCATGGCAGAGTGCATGGGCCTGCACCGCGATGGCTACAAGGCGTACAACCTCAACCCTGTGGAGACGTATGTCCGCCGCCTGATCTGGCATCAGCTGTGCTTCCTAGACATACGCACCTGCGAGGCACAGGGGCCCAAGCCCGCCATCCGCCGAGACGACTACGACACGTGGCTGCCCGACAACTGCGAGGAGGACCAACTCACCCACGCAACCTATCCGCCACAGCCGTCGGCGGGATTTACCTCGACCCTCTTTCCCCTCATCCGCTTCGAAGTCAACGAGATGATGCGCATTATCTGGGCAGACCGGCGCAAGCTCGAGTCGCGCAAGATCACCCTGACGCAGGTCCTCACTAAGATCGAAACTTTCCGCAAGCGCATGCTGCACAACTACGACCGCATGCTTGACGAGCGCATCGCCATCCAGCGCTACGCCAAGCTCGTCATGAATCTCCTCCTGTACAGGCTGCACGTCATGATCCTCCACCCCTTCTACGCCAACACCGCCAACCCCATGCCCCAGCGCCTGCGGTCCGTGCTGATCATGAGCGGCATCGTGATCATCGAGCTGGCCATACAGCTGGACACGGACCCGGCCTTCCGCCTCTGGAAGTGGTACAGCGGCGCATACCAGCAGTACCAGGCGGCGCTCATCCTGGCCACCGACATGTTCTACCACCCAGACCACAAGGAGGCCACGCGCATCTGGACCTGTCTCGATTATGTGTTTGGGCTGGAGCGGAACATGCCCACCGAGGAGAAGAGCAAACGAATCTTGACCGAGATCATGGGAAAGATGGGCATGTACATGGGCATGCGCAAGATGAGAGCGCCGACCCAGACAGCGAGCGCTAGCCCAGCCAAGCACGCTGTGAAGGCGGAGGAGGCTGCTTCAGGGGGTCCCAAGGGTGGCAGCGGCAGCGGTGGAGAGATTCGTGGGAAGGCCTCGGCGAGACCAGCCGTCCCGTCGACTTCTCAGTACCCTTCAATCTCGGAATATCCACCATCATCCGGAGGCAATCTTCACCCACCTATGAAGGAAGAAATGAGCGGGGTCCGGTCAATCTCGCCAGGACATATGTCACAAGCCTCCTCCGCCTCTATGCAGACGCCCACCGGATTAGGGATGCAGGCATCGATCCCACCTCATCATCAGCAGCAGCAGCAGCAGCAGCAGCAGGTACTGTCAGGAACTGGGGCCAAACCACCGCCAATGTTCAGCACCTCGATGTCAAGCATGGTCCCGCCCGCTATCGCCGCAGGTGATCAGCAGCAGCAGCAGCAGCTGCTGTGGAACATTCAACCGCCACCGCTGGTCAGCCACGACAGTCCCGAGAACTCAAGCAGCGACGGCAGTTCGGTGGTGGGCGTTGGGTACAGACAGTCTGGCATGGGAGGCTCGATGGCGCCCGGTCTGGAGAATGCGTCTGGGAACAATATGATGGATGATTGGGTGAGGATTATTGCCTTTTTTTTTTCTTCTTCTCCTTTTCTTCCCTCCCACACTTAAGTTCATCTGACATCACAGCAAAGCCTCGATTCGTTCCTTTCTTGGTTTCCCTTTTGATGCACAAATTTCTTGTTGTTCGTTATACTAACCGTTATACACCATACAAACAGTCCAACTACCACTACCACGAGGATGTCATCAATGCACTCTTCTCAGTGGATCCGCAGACCGGAGAGTTCGCCGGCTTTGGGGTCCCGATGACTGGGCTGAGCTATACTGAGAGCTGGGCGCAGCAGCAGTAGCAGCAAGAGCAGCGAGCAGCCCTCATCAAAGCGGACTTAAGTAATGAGTGAAACTCACAACTAAAAAGGGGGGGGGGGGGGTTTATTATCTTTTGAGGTGGAAAACAAGGTCAAGCAAGATAAGTCAGACAAGTCCTGTGGGAAGAAGGGGGGGAGTATATAGGGCGGAGATGCGGCACGCCTTGTAATTGACTCGAGCAAATCTGAATTCATAGATCATGGTATTAATACTAATAATACACTTGCATCTGAAACCCCGTTGAGAGTAGTAAATTTTCATTCCGTCATTAAATTTTTCTACATCATAAGACTGACTGCCTGTTTATCGAATTATTTTTGTTTTCTCTTGTCCAAAGATGGGGGTAAGATCATGTCAAAACCAGAAAACCAAGAAGCAGTCTGGTGCGCAATGAGTAAAAAGTCCAAACAAAACAAGAAAATAATACTGGTAAATATTGACATCCTGAACTCCAACAGTTAAGGCAGAACGGAAAAAAAAATTCCCAAAAAAAATACAAAGGTATCTCGAAAGAAAACCCAATCCCTCATACATCAATCATGCATAATAATTCCCCAAACCGCCCTTAGTTTGTCATTATCTCGGCCGTTGAATTCGCTCATGCCGTGCCATGTTATTACTTGCTGCTGTTGTTGGTTGGATTGCTTCTTGTTCCCCCAAAGAAATCATCATCTCTTCATAAAACTCGTTCAAATGCCACCCTCGAAATATTCTGCCTCCTGCATGCTCACATTGCTCCTGTTTGGAGCCGTCGACGGGCTCCCTCCTCCCCGAAGGAGGCTCACACCGCCAGCATCCGAGGACGGGGCCCTCATGGACCGCCTGCTGGCACTCCTGGGTTTCGCGACAATGACCAGGGCTGGGCAGACAACAATCTCATCGTCGCCCACACCATCGTCGTCTCCCTTCTTGACGACAAGTGGGAAAAGCACAGCTCGCACGATGGCACCTTCAGCCTGAAGGTCCTCGGCGTCGCCGTCCTTGTTTGCAGCGGAGCGCTCGGTCATCATGGTCGGGTTGAAGTGGTGCGGCTCGGCCAGGTCTCCGTTGGCGTCGTACTCGGGCTGCAGTGGCGGGAGCATCATATACTCGGCGCGCTGGGTGCGCATCTGGATGGAGAGGTCGACAGCCTCGCGCATGACCTTGCGCAGCTGGCCCTGGATTTGGTCCTCGAGGTTGGACGGCGGCGGGAGGATCATGGAGAGGGTCTGGAAGACGGCCTGGACAACCGCCTCCGTGTCTTGGTCACGCTGGTCCTCGAAAGCATCCCTCTTGGCGAGGAGGGTCAGGGTGACAGCGCGCCACTGGCGCACTGCCCGTGGCGGGCCGACCTCGAGGAGTAGCTTCTCCAGCGCCTTCAGCTTCTGTCTCTGCTCGCGATCCATACCGAACAGGTAGCGGGTGAAGACGAATTCCCAAATCATGGTCATGGTCACCGACATGAAAATGTCACGACGCTTGACGCGGTCATTGAGATAGTGGTCGACGTTGGATCCGTCAAGGACAGCATTATCAAGTCGGTCGATGATCTTTTCGTCGTTGAGCTCGCTGGTCAGGCGGCAGGCGCGCATGTCCGAGAACTTGGAAAAGCGTAGCACCCACTGCTGGACGTGCGAGCAGAGCTGCTGGCAGCGGTGGTCAAAGTAGTCGACGTCCTTGATCTCGAGGAAATCACTGTCGGCTGGTTTCGTGGCGAGGATCTGCCTCTGCATCTCGCGTATCTGCTCCTTGGTGGCCTCGAGCTCCTCACGCAAGCTCCTGATCTCTGCGTCCTTCTCTTCTAGTGATCTCGCGTGTGAGCCGTGGTGGCCTCGGAAGTCGTTGAGCTCCCTGGTAGCCTCGGCATGTTGGCTCTCCAGGAGACGGTATTTGCTCTCGTGCTGCACGGCGGTCTGGGCGATGGCGCTGTTCAGGCCCTCGTTGACTTCAGTCAGGCGCTGGACCTCCTTGCGCATGAACTCGAGGGATTGTTTGAGGGTCTCGATCTCATTGTCACGTTCGGCGATGACGCTGGTGGCTCGGTTGGTAGAGTGCAGCTCGGCCTGGTTCTTGGCTGCGGTCAGGGCGCGGTTTTCTGCGATGAGCTGGTCTACTCTGGACTCGAGCTCGAGGACCTGCATGCTCTGTCGGCGACGCATGCTGTGTGGACGGGTGGGTGAGCGCGGGGATCCCAAGCGGCCCTCGCCGAAGCCATCCTGCAGAGGAGAAGGCAGTTTTATGTCAGTTTTTGTTTGGGATTGACGAGCGACAAAGACAGCTGGCTCGACAAAAGGGTGGAGAAGCAAAGGCTGAATGGGGTGGAGACGACTTACATAGACATCAGCCATGTCCTTCGCGCGGACACGACCCTCATTGGCGACGGGGTTGTTGTTGGTGGATGGTTGGCCAGCCGCAGCAGCAGCAGCAGCAGCAGTAGCAGCGGCAGCAGCACCGACGGCAGCGAGAGCGACAACAGGTATGGTGGTGGCCCTCCGCAGGTCGCTGTTGGAGGTAGAAGAAGATGAGGCTGGGACTGGGGTGTTTGAAGCTGTGGCCGGGGTAGGAGATCGAGCTGTGAGAGGGGCCTGTCCAAGCGCTACAGGGGACCGTGGTGAGGGGCTGGTTGGGGCGCCAAGATCGCTGTGGGATCGCTGGCTCGATTGGCTCAGCGACCTCAGGTCCCCACTCCTTGTGCGCCGGGAGCGCAGTGGTGGTGTGCCAGCGCCAATTGCGCCCGAGTGCTGCCTCCGCAGCAGGCCAGGGCTGTCAGCACGAAGATTGAGTGGCTCAGGCGTTCTGGCCCGTGAAATACTGGTGTTGGACAATGCACGCCTCTGGCTTGGTGGAGTACCATGAGGAGACGTAGATGCTTGTCGTTTGATGGCATTGTCAGATATGCTTCGCTGGCCCGCAGCAGGAGTTGTAGGCGGCGCAGGTGAGGTCGCCCCCGACCCTGTGTCGCCGAGCAATGCTGCTTCTCCACCGCCCGCCAGAATTGCTGCTGTTGCAGCAGTTGCGCCAGGCCCTAGATCTGGATAGTTCTTTCGTGGCCGAGATCTGTCACCTCTGGTCTTCTGCGGCTCTGGAGTGACGGGCGGTTCCTTGGCCCCGAGGACTGGAGTGTTTTCCCGGCAGAGACGCCTGTTGTTCTCGCTGTCGCTGCGTGGCGATTGCTTCAGCCGGTCCTCCAACTTTGCGCCCTCATCCTCCTCGGTGCTGGACGGGGAGAGTCGTTGCTGGTGGTCGGGGCTGACCTCACGGGAGCTGTCGCGCATTGGTGACCCGTCAGGATAATCTCGCAGGTGCACACCACTATCGCGTTGCTGCGCGTCCTGGAACCGACGCAGCCACGGCGCAGCGGGCGAATCTGTCACAAACCCGCTGTCGCGGTTGAAATCTGGCGTTCCGAGTGATGCGCTGAGAGAGACTGCTTGCTTGTCGGCCTCAGCTTCATCCTCCTGCGGATCCTCTTGGACCGGAGGTAGCCCTCTTGATACGGATCGTCGGAAGTCGACCGCAGGAATGAAAAAGTTGTCTGGCGCCGAGTCGTCTTGGTCTTGTACATCTGTCGTCGGCAAGGCTGACTCTTCCAGAAGTCCAAGGCCGACCTCCTTGGCTGACACGGGGCTTGCGGAACGAGGAGTAGGCAGGTCATGTAGCTGACCTCGTGGCTCCTCCTCCTCGAGGTTCGTATCTGTCGTAGTAATTGTCGGAACCCCGACGGATCGTGTCATCGTGTCCGTGTCCACAGCTTGGGAGTCCGGGGAGTGGTGATCTGCAGGTTCTGATTCTGTCGTCGGTGGTTCGGAGCTGACCTGCGGGTCGGGATCCGCGCTGTCTACGACCACAGGTTCCAGAGGGATTTCCTCTTCTCGTTCTGCTTGTTCTGAGAGCTGGGGCGTAAACCTTCCGGCATCTTGACCTGGCGGTGAGTTTGTAACACTCACATTGTCGTCGCCGAGCTGCGTCTCCCTGCCGTGTGCGAATGATGTCGGCCTCGGCCCTGGAAGTATGTCAGGCTCTGATTCTTCTTCTTCTTCTTCCTCCTCCACGCTTGTGTCCGGCACCGCCCAGAAATCGCCTGCGTCGCCGTCCATGCGGGATCCCTCCCCAGCTTTTCGCTCAGCTCCTTCCCACATGGCGGCATCATCAAAGATGTCGTCCTCCTCTTGAGATGTGCGCTTGTCCGTGTACTTGGAAGATTTTTTCTTCTTACCATTGCCTTTCTTGCTGCCACCAAATTTTTCCGCCAGCAGAGCAACGCTGCCCTTTGTGCCTATTTGTTTGACTGTATCGGAGGTAGATGCCTCCTGTGCTTCGCCATGAAGAGATCTCAGCGAGTCCGATGACTTTGGCTGTTGTCTTCTGAGTTCCGGGGCAGTAGCATCTGGAGCTGGGGGAGCGTTAGTTTCATGTGCCGGACCCTCGCCACCAGGAACCAATTCGCCGGTGTGCCGTTGTTGTTGGCTGAATGCAACCAGAGACGGATCGCGAGAACCATCGTTGCCTTCTAATCTCGAAGCCTCTTCATCGACTACGGGTGACGCACCTCGCCGTGTTGGTCTGTCCCAAGGCCCTGCTTCCTCCACTGCAATCGATTCCACCGACACGTTATCACCTGCCATCGTGAGAAGCTTTGGGCTGTGCCTGTCGTCTTCCTGGAAAATCGAAGAATGTCGGTGAATGAGCCCCAGGCCTACGAGGGGCCGGTCGTCCTTGCTGCGGCCCTCTTGAGCGTCGTCGAGCCCCCGCGTAAGGCCTGGGTAGATGTCCACCTTGTCAAAGGACTCCTCGGGGGAGCGGCCACCAGAGTGGTCGAGTGCCTTTGGCTTGAAGTAATCCTCGTTATCCCAGATATCGGGGCTTGGAAAGTTGGAGGGCACCCTTTGTAACTCGGTGCCTGGGACAACAGGAGACAAGTGGCCCACGTCAGCGCCTCCAGAGGTCTCTGAAGCCTCTGCAAGTGACGGTTGGACGCCCTTGACAGGAACACTGAGATGTCTCGTTTCCTCTTCAGGTTCATCCCAGCGATCCGAACCATGCTTGTGGTCGTCATGCTCCTCCAAATCATACCCAGTATCGTCTCCCACGACGAAGGAGAATGCACGTTTGAGGTCTGGCTCAGGAGTCGTTCTTTCTCTGCTGGGTACCTCGTCCGTGCTTGTGGCCTCGGCGCCCAAGGCTGGCTCCCAGGCAATCTGCTTGCCCTTCTTTTTCTTGTCTTTGACGGTCTTCTTGCGGGAGAGCGGGGCAGTCCACTCCTCTTCAGCCACGGCTTCTGTTGCGGTCGGAGTCTCCCAGCTACCAGCATCATCTTGGTCCTGCTGCGAGCGCGTGGGAGAAGAAGGGTCGCCGGGCTGTTCTTGAGTTGTTTCTGCCTCTGCAGCGAGCCTGGTGGGACCCGGTTCGTCTTGTTTTGTGACATCCTGGAGCGGATCTGGCGATTCGCCAATCTCGAATGCATCTTCCTCCCAAGAAGAAGCTGCCTTCTTCTTGGCCTTCCTCTTTTCCTTCTTAGACATCTTGCGATTTAGAACTGGCGCCTCCGTCAAGGCTGGTTCCTCCGTGGCTTTCCAATCTTGTTGGTGCAGAACACCTGATTTTTCAGCCTCCTCAGGCTGTTTTACATCAGGCGTCATTTCTCGAAGTGGCGGCTCTAGCGACTGGGCAGCCAAGTCGTAGGTATCGTCAGGAGAACGATTTGAGTCGGGCACGACAACCTGTTCGGGAGTCTCCAGTGGCTTCTCGAGGGTCTTGGGCATCGACTCGGGTCGGCTGGCTTCCTCAATGCCCATGACAGGAGAGTTGACCGGGACGTCTCGAGCCTCTTGAGCAGAGACAGGGAGATCAACATCACCAGTAGGTAGCTGTTTCATCTCCTCTGCATGCAAAACTGAGTCTTCAGGCTCGTCTACTGTCATGGAGCCCTTCTTGGCCTTGCGCTTCTCCTTCTTGGACAGTTTCTTAGGGATCCAGTCACCGAAGTCTCCCGTTGTAGGCTCGACGCCTTTCTCTGCCTCTTGACCAGCAGCCTCCGCTGTTTCAGGTGGGTCCTCCTCGTACAGCTCTTTTCGTTCGGGTGCCTCTTCGTAAGACGGAATCGCAGAAGCCGGATTGGATGATGGCGATTCAAGATCGAATGACTGGTTGGCGCTGCCTCGCTTCCTATTTTTCTTGTCCTTTTTGGATTTTCTGGCAGAGACGAACTCGAAGGGGGCTTCTTCTTGGACCTCACGGGGCTCAGATACCAAGGTTGAATCTGGGAGCCTAGGCGAGACAGGTGCTTCCTCCATCGAGGAGAGCAAGGCAGGCTTGTTGTCTTCCCAGGGTGTTGGAGAGTCAGGCTTGGTGGCAGATTGCTGGACGTCTAGGGAGTCATCCTTTCGTTCAGGAGAAACGATCTCGTCGTCTCCTTCCCATGGAACCGGAGACTGAGGTCGCACGGCAGACTCTTCGACGCTCAGCAAATCTTGTTGATCCGAGTTGTCTTGGGCGGCTTGGAGTGGAGATGGCGCTTCGTCAACATTTTCCCCACCTGCAACAATGAGTGTATTCTCACCGTCGTCGATCTTTTCATCCAGATCTGACTTTGTGAGTACCTCCTTGTCATGGGTCGCTGCGGCAGCCAATGGCTCAAAAGCCTCATCAGCAACCTGTGCGCCGCCAACGAGAGCATCAATTTCCTTCTCTTGACTGTACACATCGGGCTCCCTAACTGGCTCGCTGAGAGAAGCTGGTTCCGTAGTTTGTGTACCTTGTTGCGACGCCTCCTCATCGTTGATAAAGGTGTCATCGCCATCCCTGGCTCTGCTCTCCAGATCCAATTTCGTGACTGGCTCACCGGAAGCAACATCTTCGAAGTTCATGGATGGCTCCTCGGTGGGCAGTGCGGACTCATTGGCAGTTTTTTCACTGTCGCGAGGAACATTCTCATCGGCAGTGTTCCTCGTCAAAATAGATTCAGACGCCACTGGAGATTGTGCGAGAGTCTCCACCGGTTCAGTGCTGAGGGTGGCATCTACCACTTCCTGGCCGCTTGTCGGCACCTCGACCGGATCGGAGGCCTCGCGCGCTTTGTCGTCAACAGGTGACTGAGTGCTGTTTTCAGGTTCCCAAGAAGAAACACTGGACCACTTCTTTT